TTTAAAAACGCGGTATCGATCTATTTTACTTTCAAAATCTTGTGAAATTTCTTTGTTCTGTTACAAACTCTCGTGATATTTTGCTAATTCTTGTGAGATTTTGTTAGTAAAATAGATCGATACCGCGTCAATATATCAACATATAAAAATATGGCAACATTTCGTGAATTTCCGGGGGATTTCGTAGCATAACGATGACATATAGCAATATTTCATTAGTAAAAGAGATTGATATGGTGTTTTTAAATGGCAATATATCAGCATATGAAGATATTGTGATATTTTAATGTATAAATATTTTTTTCCTCATCTTTAGAAGTTTTTAAGTCTGTAAAAAAGAAGTTATTGAGGAAGAAGAAGAAGTAGTATATATTTTTTTTTTTTTTAGACTTTAGAAACTCAGAAGCTGATCAAATATCGGGTTAAATATCGGTGGGGTGGCCGATGTCCGATATTCAGTTTTAAGGCCGATACAGGCCGATACCGATAGGGGGCCGATTATATCGTGCATCCCTAGTTCAGTGCTTATATAAATATTACTGGAAATTCTGGCTACTTGGTAGCAAGATGTAAACAAGCTAACCAAAATGTAAAAAGGCTCTTCCAGTGAATGTCTCATCGGGATTTATTCATAAAATGCAAGGACAGCCACTGCTGAGCCAGAGAAACCCACTAAGAACAAAACTGCACTCTCTAATGTGAACGATGAACAAGGTTCATCTCCAGGTGTTTGCACATAAGGTCATTTGGTGTTTGGATGTATGAGGTCCAATTTACTGAAAATATAGAAAACGGATAAAGAAATAACAAAGCCAGTTAAAAATATTTTCCATCCAATAAATAAAATTAGCTACTGCATATAGATAAAATTTGTTTAAGCTATTTTATATAAATAAATTCATATTAGGTAAAGTAAAATAATAGGCCCTCCAAACTACGGGGCACTCCTTAAAATATGTAAAAACAGAAGTATATTCCACTGCATAAGTTTAAACAGAGATTTTCTGATAAATCCAACCTTTAATCAAGGTTCTCAGTGGAGAAACAATTTGTGGGAAATTACTTTTTTTTCCTTTTGTTGAAATAATTAGACTAGTAATGGCAGGGCTCAGGGGTTAGGGGTTCAGAAAAAAAAAAAAAAAACATTGTTTGTGTTTTGTGATCTAATATACACACTAAGCAGTGGATAAACCAACACATTGTTGCCTCCGAAAGGGTGAGGCTTTAATCTCTCATTTATGGAGGCATGGAAGTGACTCTATGCATGAGATCCATGGGTCATCCATTTATGGACGTAAAGAGAAATATAAAAACCTTTTAGCAACAAACACCCCTGGTGGGTCTGGTCTCAAATAGTGGATTAATATGTGTAAAAGCAGATCACAGCTATTATTAATTTATTTTATTTATTTATTTTTATTTCTTTATTTAACCATTTCTCATTTTCAAGGGGGACTTGGGAAGAGATCTGCAATACACTGCAACCTGATTACAAAAAAGAAAACCAATTAATACATATGCACGAATTCAAAACAATAAAAACAATTTAAAAGCAGTGACACTGTTTCATAGAAGCTTGTTGTCTATCTTTAAGAACCGCTCCAAATAAGTCCAATGAAATATTGTCTGACATCTTGAGCTCAGAATGGAGCTGATTCCACTCTGTAGGAGCCAACACACTGAATGCTTTCTTGCCTTTATCAGTTCGAACATGAGGAACATGTAGAAGAATAAAGTCATTAGAGTGTAAAAAATGTGAACTACTACATCTATGCAAAAGAGAGCTTAAGTATGTTGGCGTTAGTCCAAGGAGAGATTTATATATTAGGATCATCAAATGATTGTTTCTTCGAACACTTAAAGGAGGCCAATCAGCTTTTGCATAAAAATCACAATGATGTATCAAACGTCTCCTACCAGTTATAAGCATTAAAGCACAATGATAAACAGTATTCAGTGATTTCAGACATTTGGTTGAAGCATTCATATATAAATCTTCATAATCCAGAAGTGGCAGGAATGTTGCCGCTACGAATTTACTTCTAGCTTTGAGTGAGAAACACGATCCATTTCGATAATAAAACCCAATCTTTTTCAATGTTTGTAATAGATTTACTATGTGATTTTTAAAAGAAAGATCATTATCTAGAATAAAACCAAGATATTTATGATTACTCACAAACTCAATTTGTGCACCTACTGCAGTTGTAGATAATAAAGGGATTTCTGGTAGTTTAACAGAGTGTGAGAAAACCATTGCCTTAGTCTTATCCACATTCATGGTTTAATCATAATTATGGTGGGAGCGGGCTGTGTGATGCCTTTTCTGTCTTGAAAGTCCAAGGAACCTTGTAGAATGGTGTGAACTCAGATTGTAATTCACCCCATGGCGGCTTTAGTCAGAAAATGAAAATGGGTCCAGTTTTGTGCAGCATTATAGATAAATAGTCTTATGGTTAATAGGGGGATTGTTACACAGTGTTTATAGCAGGGGAGCCAATCATTCTGCTAAGTGGGATTTCTGTCAAATTAATTGGTTCTTAATAAAGGCAATTTCCTTCTCCTGAATAAATGTCTTAAAGATTAAATGTTACATTTTTATGTTTTTCTCCCCAGTCATTTTTATGTTGTGAGAAAGTGCTGTAAATAGCAAACGTGATTTATAGCTTGTTTTTGCTACAATACTGTACCTCTGAAAAGAACAGCTGAATAGAATCCAGAAATTTGCTTTTAGATCAACCTAAAAGGTTAATGTACTTCAGATTCCAATGACAGGAGGACATTCCTCGTGTTTTTGTACATGCATTCAGCTCACATTGCTGTATTTTCAGAGAACAGGTTGAATTTCTTCTCTATGGATTTTATTGTTCAGTGAGAGGCGCTATGGTGATTCAGAGGTTGGTTTTTATTGAACAACCTGGATAATAAAAGCAGCCTCCTCGTTGCTGCAGCCATTTTCTGTCTCAGAGCCCATGAGGCTCAGCGAGGGGCGGATTTCCCCTATTCGACTCGGTTAATCCTCTGTTATTAGAGCCAAGCATTCGGCCAAACTACATACATAAGTCTGTGCGGTCCACACTGTGTTAAGAGAATGGGATCCCATGAAAAGATGAATAAAGGTGTGGACATAACCGAAAATGTTTTTATATCTTTTGCAATTGGACTGAGAGGAGCGAGACGTTTGATCGGGCGGCTCACATGGAGAGCTTTTAAATCAGCTGTAAGCTGTCGGTGTCAACATTTTTAGGATTTAGTGTCACTTTTATTCACATCTGAGTTTTTTTCCCTGTTTCAGACTCAACCAGCTGAGACTGATATAAGTTCTGAGGTTGTTGAAAAACCAAAAAGAAAAAAAAAAGGCATAAATTGCCAGTTCGGAGTTTGGAAGATGAGATCCAGTTGCTATCAATATTACAATTTATAAAATGTACATTCATTCATTCATATAATTAGTAAATTAAGAAGTGTTAAATGTGAAAAAAAAAAACACTTAGTCATAAATATATCTATGTTAATGTTTATGTACTTATTCAAAAATAAATGTGAACTTCCAGTTAGATTTTCAGTTTCATTTTCTTAACTTTGACCATGTTCTTTGTTGCACATTGCAAGACTTTTTGTGATAATGCCTAATGTCACTGACACTTTAAATGAGATTTCATGGGGTAATTTGTCTGAGAAGTACAGATTGTACCTTTAGAATATGCTCCGCTTTCCTCTGTCATCCTTTGCAGATACATATCTTCACTTCGCTGAATCTGATAAAGGTCAAATATTGATTGTAGGATTTAGGAATCTAGCTCCAACAAAGTGATTCCCAAAAAGCTATGAGATGAAACTTGCTTTGATTCTGTCAAGCCAGGTTGTAGACAGTAAAAAGTAAACCTTTAAAAGAAAAGCCAAGCTGTTATACCAGTGTATCTCAAAAGATCATGGTGGAATCTATTTTCTTGGAAGGAAGGAACTACTTAAAACTCATGCAGGACACTGGATGTAAAGAGCTTGAGGAGTTTAGTTTATAAATAACTAAACAAGATGCTATTATTTTAACTTTCACTCTTGCATCTGGTCGATTCATTCTGCTGAATAAAATAAAATACCACATCAAAATTGTAGTTTTCACATCATCATTGTTGACCTAAACAATTTGCAAAGGATATTTATTAATGGAATAAAACACTGTTGCAAATAAAGTAACAATATAAGGCTAACAAATACAGTTCATTGCATACTGCACTGCTCTTTTCTGTAAATGTGAAAGAAAGAGTAGCTTCTGCATGAATTTAACATCAACGTTCAACAGGTTTTCTGCTAAGTTTAGGTTCTTCTAATTAAGGGTCTGCATGCTAATAAAGCTGCTGCTGGTGTTGTCCTTGTGCAGCATGTGATGCTGCGCACATGCTCTCATGCAATGAATGCCTCCCCTCCCTCTGACAGAAATGCTGCAATGCGTCTTCCTCAGCTAGCACTGGGTCAGTGTAACCACAGCAGCAGGTGGAGCTTTACCATATAAACAGCCAATGAGACTGATAGCAGAGGATTTTTTTAATATGTTTGCCGTGTTGCTGTATTTGTTAATAATTTGACCCATTAGTGTAGGTTTTAGTACAGAGAGCAATTTCTAAAGAGTGGAAACGGGTGGGGGGGTTGAAGATGCCTGCAAGGGATCCATCCTCACTAAATGATTCAAACATTAAAGTGGAATTAAAGAAGAAGCTCTGATTTTTTTTTAACTTATCTTTGAAGTACAACCTTATTTATGTCTCATTTTTCAAAAATTTTAATTACAGTTTCAGTGACCTTCAAATTTTGCTTCCTAATCAAAGTATTTGAGCTGCAGCATCAATAATGTTGGACAGAAATTTAAGTTATACCTTTTGGATCATAGTGACATCTCTTTTCAAGTTTTTTTTGTTGGCTGCTGGCTCCATCTGATAATCACAGGAAATGCTTTGTGTTTAAGAGCAGGTCTGATTTTTTTTTTTGTTTGTTTTTTGTAGGTCAGAGAACTCTTCAGTACCAGAGTGATGTCCTTCAGACTGTAGTGTTGGTGAACCCATCAGAGGAAACCGTTTGTTTAGAGGTGCGTCTCCTTCCATAAGACACCCTGATGAGAAAATTTGTAGCAATTATGGATGATAAACTTTTATTAATATGAAAACATGCAGTTTTACCATCCATCCTCCCTTTTATATATGGCCAGTGAGGACTTGGCGAGGTTTTACAGATGTGTTTTGGTCCACCTCTCTTTCCCAAATGTTGAATATGATCAAAAGTCTTAATGAGACAAGCCTTTTTAATGTTTAAAGATGTCTTAGGTTTTAAAAAAGAAAATAGTCACCTGAAATAAAAAGATACTAATTTTGTTCTTGAGAAGAAAAACAGTCTGATTTTCTTAGATGATCTATTTTTGGTATTAAATGAAATAGAGGTTGCATCCGTACAGAAGCTGTCAAAATATTAATTTTAACTACCTAGCAGCCCTTTAGTTTGGGTCTGAATGTTTGAACTTTTTGTTATTGATGTTTAACGAAGATGTTTAACTGTCTTTGTTGGAACATTTTCTTTTACAGTTATTAACCTGGCTAATGCCATGCTACACATGTAAGACATTCCACAGAGTATTTCGCTTTTGATTCGTGATTTTTTGTGTGTGTTTGTCCTTCACCCAGACAAGTTCTTTGATTACTGACGCTGCTACTAATAAGTTGCTCGTTCTGAGCGGCCTGAATTCTGACCAGGGAGGTGACATTCTTCTGGAAAGTGGAGCTTTCACTTGGCAACACTTTTCTGATATCATCTCTAACCCTCAAGTAAGCTTTTTACTTCATAAAGCCGTAGACTCTTCAGATTAATAAATGTATGATAAATTTATTATAGAGCTCCCCCTCCTCTGTTTCTGCATTTTAGGTCATTGAAGTCCTGTCCAGGGCCTCCTCAGAGCTCCAATCCAAGCTTACTGTTTCTTGCCTGGGAGACGGGGGCTGGAGCTCCCTGGGCCAAAGCCAGGAGCAGCAGCCACTCCTTAATAGTCTTGAATATCGCTTAAACCCTGAGCCCCATCTACCCAACATGGATGGAGTCACAGAGTTCACAGAATATGTCTCAGAAACAGTGGATGTACCATCACCTTTCGAGCTTCTGGAGCCACCAACCTCTGGTGGGTTTCTGAAGCTGTCCAAACCTTGCTGCTATATATTTCCTGGAGGCAGGGGAGACTCTGCTCTTTTTGCCGTCAATGGATTCAACATCCTTGTGGATGGAGGGTCAGAGAGGAAGGCCTGCTTCTGGAAGTTAGTTCGACACCTAGATAGGATCGATTCAGTCCTGCTCACTCATATTGGAGCAGACAACCTGCCTGGAATAAATGGGTTGTTCCAAAGAAAGATTGCAGAGCAGGAAGAAGAAAAGAACCAGGGGTGTGGTTCCAGTAGTAATAGTGACTGGATGAAGAACTTAATTTCCCCTGAGCTTGGGATTGTGTTTTTTAATGTCCCTGAAAAGCTAAGGATGCCAGAGTCTACAATGAAGGTAAAGCGGAGCATTGAAGAAGCATCTCTCACATTGCAATACCTCAACAAGCTTGGCATAACACCAGAGCCTCTTCACAGGGTAGTCAGCAACACCATTGAACCAATAACACTGTTCCACAAACTTGGTGTGGGAAAGCTTGATATGTACATCTTGAACCCTGTAAAGGAAAGCAAAGAATTGCTGTTTTTGATGCAAAAATGGGCAGGGAATAGTAAAGCCAAGACAGGAATCATGATGTCGAATGGAAAGGAAGGAGAAATTTCTGTCCCTTATCTAACTTCGGTTACTGCTTTAATTATTTGGATCCCACACCGACCCACAGAAAAGATAGTCCGCGTTCTGTTTCCTGGAAATGCACCGCAAAATAAAATCTTTGAGGGCCTTGAGAAGTTAAAACACCTGGATTTCCTGCGATACCCAGTGGCCACTCAGAAAGACATATCATCTGGCGCACCACCCGCAATCATCAAGCAAACTAAAATAAGGTCAAGAACAGACAGCAAAGAGAGTCTCAAATCTTCCCCAAAACCTCATGCTAAAGCTTCTAAGAAAGAAGCCAGTGGACAAGAGGAGGAGTCAAAAAGTGAAGCCACTAAAGACAATAAAGTTGAGAAGAAAGAGGAGAAGAAACCCAAAAGTGACAGTTTAAAAGCCACCAAACAGCAAAAAAACAGTGAGGTGGCTCCTGGGGCCGAGAAGATACCAAAAAAGAAAATTTCCAAGGAAAAATCTACAAAAAAAGAAAAAGCATCTAAGATGGATGAAAAGAAAGACAAGGAGAAGAAGGAAACCAAAAAAGAAAAGGTAAAGAAAGATGAGAATATAAGGAAGGAAGAGAAAAAGGAGAGCAAGGCAAAGGATGACAAAAAGAAAGACCAAGGTAAACCGGAGCTGAGAAAAATCACCAAGCCTGACCTGAAGCCGCTCACCCCTGAAGTGAGAAAAACTCTGCATAAGGCCAAGGGTCTGGCTAAGCCGAAGTCTGACAAAAATAAAGCTGTTAAAGATGAAGCAAACGAGAAAAGGCCAGTTCCAAAGAACATCACTGAAGAGGTCGCAGCAGCAGCTCTGGCTGATAGGTCCATCATGTCCTCACCAGAAGACCTCACTGAGGACTTTGAGGCTCTAAAACAAGAGGAGATGTCCAAACAGAAGACAGGGTTTGTCCATAGTGATGTAATTCCAGTCAACTCAAATACTAAAGTTTCTTCTCAAGCTGTGCCCGATGAGAAAATAATGTCCACCATGGAGGTTAAGCTTGTTGGATCTGAATACCCTGTTACTCAAGAAGACAACAAAAGCAATCAAGTTCTGGCTACTCAACAAAAAGATGTGAGTCATGGCTTTGACAAGTATGAAGAGGAGAAAACAGAGAGATGTGACTTTTTAAAAGAAACCGTGAGTGACAGATCCAAGAAAAGTGAGAGCTCAGAGGAGGAGGGTGATGTGATTGAGAAAGCTGAACTAGAAGGGACAGAAGATGATGAGGTCATGAAAATAAAAACAGAGGAGGTGAAAAAGGAGTGGGACACCAAACCAGCTGAGCAAAAAACAGCCACTGCACCTCTACCAGTCTCTGCCACAGAACAGCAATCCTTCATCCAAGATGAGACCATCCCTGGATACTCAGAGACAGAGCAGACAATTTCTGATGAGGAGATTCACGAGGAACCTGAAGACAAGATCCCACAGCTGCATTACGATGTGGGTTCCTATGAAATTTCTGTTCCAGATGTTCCAGGTACATTTGAATCCATGCACGGGATTAAAGAGATGAAGAGTTCTATAGTTTGTGGTGCTCCAGATGTCAAACCTAAAGCTATTGTGGGAAGTCAGGAGCCTGAGCTTGCACCATATCCTGCCATCATTGCTGCTCCTCTTGCAGAAGAGGAGCATATCTCTTCTGCAACATCTATCACAGACTATGACAGACTATCATCTTTTGCTACCTCTGTGGCTGAGGACCAATCAATTGCCTCTGTTACGGCACCTCAGACAGAAGATATCGGGAGGAATTCCCTCTTGTTGGAAACCATGAACAGTGCTCCATCACGTGCGGAGGCTGCCCAAGGGAAAGACTATCTCCATTCAGCAGGTACCATATCTCCCACCTCCTCCCTGGAGGATGACAAGTGCTTTAAATCTCCGTCCTCTGATGAATATCAACCCAACATTCCAGAGATAGATAGTGATGCAAAGACCAAAACAGTCCATGAAGAAGAAGATGATGAGGAAGATGAGGATGAAGACCAAACTCCAAATGTTGACATTCCCCTGGGAAAACTTCAAGAGGGCTATGAACAAGCTACCTCCTTGATGCACCAAGAATTACTGAAATCTCCCTCCAATGGCATTCCTTCACAGCCTGTCAAGGAAGACCAAACTCTAATTGGCGCAGAAGAATTCAAGACCACTGCTGATGTAAAAACTATCTCACCCCCTCCATCTTTCTCTCCTGGGCTAGAGTCCAGGTCCAGGCAGGACAGTGAGGAGAGATGCTTTAGTCCTGATGATAGTACCATGAAATTGGCCTCACCCACACAGTCAGTGCCCACAAGCAGTGGCTACTCTCCAACAGAAGAAAAAGTTTTAAAAGCAGAAGAAAAAGATGAGGGACTGACGACTGCTAAGGCTGAAATACCTAAAACTGACAGATCGGTTACCATCTCAGATAATACCTCCTTTATTGGCTTGCCAGGTGACAAAACAGCTTTCGAAGCATCTGAGGAATCAGATGAGGACAGTGAGGATGACTATTACACCAAAAAGGAGTTAAAGCCTGTTTTAAAAGCTAAACTCATGGAAGCAAAAGAGGGTTGCTTTTTAGATGATGACTTTGAAGGGAAATGTGCAAAGACAGAACCGGGAGCTCAGAGTTCAGACAAGATACAAGTGTCCATTAGCACTATGGAAAAACCAAAACCAAAAGTGATGTTTTCTGATGAAGACGATGAAGACGATGAAAAGGATGGCGGCTCTAAAATCCTTTCAGATGAAAAAGACCAAGTGGAGAAAACTGATATTACCATCACAGAGTCAGAGAAAAGTGTCCATTTCAGTCTTTATGAATGTCCAGAGAAAGAGAGCCGAGAGAGGGCAGTGTATATAAGACAGGACACACCATATGTCCATGGCAAAACATTCTCTTATGGTGATATTTATGACAGCAAAACAAGCTCGGAGGAGTCTGATTTGTATCGAGAAGAGTCCCAAGATAAGGTAGAGCAAGTATCTTCAAAGACTGAAGCAGATTTGCACAAAGATGAATCTCCATCACAAGACATGTTATCGGGCAAGGTGTTAGAAAAAGAAGTAAAAGAGTATTCCACCTCTGATTGGATTGAGTCTAAGAGTACATCAGCCACAGATCAACTTGAAAAAGAGGTGAAAGAAAAAGAAACATTTGTTTATAGTCAGACTAGTCGTTTCCCTTCAGTGGCTGACAGACCTGAAGCTTCAACCACTTGTTTAAAGTCAGAAGAGGATCATGCTCCCATCACAAAGCCCCCAACTTTCACCTCAGTCACATCCAGCTACAGCGAGAAAAGTGCATGTTTAGAGATTGATATGCGGAAATTTACAGCAAGGGATGAAGAGGATTATGATGATGATGAAGTTCTTGATGACGATGAGGAGGAGGAAGAGGAGGATGAAGATGCAATTGATTCTGACACTGAGAAAGGTGCCAAAGAGAAATCTGAGAAAGAAGCAAAAAGTCCAGTTAGTGAAATGCTAGGCTCAAACCGACCTGAATTCATTGTTTCTATGGCGGGATACAGTTACAACAGTCAAGTAAAGCCAAGCATTACAGAAACCAGTTCAAGTTCAGGAACCAAGGCTGAAGATGAAGCCCAGGCTGAGTTTTCCTGTGTCAATGGAAAACCAGTTCATGCAGGAGCTACCAGTTTGTCTAGCTACTCCTCAGGTTTTGAAGATTCGTACAAGAAAGACTTGTTTATGTCAAGTCAGAGTGGAGACAAAGATAAAATAGATTCTCCTTTTAAATCAAGTGAGGATGGCTACTATCGAAGCCAAAAAGACAGCACTGAATTTGAGAAACAAAAGACACCAGATATTCTGAGTAAGAGCTCATTGGAAACAAACTTTCAGTACACAACCACAGCTGCTGCCCCGGGCTACTCATCTTCTTCAGCATACAGCTACTCATCCTCCACCTCAGGCTCACTATCCACTAGCCGACAGTTTGGAGAGGAGCTAGAGACACCTGCGTCTGCCGAGCCTCCCTTTGAGTATTCCTCATTTAAAGATGAACACTCGCTTGTCATGGATTCTCCTTTCTCCAGCTCAGCTGGCGCTAAAGATGATTATCTTGAAGTCTCTGAGAAGCAAATCACTGTAACAACCACGGCAGAGTCCAGCTCGAGTTTAGCTCGCTTCTCACCCCTCAGTCCTTTTGAGGAGGTCAAATCCTTTCCAGCTGTCTCATCTGCAACTACAATTCAAGAGAAGGAACATGGAGCTCCGATAGGTGGGGTTTCTGATAAAGCACCTCGATCGGACTGCTTCTATAAGCCTGAATGGCCTGAGGATACAAAGCTTGACACAGCTGCTGGGTTTGGGGCCTCTGTGGGTCCTTTCGTAGACTTCTCAATGAATAAAGAGGCAGCCAGTGCTGCTTTGTTTGGCGTAACTCCCTCTCCTCGACCTGACATTGAAGGCAAACATTACTTTGAGGAGACTGATAGCAGTGAGGAGGAGGATGAGGAGGCATATCTGCGTAAAATGACCCAGAAGTCTCCTTCCACTGGTCCTACAAGTAGCCTTCCATTTTGTGACAAGCCATTAGCTGCAGCCTTCAGTGGAAAGACAAGTGATGCACGTCCAGATTCTCTTGGCTCTTACATTTCGACAGCACTTCAGACCACTAAGTCGGACACAACAAATGGCCCGACAGAGGTATGCACAAGTAGTACCCTTCCTTCTGGGGTAACGACAGTTGGAGCACCTTCAGCATCAGCTAAAGTGGAGTCCAAAGAGGGAGCAGCAGGTTACATTCGGAGTTCCTATGAGTGGGAAATGCCTAAGCCTCAAATGGGGATGGTGCCTGGAGACTCCCCTCCTCATTACCGCCATGATGATGAGTTTGAGGAGGAATGTGAGATGGAGTCAGAGCACCCCCCTCGCCCACTTTCCCTTGCCTCTGCTGATCAGCAGTTTCGCTCACCATTCTTTGCAGAAGAGTGTAGCCGAGGTGAGCAGGATGATGATGATGATGATGATGATGATGATGATGACAGTGATCAAGACCTACCCATAGGAGCAACCTCTTCTTACACCAGCCGCACCTCCCCTGGATACTCATCTTCTGAATTCAGGCAGCGTAAAGAAGACTTGTCGCCATCCTTCATCAACCCCTGCATGAGGCAGTTTTCTACTGACGAGCATGACAAAGAGGAGGGCCACAGAAGTGATCAGTCACAGGAGGGAGAAGAACACGACCTATCAGTCAAGAAGAGAGCTCACAAACAACCCCATGTTCAACAGACTCATTGCAGAGACAGCAGAACTCTGTACCAGGCTGGTGGTATGTCTGCAGGGCTGTGTCTGGCCACAGAGGACACCCCGCCTACCTCTGTCAGCGAGTCTCTACCCTCTCAGTCAGAGTCAGATCTGCATCCTGGTACTGAAGAGTACCCCTCAGTTGTTGGTGAAGGCAACATGGACTCAGACGAGGATGGAGAATATATGCCGATTGATAAATCTGCTACCGGTCGAAGTAGCCATCATTCTGCTTCCAGGAGTAGCCATGACCCTCCTCCTGCACCAGTATTGGACCCACATCCTCACCCTCCACACCCAGATGTCTGCATGGTGGATCCTGACACTTTAGCTAATGGTTCTCTGAAGAAGGAACCAAAAGCAAAAAGCCTAAAAAAATCTTCAGGAAAAACAAAATCAGCATCTCCTGCCAGGCGTAGGAGGTCTCCCATGCCTGTAAAACAGACCTCACCACGGAGCGCCTCTCTGAAGAAAAAGGACACCGACAAGAGCTCACGTATGTCTCGTCTGTCGGACGGACAAGGCTCAAAAGACGATGACCTCTCCAGATCCAGCTATAACGTTGGCAAAGGGCTGACAAATGGTGTCAAAACCAGCTCAGGTGAGCAAATGCAAAGTAAAATGTAAAAAGGCTGCATCAGTTTTGACATTGACTTGTCTGATTTCATCTAAAACATAAAAAAAGATAAAAATGCCACTCCTGGTCGATATAAGTAAATATATGAAATAAGCAGTCCTATTTTTAAGGAACATAATCTTACATTATTTTTTATTCCTTCTCTGATTTCAGTACATTTATTCATAAGGTATAAAAAACCATAATAAATACTTTTTTAAGTATTTATTAGGGTTATCATTATTTGTAAACTACCTTAAGTCAAGAGGATTGTGTTCATCCTTCATCCATCCATAGTTATTCAAAAATGTTCACAAGAAGCATAACATGAAAAACATATCTATGTTTTTTAAAGGGATTTGTAGCAGAAATAATATTTGCACCACCTCTGATTGTGTTAAAATGGTTTATTTCTTAAGACCATTTTTTCCCCCTTATTAAAAGGAATTAGGTAGACGTTTGCATTTTGCCAAATTTTTTTTGGGGTGTGATTATGCTTGAAATAAAGGTCATTTTGAAGGATGTGTACATGTGTTAAGAGAAAGGTTTTTTATAAATGTGACTGGTGGATTTGCTCTATTATATAATGCAAGAACAGGAAACAAACTGGATTACATTTAGTTGTATAACCAGTTATTAAAAAGAATAAAAACCTTTAGCTTAAATTGACATCAATTACTTAGAAGTGAATGGGATTGAGCTGGACTTTGTTTATCTGGAACCCCATTTGACTTTATGTAGATTACTTGATGATGACTGCTATTGTGTTTTGCCTCAGAGTGAATTTGTGGTTCCTTCTCCCAGGTTCTCAGAAATCCGGCCCAGCAGCCGCTTCTGGCCTTCCCATTTATGTTGATATGGCCTACATTCCCAACCACTGCAGTGCTAAGAACGTGGACCAAGAGTTTTTTAAACGCATTCGCTCTGCCTACTACGTAGTAAGTGGAAACGACGCTGCAGGAGGTGAACCTAGCCGAGCAGTCCTTGATGCTTTGTTGGATGCCAAAGCTCAATGGGGATCAAACCTTCAGGTATTACAACAGCTTGACTCCCATGCTTGTCTACTTATCTAACCATCCTCGAATGCATTATCTACTTATAATGCATGTTTATTGAAATGGTCAATTTCCAAAAATTTTTCTAAAAACAATAAGAACTAAAATAATGTGTTTTTCTATCTTCTGTGTATTTAAGCTCAGTTGGGTTCAAAATAAACAGTGATAGGATTTACTGGCCTTTTTTTATTTATACAGCACTAATTCATAACACATAATAATAATAATAATACATTTTATTTGTATTGCACTTTACATTTCAACAAAATCTCAAAGTGCTACAAAATTCATAGTTAAAACAAAACCGTACAATAAAAACAGCATACATAGTAAAAACGAGACATTAAATTAAAATAACTTGCGTAGTAAAAACAAAACAGTAAAATAACCATAAAACCACACAGATAAAGTACTAATGTTCAAAGGCCATTTTAAATAGAAATGTCTTGAGGCCTTTCTTGAACGCCTCCACACTCTGTGGGACCCTAAGGGACTCTGGGAGGCCATTCCAGAGTTGTGGGGCAACTGCCTGGAAGGCCCTATCTCCCATTGTGCAGAGCTTGACTCTTGGCTGGTGCAGTCGGTGGGTGGAGGTGGTGGAGCTGAGGGTTCTGGAGGCGGTGTGAGGTGTGAGGAGTTCCTTGAGGTAAGCAGGGGCAGTTCCATGTATGCACTGGTGAGTGAGGAGGCAAAGTTTGTAATGTATTCTGTGTTGGATGGGCAGCCAATGAAGGGACCTGAGGACTGGAGTGATGTGTTCGTGTTTGCGCCTCCTCGTCAGGACCCGGGCAGCACAGTTCTGGATGTGCTGCAGCTTTTGTAGACTTTTGCCAGGGACCCCGACGAGGAGGGCATTACAGTAGTCCAATCTGGAGGAGATAAAGGCATGGATTAACTTTTCTGCGTCGGGTTGGGAAAGGGAGGGGCGGAGTTTGGCGATGTTTCTGAGGTGGAGGAAAGAAACCTTGCAGAGGTGACATATGTGGGAGTCGAACGTGAGATGTGGATCCAATTTGACACCAAGGTTTGTAACAGATGAGGACAGAGGGATGTTTTGACCGAAGATAGGGAGACTGTTTAGGGAGAAGGACTTGGTTTGGTGTGGGGTGCCAATGAGAATGGCTTCTGTTTTGTTGCTGTTGAGCTGTAGAAAGTTTTCAGCCATCCATGTCTGTATCTCCCCCAGGCAGCAGTGAAAAGCAGATGGCAGAACTGTGGGAGAAGTGGAGTCAATTTTTATGTACAACTGTGTGTCATCTGCATAACAATGAAAAGAGACCTTGTGTCATCTCAGGGCATTTACAGAGTCAATTTTAAACAAATTCATTGGTTAGGAAATTTCTATTGAATGAGATCAAGCAGATTGCATTGAGTCATTACCTGTGAGGACTTCCCTCCTCCTGGATAAGAATGTTCTAACAGCGAATAGTCGAGCATGCATAAAGCAACATGAAAAAACAGGAAGAACCCTCCAGCCCAGTGTGAACAGCCTTCTGGCTCCACCGACCTGGGGCTTGAGAGGACCGAGACGCACATACACCATACTTTAACCAACCAACCAACCAACCAACCAACCAACCAACCAACCAACCATCCATCCATCCATCCATCCATCCATCCATCCATCTTCATGCTTATCCCAAGCGGGGATGCAAGGGGGTGCTGGTGCCTATCACCAGCTGTCTACGGGCGAGAGGCGGGGTACATCCTGGACAGGTCGCCAGTCAATCGCAGATACAGTACTTGAAACGAAAAAAAAAAAAATAATAATAATTCTGATACTGTAACCTCAGAGGCAGGCTCTAAAAATTTTCTATTTTTTCACGTTCTTGAAAAAAATGTTTGAAATGGCAGAATGCTACCAGCATGAATGCTAGTTTGGAGACACTGAATGCTTTTGTTACTGACTATGGTATCATTATCATCAAAGCATTGTTGTCCCACAGCTCTTGAATTGGATAAAAACAAATTTACAGAAGTTAATTCGTTATTCTAGCCAAAGCTAAATCAATCTCCTATCTCTGCTTCTCTCCAATCAGTAGAGATTTGTTATAACGCCTTCCCACAGCAATCAGTTTTTAGTGGCAGTGGGAACAGTTCATGGACGCGTGTCTACCCGGGTCAAACGACTTGGCAAGCAGGGTGTGTTAAAATCGCTTCGGCTCTCATTGGCATGCTGTAAGGACTCCAGATCTGGGTTGACCCGCTAATTTATGTGATACCATTTAGCACAACATACGGGTGTCAACACACCTTGAAAGTTGCATCTGATCTAACAAGCAAAAAAACTGTTTACATTCGATAAACGGTGTAGCACTGGTAAGAGGGATTCGGACTGATAAAAGAGCAAAGCAATAACACACACTGACTATGCCCTTGCTTACTTACATGTTGCTCTCCATTGTTTAGTTTCCTGATTTCTGTTGCACTGGTGTCACCATCAACGCTAAACCTGCGTGATGGTCTCACCAGAGTCTACGCAGCTTGCCAGTGAAGTGTTAGACTCAGCTTTTTTTGCCAGTGGCAAGGGAGCCAAACACCAATTGTTAGCAGATTAACCCGCTAATTTAAGTGGTAAAGGCTTTGGTAGAGGCTTTATTGGTCTGACTTTGCTAAATTGCATGGGCAAAAAAATAAAAAAATAAAAAATGCTTCAGCTATTAGTGGCTGTGTTGCGGGGGGTGGCAAAGAATAAGAAGCAATGGATTACAGTAAATCTGTTACTCGCAGTTTTAGTGTTGCTGTAAAAACGATGAAGTTCTCCTCTGCCAGGAAGAAAATTGTTCCCCAAATAGGGCTTTACTCCTATAGCTAAAACTCACACTTGATCTGGACCATTACCACATTATGATGAATTGCTCCTTAGCATAAGGCACACCTCTGGTTATAAATGTCCATAAAATCCACTCATAAGCTGTCAGTTGTCCTACTAACAGACCGACAATGATTCCTTTTCTTGTGGTTTTGTCTTCAGTAAAATATCTCTGGACTTTTTAAGTCCAATGCTGAGGCTGTCGATAGTCACTGCTGCCACCCTCTAGTTTAGTGGGGAACTGCTTGTTCCACTAAATACCCTTATCTCACAATTTCAGGGAATCTTTAAAAAAAAATCCTATGTCTAGATTATGATGCTGATCATCCTAAAAACTTTAGTGGATTGTTTCTTGGCATTGGGCAAATCTCTGATAAAAATTTAAATAAAGTACATCCATCACTTTTATAGTCATCCTGTACACAGACAGACAAACAAACGCACAAAGTCTCCTAAAAACCTAATCTACTTGGAAGTGGTAATAATAATAATTATTATTATTATAGAACAGAAGGATAAAATGACATGAGAAACATTTTACAGGGCATTTTGAATGCACTTATACCAAAGCGGTACAGAGAGAGGTAAAACAATTCAAAGGTTCAAAATAAAAATTAATTTTAAAAGATTAAAACCCAATCTTAACAAGAAAACATCTCATTTGGGCCACAAGTTAGACTGAGATTCTGGTTTGTATGTCTGAAATGATTCAGTTTGATTTCTGCATGATGTTACAAAACAAAGCAGATTATCTGAGGTGGCGCCTCAGATATTCTGCTTGTCCAGGTAACCTCGATCCTCCCATTGTATGACATTTTTTCACCTGTCACTCTCTCAGGTGACGCTTATCCCCACCCATGACACAGAGGTGACCCGCGACTGGTACCAGCAGACTCACGAGAGGCAACAGGATCTCAACATCATGGTCCTGGCTTCCAGCAGCACCGTCGTCATGCAGGACGAGTCTTTTCCAGCCTGCAAGATTGAGTTTTAAGATCTCCTTCACCTCTCCTCTGCCCATCCTTCTAGCCTCCCTGATGTAGATCTTTTCTGATTAATCTTTTTTCTGTATCCTGATATGCAACCTGATGTGTCTCTGCTCTACCCAGATTGTTTGGTAAAGCAGGGACAGATTTGGGGAACTTTTTTTCAGTGTTTTTTGTTTTTTTAAAGCTTAGTGTGGCTATTGCCACACTAATCCTATAGGTACTTTGCAGCTAGTTAATAATCATTGCTGTGTTTACTGTGCTGTAGCCCTGAACCTTTTCACATTTAGTCATATTACAAACACAAACTTCCTGTGTTTCCCCCCCCCCAATCTTCTCTGTAAAATAGCCCAAACTCACTGAGACAGAATAGAAAGTGTCTTTGAATATCAGTTTAAAGGTGTGGCCAGTAGATTTAGGTATGAACTTTAACTAGGCCATTGTATCACATGACTATAGTTTGAGCTAAATCATTCGAATTGTGGCTCCAGTTGTTTGTTTATTGTTGTCCTGCCTAAAGTTGAACCTTTACTTGTTTTTAAATCCATCAATCTATTTAATAACTCTGACCAGCCTCACTCTACTGAAGAGAAACACCCCACAGCATTATGCTGCCACCACCATTAGGTGATTTTTGAAGATGGGTGCACTGGATTTAATTTAGGGGTATTTGAGCATAGAAGACTAAATATTGATGCAATACCCAGTTTCTGATTTAATTTATAAAAAAAAAAAAATGAAAAGGCAGTATATATGTAATTTAGCTTGAACTAAACAACTACACACAATGTGTTTTCCTATTCCAATAAATTAATTCCAAATAAAATATGTTAAAGTCCTGCAATGGACTGGTGAACTGCCCAGGGTGTACCCCGCCTCTCGCCCGTAGACAGCTGGAGATAGGCAACAGCACCCCTCGCAACCCCAATTGGGACAAGCGTGTCAGATAATGGATGGATGGATATGTTGAAGTTTGTGGTTGGCATGTGACAAAGGTGGAAAACTTTGAGGGATATGGTTACTTTTACCATTGTGTCAATTATCAGTCATAATAGATTGTTTTTTTTTTACTCTGGGTGATCTCAGTAACACAATTCTAAATTATTGACATCAGCAGTTCTCAAACCTTTCAGCTTCCCGTCAACAAGGCAGCTGTGACATAACCTTACATTTTCTGGCTGAATAAAACAAAAATTTATATTGGGGCAATAATATATAACCAACAAAAAAATAAATCCTCCAATTTCCATCACCTAAAGTAAGATAAAGACCCAATTTTTGGGGAAAAAACTGCGATTAGATTAAAAAAAGGAACCAGTGAATCTTATTCATCAAGCTTAAAAATAAAATATGTCCTTATTTTGCCGTTTGCTCTGTTAAAACCGTGATATTGTTTAGTTTTTGGCCTCCTGGTATCATATAAAAGCATAGAAAAGTAGATCCCAGCCTTCCTTTTAGAGTATATTTGTTGTAGAAATGGGAACGTTAATAAACCTGTATTGTACTGATTTCTGATATTTCTACTGTTCTCTGAAACAAGTGAGACCTACCTTGCTGTTGGCTGTTTTTTCTTACAGTGGAGCACCCTATACCCATCTCTGTGGTCTTTGATGTACTTTTCCAGTTCGTAGATTATTGCAGAAATCATGCAGAGAGATGAAAGCAGTGAAAACCCCCTTTTTTAAAATCATAATATTCTGAAATAACACATTAGAAAAACCTCATTCAATGAGAATGCTGTTGCAGAATGAAGAATGTACTCCGCTACAACAAGGACATGTGGCCGCGAGCTTTGATTGTGTTAAAGAAGACGATGGCTGTTTTGGCTGATGTGAGATTTTCACCCCACATGTGCCTTTCTGTCCTGCTGTTCTGGAAGGGAAAAACTACATTAACCATTGGTTTGTAGAGGCTCATCAAGCCCTACTCTGCTGCTTCTCATCTGTTGTTGAGAATGGGTCAGAGATGTATGAAACGAGTGTAATACGGCTCTTTTAAAGCGCCAACTATAGAAGCACAAGGCTTACCAGTGAGCGAAGCTGAAATCAGTTTCTGACTTTTCAGATTTAGCAACCTAAGTTTGACCTGAAAACATGCACCAATCCTCTTTACAAGTCATATTTACCTAATCAATTCTTCTTTCTATAAATCAGAGGAATCCTACGATCAACCTACAATCTAACAAATCAAAGGACCAACAAATCTATTGTTTTTGCGGCTGTTGCTGTTTCAACTGCAGCCATTTCAGCTCATATACAGATGCATGTTCAAAAGCTGCATGCAGAGAAAGAGGGCACTCTTTAAAAATGCAGCTTGCTTGGGGTGCAAAAACCTGATTGGCATGAATGTAAAGATGCAGATCATACCTTTACATCCTCCGCTGAGGATTTGGATCTCCTGGTTGCCTTGGGTACCATGCATCACATGACACGCTGATTGCCTTGGAACACGTCATTTCCATCCGTAGGCCTACACTGCACTGAAATTGGTATTAAGATTTATAATTCTGCTCAGATAAACAGGGTCAGTGTTAGCTGTACCGCCTGGTCAGTCTACGTTCCTTAGATATTGTAGAAAACAAAAAAACTCACTTAAAGCACAAACTGCCAGACATGAGGTGCTTTCTATACTCATGATGACACATTTCTGTTATTCACATCTATCGGCAACCATACAGTACACACACTCAGCTGACTGTTGCGTTTAAAAACCTGAAATAACAGCTTTTTTTGGATCGACCCCAGCTTGTTCGTGCATGCGTACTTTTTGAGTTCACCTGTATTGACATGAAACTGACTTGTTATTGAAATGCTACGTCAAACGATGTGGTTTTGAGAAGCTAAAACTGTTGAGTTTGGAGGACGCACATGTAACCTGGCTTTGCTGTGTGACAAAGAAAGCCATTTTTCTCACTCCTTCCTGCTTCATAGTTCTTCTGTCATCTCTTAATTTAAGTGCAATATTCTCTTTATCTCTATCTAAATGCTTATAAAGGTGAAATATAAGTAAGATTTATTGTTGGAAGGGAAAAGGTGTGTTCAAGACCAATAAAAAAGTCATTTACTGAAAAAATGTCTCCCCCTTCTTTCCGTTTTGTATGACTGCAACTTTATTTTTTCTTTTCCTTTCACCAACAAGGTTGCAAAACCTAAGACTAATGGTTTAATCAGAGTGAGATATTTAGTCATTTTTTATTAACCGATCATTATTATTTGCTATGAATCTTTCATTCAAATCCATAAAAGGTACTTTATGACCTTGTATACCGTATTACATAATAAATGTTTAAAGGTATTTATTTTACTTATTTATCTTTTTACTTTGCAAAAAGAAATAGCCTTTCTCAGCCTTTGTGTAATGTGCTAACAACACTAACTATGCAACAAACTTTCTGTTTAATAAAGAAACGGCCAAATAAAAGATTATGCAATAGTTATTATAAACATATCTGTACACAATGGAAGAATAGTGCATTGTGGGGAAATCTTTTCAGCGGAGCTAACAATGCTACAAACCTCATTATCACCAAAGACAAATACTGGATAAAATAATCGCATACATGTGAAACAAAAGCTGAATAAAGAATAATTTTCTAAATGTATATACTACAGAAGTTACAGAAACTATATATACTGAAAAAGAAAAATGTTTAAGTAATGCAGCAGATAACAATCACACTTAAATCAGAGCAAAGGTTTCCAATCACTGTCAGTTGAATCATGAAGCACCAGTGTTTCAGTTTAATGAGTAAAATCCTCACAGGGAGGGTTAAATATTGCAACTTAAAGTTGTTTAATGAGCTGATGAATCTTTTTAAAATCATATTGGAAAAAATTAGGTAACTTTGACTGTTAATACCATATCTGACAGTGCTTTTTCTGAAACTATTACTTCATTTTTCCCACATCAGATAGTTTTTCCCAACAAACAAGTTTTGTTAAAAAGTAAATCCACCAATATCAGATTCTAATTACCTTGTGTCTCACTTTTTTAATTAGTACAGGATCATATTTGCTAGATTCATGAGAGGAGTGGACAGGAATAGTTTAAAACTGTAATAAATACTATAACATAAAATCCATAAAATAACAGCACAATTGCAATTGAAGACAAGTCTGATGGTTTATTTGAGTAAATTGACCAAAAAGCTTACTCACAATCATACTGGTGCCTTTTTTATCTGTACACAGTCAAGTAAGGTCACAGACTCAGTTTGCATTTCTTTTCTATAGGTTATCAAAATGTACCTTGATAGCACAGTGTGGGATCCACTTAAATAGCTTCTGAAGCATAGGTGCTTCCTCATGCAGATATGTGCTACAAAACTGCTCCGCAAAATAAAAAGCACATTGAATGTAAAATGCCCTCCTTTGTGTTCTGTGATGAAATTAGACTTAAATGTGTTTTTAGCAAAAAAATACACATCCTCAAAGCAGCATACAGCATGAAACTATGAATAGACAATATAGTTAAATATCTAATATGCAGGTTTTTTAAAATACAGATTTTACTTTTTAAAATCCTCTTCTAAAATAAATCTTTCTGCGTAAATTAAATCTTCACTGAAGGATTAAGGACTTTGGCGATCATCAGCACACACACGTCTGACCTTAAGACTGAACATTGACACTGATGAGGATTTGACTCCTAATGTATGGGCTTTTTATTTTAAGATAAACATTCTCAGAAACTCTGCAACCAATAGCAGCTGAACCACCATCCACATAAAAAAAACTCAGTCAGAAACAAGCAGAGCTGCCCTGAAACCAGAGAAACATATAATGAATGTTACAGACAACGTAACAGCTGGCGCTCTTAAGGGTTAAACATCATCGCTGTGGCTCTAGAAGACAAGACAGCACAGGAATATGCTCAGCTCATAACAAACAAGGTAAAGCTGCTTCAATCTGCATCTCTACAGCACATGTTAAAAACAAATGAAAATATGACAAATCTTACATTCTCCCAGTTCTCTGCGGTTTTTAAAATCACTTTTAGTTTTTCAAGATTTTTCCATCACCTTTACTACTTTCCTCCTCAGTTAAGTTTTTTTTTCACCCTACAGACACCAAAATGATCAGAGGGCTTTGAAAAAAATAAATAAATCTGTAACAGATGGGTTGAAACGAAAGTCAGATACTGACTTAGGATCAGTCAGTTGAGGCTCTACGGTGTAACAAATTAATCTAAACTGTCCCGTTTCAGCTCTGCTGCAGAGGAGATGAAGGAAGCAGCTGTTCAGGGCTCTGCTGGCTGAACAGCTTCTGTGTCCTGAGGTGCCTCTGGGTGGGGGACGTGTTCTGGACTGTCTGTCCACAGCTCCATGGACTCCTGTGTGTCAAAGAACTCGTCTGGCCCCTCCTGGGATTGAGGCGTCTGGGAGCTGGACCCAGCCTCACTGCTGCTCTCCCTGAGCTCCAGGAGCACCGGCAAAGACCCAGGGAGGCAGTAACCCTCCATCCGACCCAGATTGAGCTCTGCTAAAGCCATGCAGGGAGGTCTCTGGGCTGGATCTAAGATCAGACCACTAGATGGGTCTAAAGGGATGAAAGAAACCTCCTGGCTGTCCACAGGGTGTCCAGGATTGTCAGGCTGCTTTTCAGAACCACCACCGGTTTCAGCGTCTTCCTCTGGGGAATTGTTTGGAGTCAGGGGGACTTCGGTGGGGGTTAAACCAGTGGATGATGTGTCGATTGTAGCTGTTGGCAGGGTGGAAACATTCTGAGAGGAATGGGTTTCCTCACTGCTCTGAGGGGTGAGGGACACCTTTTCGCTAAAGCTGAACCGTGGTGAAGTATCAGCTGTGGTGGGGGAGGATGGTCCAGCGCTGGAAACCGTGCTGGATGGACCGCTGCTGTCTGTGGGGACAGAAAATAAATGAAGAAAGAAAAGCAGTTTAAACGCCTCTAGTTCTGGTTGAATCATAAACAAAACTTTGACATTTTCTAATTCTCCTTTTAGAGATACTTTAACTTCTGTGAAATGTAGATATATGCACAGTAGAGGTTGGCCAGAATAAGATATCCTATTCTATATGTTTTTATCATTGCTATCAGGCAGGTGAATATCCACTATCAGGGAAAAATAAAGTAACTATCTATGCTGCTTTTTTTCCCCACAGTGATTTATTTGTTAGGTTATAGCCTTATTCCAAATTGAGGAATTTTTAGGAAAGAAGAGAATTTTATAAACTTTAGAAAAAAGGCTGCAAGAAGAAAATGTGGAAAAAAGTGAATCACAGTTAAATTTTCTGGATCCCCTGTAAGAGTTTAGTCATATATGGAAAGTGAAATTGACATCACCATATGAAGCACTTTTATGGCACATGGCAGGTTTTCCTGGGTCAAAGATTTAACAGGAAAAGAAACAGGCTACAACCATCTAAGCAATGAGTTTTTATAAAATAAAATCTAAATTAGATTGCAGCTTAATACAATGACGTTAAAAAAATAACACCTTGAGGAAGGACCCTGCAATACTCACACCAAGGAGGTCTGTCAGAGCGAGATCGGAGGGACATGGAGGAAGAGAGGACCCTCTGAGGAATGTAAGAGTCCACTGATGGCTGATTGTGTGCACCCAACATGGCTGACAGAGCTGCAGAGAGACAGAAGGACGGGAAATGTAACTTTACAAAGAAACCTTTACTCTCTGAGCAAACAATCATGAGGTTTCTTACCTCTGGAGGTTCTGGTGTGTGGATCCCCGGCGCTCTCGCAAACGCTGGTGAGGAACTCGTTAACCTGTTTGAGAGACAGCGAGTTGTGCAGCGTTTCCAGAGGATAGATGGAGGGCACCATAGAGCAGCCTTCAAAACCTGTGGCAGAGGAGACACATGAAGCCCGCAGGCACATTAGCGGAAATCCTAACTTCAGGCAAAAAGGTGACACCCATCACCAACAAGTCCAACAGTCCCGCCCTCCCACCCCTTCCAAACGGTGCTTTGAAAATCTGCTGCTGTTTCAGGACGCACTCTAACCCTCTGCGATCTCCTGCCATCCTGTTCTGTTTATTTGCACACAGGCAAGTTGCAAAAACCATGCTGAACGCCCAGAAAGATGGACACCACAACAAAGATGTCTCAATCTATTTGCAAAAGCAAGCAGATCTCCCAAAAATAAAAGAAAGAAAAATAAAAAAAAACAAACATCTGCTTTTTCAATCAATCCCTTAACTCTGATACTGCAGCCGGAAAAGCAGCCCCGAGCAGTCAAAGCTCCTCCAACAACACGCTCTCCAAGCCGGTTAGTTCACAACCAAGCTGCATTTAACCAGAGCCGTTCCTCAAACCACAGCCTGAACAACCTGAAGGGAATTGTGCTTTTAACTGTGCGAGTGTTCGCCACAAAGACAGCAAACAAGCAGGAGACACATGCTGGTTAGGGTCAGGAAAGAAGAGCGACTGGCATTCAGAGCAGCTGTGGTCATGTTGGGTAAAACTCTACTGAGCATGTTCCTTTCTGAATCTGGAAAGAGCAACAGTATGAAAACAGGAGGGGCTCAGACAAACTGTCCAGCAGCAGCATGTTCGGTCGTTCAAGCACGTAAACATCCATATATTACCACCTGCTGCTGTAGGATACAATGTAGTTTGTGCTTCTGGACAAGATGATCTCTGCACTTCATCTTGTCTTTTTGATACATATAAATCTAAAGCTAATCTAATATTATGAGGAAGATAAACTCAGTATATAAAGGCTCATATGAAAAAAATGTATACTCAAAATAAAATTACAGCTAAAATTAGAAACAGACCGGTTTTAGATCAGATCTGATCTGATCCAAGGTTGAATGCAATGATTAGGACACTAGCAGATACAAAGTTCCTAATCCTTGTCTCAACCTGAAGGTTGCTCATTTTGTTGGTAGCTACTATAAGATTGGCCAATACTGCTAGTTTGCATATCTTTAGACTTCTGGATAAAAAAGTAACTTCTAAAAAAAATCACTTCTTTGCATAAAAGGTCAGACAACTAAATAAACAATGTGTGTAATGTAGATGAGGATAAACGTGTTAGCTGCGATTCAACTAGTTTTTCCATAAGAACAAACGGGTTCTAGTGAAGATCTAACATTTTTTCGTGATGTTAAATCCAAACAAACCACGAGGAACATCTGAATTTATCCTGCTTTATGACTTTGGAGAAGTTTCTTCTAAAGGTTTATAATAGTATTCATCCCCGTCTAACCTTTTGGTATATGGCCACGTTGGAACAGAGGAACTAATACTTACAGTGATATCAAACGACCATCAGAAAGAAATTACTTTGAAAAAACAGAGCTCTGAGAGACTTTCAAAGAATTTGGTTTGTGTTCATTTAGAACGGTGCTAAATGAAGGTTAGCAGTGTTCATTTTAAAGATGAACGCTGCTAACTGTTACCCCGAAATCCCATATCCTCTGTCAGCGCCCCCGCTCCGTTCTAGACCGTCTGTGCAAAGCCTACAGCCTCCGCTGTTCCTCTCGTCTTTCTTCACTCAAACTTCCTTGGAACTCGGGGACAGCATGCACAATAATATTATTCTATTGCAATCTATTGTTACTATATTTTGATTTGACAAGCCGGATATTCTCGCTGTTCTTTTTCTTGTTTGGTGCGGTTGTTATTGCGGATCTTGACCTGGCCGGAGTCGAGCAAAAAATAGCTGGGCTCCGTATTTTGACATAGACAGACGGAGAAGACGTACGTGGAAGTATGTGCAGAACAGTAGCGGTGAATGTGGAACAGTTCCCATTGATTAACATGACAGACAATTACTCTGTACGAAGTACATGAGCAGGGCAGAACGGAGCACTGACGGAGTATGTGGAATATGGGGGTTAAGCTGATTTATGGAGGCAGATGGTTCACTAGAGTTTTTTTTCATGGGCAGTAAAATATACACTAAACCTCTAAAGTCTGTTAAAAAAACAAGGAAATCCATATTCCACTATTATCTGTATTAATTCCATCTTCCTTAACTTTTATGTTCCTGTTTTCTGATTTTAAGACGTGGAAATAATCAACAGGGCGTGGAAGGCTCTGTATTTTTAAATGCCTCTTTTACCACAGTTACATGGATTAACAAAGCACCAGATATTCTGAAACCAGTCTGCTACTGGAACAGAAATCAGTGAAGGAAACGGTTAAAGTCAGGCAAAATTTCAGAAGGCCTTAAAAAGTATCAGTTAGGTTCACCCAGAAAAAAAAAACGTATAAAAAGATATGAATTAAAGGAGTGATACAGAGATAACTGATATATTCTGCAATTAGAATATCTTATTTTCAAAAGTCTTGGTTGGGCCGAAAATTTAAATTTTTTATTTTTAAAACTTTCAGTTGGAAAATGTTTATAAATGAACTGAGTTTAATGTTGTAACGCTTTCCTGTCATGTTAAATAATTTATATTTCTAAATTTTTGACACCACTGTAACATAATCTGTAATTTTACAGGAAAAGGAAGAAAGAAAATGTCTAATCCAGAGGATGGGAAAACTTGTGTGGCAGAGTTGAGGGACGACTTCCTTGAATTTGATCAGAAGTCCCAAACAGCTCACACCACTACAGCTTGCAGTCTGCATAACCACAGAAACAGGCAGGCATGCAGAAACATCAGGAGGCAAAGCATGAGAGTCAACCACAGAGCAGGCACAGTCCCAACTAAACCGCGAGCAGTGGTTAATCTGAGCATGAGGCTGGGGTATGGAGGGCGGGGCCAGGGGCTGACCGTGGAGGCACTCTAGGGGGTCCTGGCCGGAGACGAGCCAGTTTCGGAAGAGGCGGAGGTGGTAGGAGCACTGGTGGAGGTGGTGGGCCAGCGTGTGGTCCAGAGGGAGCAGGCGGCGGCCTGAGCTGAGGTCGGTGGATAAAAACCTCAACAACTGGGCCACATGGTGTTCCTCCAAGGGCTCTGAGGAAGAAGAGGGAGAGCGAGTGGACAGGGCAGTGGACCAGTGGGGGTGGGGAGGAGTACAGAAGACAAGATACAAAAGGTTTGATGCTCAGGGAGAGAGAGAAGAGGTCTGGAGTACAACACAGATGAGAAGGGGAACAAGAGCTTTGAGAGGAAAGCAGGTTTAGACAGACAGGAGGAAGGAGACGTATAGTGCACCATGTGTGTGAGGGGTGTGCTATCATTAAAGGCAGAAGCTGTCAACAGCCAACGATCAGAGAAAGCAGCAAATCATCCAAGAGTTTCCAGCATTAAGTAAAGCTGAAAGCAAGGCACAGAAAACAAGACCAACACATCGCTCCTCTGCAGCCTCTGAACAAAAAGGCACAACTAAGAATAAGAGCGACCCAATGAGAAGCAAAAACCACGAGGGAGCGAGAGACAAGGCACCTGCAGCCGCCTAATCAGTGAAGCCCAAACTTCCCAGGGTTATTACAAACGTGCAGATTGATTGTTTCTAAACTGCCTGATGCCACCTTGTTAATAAAATACGGCTACTGAGAATGTTAATACCAGCACAAACCAGCAAACCCAATCATGGGTGTACCTGACGAAGTGCACAAGCGAGACGAAGACGATGCAATGGTGGACGAGTCATCCTGTGTCCCTGCGGTGAATGATACGTCAGTAATAACAGGATAACAACCTGGAAATTTTCAGGGTTACCTGCACAGGCCGCTTAATAACCCTGCTCATGCTTATAAAACCTCTTCCCTTTATACAAAATAATCCCCAGGTACTTAAATAAAGGCCCTCCCCGTCCCATCACCCAGGAAACAACCACATTAGACATGAGTAACTGAAAATATTTATGCTGTTTTGTCCTAGAAATATGGTGTTTCACAGCAACATGTGTAACAAAATGAGAAGCATAAAGAGAGCAGAAAACTGATCATGGTTTGACAGGACAAGGAATTAAATTTAACCCTTCTCCTGGATGAAAACTACTGATTCCGACTAAAGGAACCAACCAATCCAAATAGGACCAGAGGTTTAAGACAACTGATGACGTTAAGCTGAGCTCACAAGACCAGAGGAGAAGGGTTAAATCCTCTGAAATGCCTAAAGCCATGACAACAAGTGGGATTTCAATTCAAGTACTGTGTGCAGACACACACAAACACATTACGCAACAATGAATAATCAGGTAATGGTAGAAGATGTGATGTATGTAGGATGTTACACAGGGTTCCCGTGCATTAGTCTAAGATGTTTGGTTGAGGCAAATCAAGAAACCAGTGACATTTTTTAAATGTTAAGATGTGTAATAAAGTTTTCGCTCTTAGTTACACATTGGTTTTAAACAAACGAACAAAAAAAAAAACTACTACTGAATTTACTGGTCAAAGTGAAGCCAACTGAGACCAGGGAAACTTCTTCCATGAGGATCAGTGTGTCAAAGGTTTAGGTCAGGGGTTTCAAACACCAATCTTGCAACTTTTCAATGCATTTCTATTTCCACACACCTGAATAAAATGGCCGACTTGTTACTAGGTCTCTGCAAAGTTTGGTGACGCACTGAAGAGGTCATCCTGTCATTTAATTTAGGTGTGGCTTAGTAGGGATTCATTGAAATGTTATGGGGCAATGGCTTCTGAGGACTGGCCTTTGGAGACCCCTGGTTAGAATGAACAATGCTGCACTGCGGGCTGAGGGCATCAGGTTGGACAGACATTTTCAGGTTTTGTTTTTCTTCTGATTGGTGACGTATTTACGCCCTAGGGCGGAAGAATCTTTAGCCGTAGACTCTCGTTAAAAGTTGTACATGTGCAGTGGCTCCTCTGCAACGCAAAAGGACAGGACAGCTCGGGGAGCAGGATAACTGTGCCCTGAGCTAGCAGATACTGTTGTCAAAGTCGTAGTGAGGCCGATTAATAGATCGAGTTGCGGAAGTGAAATCCTTTAAAGCAAACCTGGAGGTGAAACCGTTTGGATGTGACCAGCCGTACATCAAAATTAATCAGCAGTCCCAAGACAGATGGAGACGGTGCAATCTGGGTTTAGCTACAAGGTTTGACTAACTAAATGCAGTGAGGCTAACGCTTTATTCTGCTTTCCCAGCCTCATTTTTCAAGAAAAGGAAAAGAAGAATGGACAATCTGGGATTCACATGGAATAGAATATAATATATATAGTGTACCTAAGAAATAGCTTTTATATATTAAAAAAGTAAAGCTCAGTCAATGGTTGAACTGAATGTTTGCTATATAGCAATTTTTCTATAAAAAATGCCCAATAAGTGTATGTTTGTTGAAAAGGTCTAATTGAATCAATCATTTATTGATTAGTACATTTTTCAAGAGATTAGCTAGCCAATGAATATAAGTCCTTTACATGAAGAATGAAGCTAACAAAGAAGTCAACATATTAAACAGTTTTACCGTTAATCAAATGATGGAATTCCTCAACGATTAAGATCACAATAATACATGAGACTGCAAACAGTTGGTTTTCTTATAAAAGTCTTTTCATACACTATGACATTACGATTTTTTTTAAACCAGTAGTTCATCCTGGTTGCATACAAAGGTCTTCAGATGAATTGTTACCTGGCAGATAATTTTATTTCATTTATGTGCCTTAGACTTAGTTTTTTCTCAATCTGTTAGTGAGCAAATACCTTTTGTATTAACTATAAACAGCATAGAGAGACAGATATCGCGATATCATGTGTGGTGCAATAAAGAAACAAGGAGCATTAGACATATATTATGTCTAAGAAAATGGAGGCAAACAAGTCAGTGATCCCTACCAGTCAGTGATCCCTACCAGAACTTTGAAAAGAGGTAAAGTCCAAGATCAGGTGTTTGATGCAAGGAGATGCAAGACCTGCCAATTCGGCAGGTCTTACATGGCCTTACTAAAACTGATCATAATTACTGAGTTTATATACTATGTAATGGCTACGATATTCATTATTGTTTATGCTTTCAACAATGTATATGTCTACTGATTGCTGATAGCTAACACTATCATGATGAACACTGCTGTATATTGTTTTACAGATGTGCTTGAAAGTTTACCTACCCATCCATAAAAAAAAAAATATTAATTCATACTATCAATTAAAATAACACAAAACTGAAAAAAGTAATAATAAAAAATACTAACTTATCACATTAACATTAAGTGAAATTAAATATTTTATTAAACTGTCCAAAGACAAGTTAAAGTACCTTGTTCATGAACAGTGAACTATGAAATCTGTCATTTTTCTGTAATAATCACAAAATGTTCAGTCAGACATCTGTGATTGCCAGAAAGTGTTGTTCAGGAGCCCCATCAGGCATTCATTCATGCATACACACTCAAAACCAATGTCATGATTTCCATTTTTTAAATCATTTTGACTTATTATTGCTATTGTCAATTTCAAATTATTTAAGTGGCAGATTATTTTTTTCTGTCTTTATTGGAAATGTATGCAAACCATCAAGCACAACTGTATGTTTTGGGTGTTTTTCTTAAAGTCATAGTACATGACAAGGGGGTCTTTCTGCAACCTGTGAGACACGATTTGTCTTAAATGTAAAATGACCAACACAATTTTAGAATTGTGATTTTTTCTTAAATGCACATAATTATCCACAACTACAATTTAATAGTAAAAAAATCCCTCTAGAAAGCATTTCCTTTATGTATTCAGCAAAAAATAAACTAATAGTCTTAAAGAGGCATGATGGAGTTTTCTAATAAAACCACCACCTGTGGCCAAAACACAGAACTGCAGTACTTATCTGCACGTTCTGGTGGCTGGCACTGCTTTTGTTGTTTTTGCTTTTTTTTGTGTTCAAACCTTACAAATGGTTGGCTCTAGTATCTGAGCTGAGCTGGATGCCAGGCAGTTCTAAATATCCAAAAAATCCATTCTGAATATAACAATTTGAGTGTTTCCAATGTTTGACCGCTTCAACATTGAGGCACTTGACTTCTTTTTTCCCCCCAGCTTTTATTGTCTTTACACTGTTTCAAATACAGAGCAACGAAATGAACTCTCTGCATTTAACCCATTCCCTTTGGGGAGCAGGGGACCACCATTGTGCTGCGCCCGGGAGCAGTGTGGGATTAAAGGTCTTTGCTCAGGGATCCAGAGTGGCAGTCCGTGGGAATGGGGCTTAAACTCAAAACCTCAGGATTCCAAGCTCTATGCCCTAAACACTAGGCCACCACTCCCCACCATATCCGCTGTTCAGCATGGGAACTTCTGACCCAAAATAAATTCAAGAAATTAGGCTACAGGCATATAGATGCATTGGCACTAAACTTCTGAGGCATCTGTCTGACCGTTAAAAACATTGTTTTAGTTGTAAAGGGTCAAATAAAAAATCTATTTTAAAGATATTTTTCAGTAAAAACTCAAAATTGTCTCTAACTTTTGGCCACTAGGGGCGCTAGACCTGTAACTGCCTGCAGTTTGTTTTGACTGAACATCGAAAAATAATAAAGATATATGACTGTATAATCAGAGAAAAGTGTTAACTTGTCAGGCTAATAAAGTTGCAAAAAGAAAATGGCTTCTACATCCGGCTTCTTCTTTCAGTCTGCGCCAACGGAAAAACTCCTTTCCAAGATCGACTCTTGTTTATCCTCAATCACGAACCTTTCATCAAACCAATCGCAATCATGGACCCAGGCATGCCTTCACAAAGAGCCAACTTCTCAAAACAGAACACAGAGCACGTGAAGGTGTCGCAGCCATAGAGGCGGAGGGAATTGTCCCGAAGAAGGGTTTTATTAGCTCGCCAGATTGGCAATATATTGGTTACAGCAAGTTAGAGAAACCGAACCACAGGGATTTATAAAATTTGCAGGGAGCTGGTAAAAACAAAGTCTGGTAACACAACCAACTTGTTTGATCATCTCAGCCGCACACACCCAATGGAGAACGACCTTTGTCGCCCCCTGTGCTGTTCCACATTGTCTTTAGGAAGTCTTTAGGAACTTCTGCCAAAACAAAGCAGGCAAAGCAAGCTAAACTGGGCTTCTTAAAGTGTCCAAGTGGCATGAGGACATCACTCCTGCAGTAACATGCTTCACAGCGATGGATATGCTGCCGCTGTCTGCAGTTGCAAAACCTGTCTTCAAACAGCTGCTCACCACTCTTGATCCGCAATACAAAGTTCTGGGCCGCAATTTTTTCTCCAACTCAGCGCTCCCTAATTGGTACAATGAGTGCAGAGAATCAGTGCAAAAGGACTGGCAATCTGTGTCTTACTACGCCACAACATCTGACCTCTGGTCAAGTCACACATCCGAGCCTTACCTCAACCTCGCAATTAACTTTCATAGACAGAGAATGGAACCTGAGAAGTAAGTGTCAAGGGAACCTTTAGATAATTATCGATATCGATCAATATGCATTTTTTTGTATCGATATAGTATTTTCCATATCGTCCAGCGATACGTAAAAAATTTTTCATTTTTGAGAACAAATATTTTCCTGAAAAAATAAAGGAGTCGCTGAGTTAACTTATTGAAGTCGGAATGCATTATTGCTGGAAGGACTGCTGCAAAGGTGGATTTAAAAAAAAACAAAAATAAATTACATATTACAGAAAGTTGACATATTTCAAATGTTACTATAGTAATATAGTAATGTGTTTTGACTCATTTATACCCTTATACCTTTACCCTAAACCTAAGTCCCTATTAACAACCTGTACGGAAACCTATATTTTTTGTCTCTTTCCTTAAGAAAAAAAACAAACAAACATTGCTGATTTTACAAACAACTGTCCATTATTTACATGCAACAAGTGAAAGCAATAACTCTCTTAAGAGTAGTCTAAGAAAAAATTCAGATGAAATGAGCCATTATCATTCCTCAGGAACCTGAAAAGATAACCAACAGCAACAGTTGGGGAAAATATTCCCACTAACTCCAAATGGAGTAACAAGACTTTCTCTGCATGACCTGAGCACTAAACAGGTGGTTAGTAAAGGTTACCATTTGTTAAAAATATAACCTTTGGAAAATTTGTTGACATTCTGAACATTTGTTCAATAGGCTTAAGATGAATGAAGGATTAGTGGGAACCCTGGTTTGAAAGCGAACATCGGTGTTAAAAAAAATTAAGAGTCCAAAGCGAATGAAAAAAAATAATGAGAAAAATTAGGTAGAAAAATTAACGGAAACCTGAAAATGCTTGAAGGCGTGTGGAATAAAGAAAAAAAGGAGAAAAAAAATACCCAAAGTAGAGAAAAAGAAAATTCGAAGGCATGCCAGACAAAGGGAGGAGCAGTGGAAAAATACTTGAAAGAAGCAGACGTACCATTAGTCGGATGCTTTGCAAACGACACAGAAAATCGTTTTACTGCCGGCATAGACAACAACTCTGAGGAAATAAAAAAATAATAAAAAAAATTCACTAGAGTTACCATGAACCAAAAAACAACTGACATGCATCATGTTGTGTAACTCCCTGGGCTATCCTAGTGTGCACGGAAAGAAACAACTGACCAACACCTACAGCCGTGTGTGACGAAAGGATCAGAACTAGTTCCGGTTTCAGAAGAAGGTTTCATTTAAAACATGTGTGATGTTTGAAGATGTTTATTATGGGTGTGAGCTCAGAGATCAATGGAACATCTTCAGATGAAGTGAGATGAAACCATTTTAACTCGTAGAATTAACAACATAAAAGATAAATAGCTATATATACATATATAAAAAAAAAAAAATAATCAATAAGTCAATGAGATCGCCCTCCTCTGCTCAAACCATAAAGAGCCTAACAACACCACTCAGGTACTCAGACTATGGTGCTAAAGACTTATAAAAACATCTGTCCAGGATCAAACAGCTAATCTGTGGAAAAATGATGAATGAATCCAAAACAAGGTTTTGGGAACATGCACTAACGTGTCATATCACAGTGGGGATGCACAGGCTGAGTTAAACTAGGCTGAATCCTTTCACTTCTGAAAGCGAGGTCTAACAAGATGGATGACAGAGTTTCACAGTGAGCTAATGTGAGAGAATCAGGAGGATGGAGGCTGGAGAGACCCAGCATGGTCCCACACTGACACCTACTGGACAACAAACATCTATACCAGCAACACAGTCATAACTGAGCAGGAAGCTAAAGAAGGTCATGTTTTATTTGTTTACTAACATGAATCTTCTTTGACCTTCATATTTCTCTTCTGTCCTGGAGATCCGTGTCATGCACCTTTTAGATAGGCCTCGGCTTTAACACACCTTTGTGAAATAATCAGGTCATTAGCTACACTTTGGAGAAATTGACTGCCTGCTGAAGAGGCATTTGATTCAGGTGTGTGGAAGCAGGGACACTTTTAAAAAGTTGCAGGACAACAGATCTCCAGTACTGGACTAGAAGAACCCTGTTATACAGTATCATAAAAAAACCCAACAACATGTAAGATAAATACATGTTGCCATGGGTTCCAGATATTTTCATAGATCTACCTCTAGAGTATTGGGCTGGGCGGTATGTCAGCTTTAAATCCCCAAAAAAGATCCAGACAAATTCAACTAAGAGGATAAGGAAAAACCTGAAGGTACAGGCCATTTAAAAAGGAGAGCAAGAAAGTTGGGCTTCCAAGGTCTAAAAATCATTACCATACTGCTTTACTTATATTTATTTTAGCACACATTTCATGTTTTTTATACTCAAATGTTTCCGACAATACACTTACAAACACACACACACACACACACACACACACACACACACACACACACACACACACATATTTAGTTACATTTATATACACACATACATATACACATGTATATATACACATGTATATATATATATATATATATATATATATATATATATATATATATATATATATATATATATATATATATATATATATATATATATACATACATACATATACACACACACACACACATACATATATATATATATATATATATACACATACATATACATATATATACAAATACACATATGAATACATATGTACATACATATACACACATGCTTTACCACTTTTTTCTAAATGCTTTTGCACTTTTATGTGAGATGCAAAAGGAGGTACATCTTCCAAAAACGGACCCCTTTTGTATTGTCAGCCCACAGAATATCCTTTAAAAGGGGTTAATTTAGTTATTTTTTCATGAGATGGGCAATTTGACTGATAGACGTCATTGTCCTTGTTTCCAGGGTTTCCTCTACAATTAACTATGACATTCAAATGGGGGGGCACTCCCAAATAGACACTGTGACCTTCAAGAAGATCATGTCGGAAGTAAATCATTATTTGTCTATACAAATTATAAGCCTATAATACCGTAATTAATGCCGGACCATATCAGAAGCTATTTCTGTCTCATTGTGGTCATTCCTCAACAATTATCTGGCCTGTGTCACTGATTCAGACACTCTGAGTGAAGGCTGGTGAAATCGCTCCAATCAGTAAATGTAAAAGTATGAACAGCAAAGCCCTACTTAAGACTTTTGTAAATAACTAAGAAACCTACACCAGAATCCACTAGACTGCAGTGGTACTGTACTAGGTCTGAGTCAGTTAGTACCAAAGAGGAAATTTTTATCTCAGAACCAATGGTCCTGCTTTCAGGGCCAACTTAAAGGAATAGTACACCCAAAACATGATTAGCCTTAATTTTCTACTCACCCCCATGCTGAACAACACTCTGGAGTACTTTTTTGATATCTCAAATGCATCTGGAGATCTGGGAGGCTTCTTGCTGTCTGCTGACATTCAAATAATGGAGGTCTACGGTGCCCGAGACAGAAAGGTCCATAAAAGTCCACAAAAACGTGTCAATATTCCTCCATACTGCTCGTCCAATGTATTCCAAGTGTCCTGAGTGGGTAGCATCCAGAATTTACTCGAAACGAAGTCATTTAGAATGTTTTTAGAGCATAAACAGTAGTGTATAGTATTTCCTGAAAGCGCGCGCCAGCGCGTTCAGGACGCTACGGAAGCCGGCAGACCAAAACAGATGAAAGTGCGCATTCTGCGTCTGCTCTGCTGATAATGCAAGCGTAGAAGAAGAAATGTGCTTTTTACCTGTGCAAAGAAAGAAACAACGAAAGAAAAATGTCTGAGGACTTCAGTGTTGAGGAAGAGCAGGAGTTCTTTGCCGAGCTGAATGCGCACTTTCGTCTGGTTTGGTCTGCCGCGGTATCCGTAGACTCGTGAACGCGCTTTTAGGAAATACTATACACTACTGTTTATGCTCTAAAACATTCTAAATTACTTCGTTTCGAGTAAATTCTGGATGCTACCCACTCAGGACACTTGGAATACATTGGACGAGCAGTATGGAGGAATATTGACACGTTTTTGTGGACTTTTATGGACCTTTCTGTCTCGGGCACAATAGACCTCCATTATTTGAATGTCAGCAGACAGCAAGAAGCCTCCCAGATCTCCAGATGCATTTGAGATATCAAAAAAGTACTCCAGAGTGTTGTTCAGCATGGGGGTGAGTAGAAAATGAAGGCTAATCCTGTTTTGGGTGTACTATTCCTTTAACCAAAACTGGCTCTGACAACCCAGTAAAATAAGATGCAGCCAATTTCATAAAAATAAATGACAAGGAAGTGTGTTCACTTCAGAAGTTATCATTTACAGGTACTAATGCTTTTCAGTAAGATAAGATCAAAATATTTGAGGGGTTGTGTGATCTTATAATAACTGACAGTGTTGGTTATTACAAAAATCTATATTTATCAAAATTGGAATGTCAGGCTTTCAAAAGCTCTGGAATCAGTGATCAGCCAGAAACCTGCAGTCGGTGCACCCCTACATGCAATATTGAATAATTCAAACTTAGGTTTTCTGGGTAGTCTTCATGTTTATTTAAAACATTATCCGGACAATAGTTTTCTGTAGATCAGAATTTTAACAATGCAGCTGTAAGTGAACAACAGTCTTCCACATTTTTTACCGACCAACACTGACCTGCAGTAGGCTTGACCTTGGGCCTAATGAACAACAGAGTGTACAGCTTTTATACAAATATGTGGCTATAGGGAGAAACCGTGAACCTATGACCTGCGGCGCACATTAAGAAAACGCAAGTACATGCTATACCTTTCCTTTATATATCCTATGTTGTGTGGAATCCAGTGCAGCTGCTACATGCCGCCCATTCCATACATATAGATAATTACCCATAATAGTATTAATACCCAGGAGGCTCCCACCACATGACCAAATAACCACAGCAACAGCGTTCAGTGAGAAAAAAAAAAGGAGAAAAAAAAAAGATTCAGGGATGTAAGATAAGGTTACTATTAGTGCCAGAAGTGGAGGCAGAACAAAATCCATTTTGGCACGTATTCTGTTAGTATAAGTAACAATTCCTAAAAATTGTGTGGCTTAAGTTAAAAAATCTCAGTAAGAATGAAAACATATATTCATTTTATGCTTCTCAGTGCACAATGCACATTTTCATCTACATTTGAAAAGGAAAAACAAGGAAATTATTTTTTTTTTATTTAAACTTGATTTGTGTTGTTTCCATTTGAGACATGCTATGATATTTTATAAGGCTAGATGTGGTTCAGTTTAATGACAGGTTTAAACCATGAGTGAAGTCAGGATTCAGTGTATTTTGATGAGCTTTTGAATTTAGATTGTTATGTTCGATCAATAAGGTTTTCGTGGCTGCAGTTAGTCATTGTGGCAGGTCAAAAGTTTGTGCGAATATCTGCAGACTGTCACAAAATGTTCATGTTTGTACATCTTGAGTTGTGGTAGAAACTTTATGGTGCAAGATGTTAGGTGCAAACCCACGGTTCATACATGAGGCCCCTGAGGTAGTGTTAGGCAACCCTCTGTTTCTGTTCTCAGGATTTGGTCCCTTTATAATGAGAGCCTGCTAATGCTTCAACATAATATCAATCGACAGCTGAGGCATGATACTATCTGCATGTTTTAATGTGACTAACAACTTCTGTCAAAGTTTAACAATTTAAAGTCAATAAAACAGTTTAATACACTTCTTATTGTTTTTGTTGTTAAGAGGTATCTTTATGAACAATGATGTGTTAATGCAATCATCTCAGGTATATTTAGCACCACGGTGATAGTACCGGTATGCCAGCATGTCTTCTTGAACCTAGGGCTATGGGAACAGGAATCGGTACAGAACATGCACACAACACAATACAGTGCAGAGAATCGGATTAAGAACAATATCCCTGATATGGCCAGGGTGTATAACATTAAGTGCTTGAAACACACTAACAAAAAGTTAAGGTCGAAAGTATAGAAAACACTTTACAGAATGTGACGCTCTGCTCTACGGCTTGTGTGCTTTTTGTAAGGACCGAGAAGACATGAGGTGTTTATGGCAATCTGCTGAGGTAACACTGATTATTTACAATTGGAACTATTGCTGAATGGCAGCTCATAGATCAGCTCAATGTTTTGGGTTTTCAGTTTTTATTCTGCATGATTCTCAGAAAAAGCAGCTTTCAGTTTTTAAACTAATCAAATGTTCTGTTCTCTACAACTCTGGAATTTACCAATCAAATATATCTGCCTTGCTATCTACTAATTTAGTACTGCTAAATGAGCAGAGAGAGAGAGTGATTTACTGTCTGCTTTTCGCTTTCAATTTTTTTACAAATAAATAAAAAAACAATAATTATTTTGCATTTACTTTTTTTTTTGCTGTTAAAGAGAGCCTTCATGGAAATGTGGACCCTCAAAATGCAGGTAACTATGAAATATTTGACACTTCTAGTTACAGAAAAATATTACCACCAGGGAATTACGTGATATAGAAATAAAACAAACAATCAATCAATCATGTACACCGATTCACTGAAAACATCTTATAATTAACGCAGTCCATGAAAATCTTAGCTCAGTATAGAGTGACGGAACATGGAACTGTGAATGTGGGTCCAAAACATGGCCCCACACTCTAAACACTGTATTAATTCATGCACACACCAGTTCCTTATGTAGAGGTCACCTTAACAGCAACAATGTTACACTGCTACAAAGTACCGACATAACCCTAAATTAAATATTATTTAATTGATATGAGGTGAAATTGATATGTTAAAGATCAATGCAGGAAAACTGCATGTTTAACTAACCTAAATAAACCTGAATCATTCCTTATTATTTTATATCCCACAAACCAATTTAGCAGATATTTTTATTCTGATTGATGGACCAATAAACCAGAATTATAGAGCCTGTATCTTGAGTCAGGCTATCCAGTTTCAAAAGTGTATGCACATTATGGTGTGCTTAAACATAACAGAGAAAATAGTGAAACTTTAATTGCTGTATGTTTTAAATCTTATTTAAGGTGGCATATTAAAGTGTCTAAACAAAACAAACATATTCTTTCCAACAGGACAAGCAGGAAATGATGAGCTACAATGTTCCTGTCATATCGCCCAGCCCTACTATACACATGTTCCAGGTTTAACTTAAAACTTGACAAATTGCAAAATGGAATCAGTGCAAAGACGATGTGGAAATGACATGATTGTGATGAATGAGGATTTATTGATGAAGTTTCATGCATTCCCAGGAAAATAAATAGGCTAAAGCTAAGTTTTAATAAACAATATCAACTGCAGATGTGAAGTATGGATTCTATATTAACGTGCAACTGTAGAGCGTCTAATCTAATTGTAAATCCACTTTTCCAAACAGGCCCACACTTATGATTTTCCAGGTTTCTAGGCTACCTCAATACAATCAGGCCCCTTGAGTGAGTTTTTTGTGTTATAAAAGTCAATGACATGTACTGAAGTCCTAACTTGTCCAGAGGTCTGTGCACAAACCGCAGAAAAGAAAAACTATTTTAAAGTAGTGAGGAGGGTAAGATGGTGACAAAAGTGAAACAGAAAAAAAAACGTTTACCACAAAATCCAAATAAAAAAACTGATGAACATGTATGGCTATGTATTGAAACATGTCCAGATGAATTTAAATAACACTTCGCTCTACAACTTAAGAACCTAGATTTTACTTTAAATTTCCCGTCTAAAATTATTGTGTGCGATATTTTCCGATTTGGGACCTGGAGGAGGTGTTTAACTGATCTACTGCTGGCCTGTGCTGCTTTGTGAAGGAGCGCGGCGGTCTCAGACACGTACCATCTTTGTAGGACAGACTGCCGGTGGAGAATTTTTTGCGGTGTGCACGTGCGTAGTCCTGCAGGTTAGGTGCACTAGAGGAGCCACCTAGGACGGTGGTGCTGAAGAGTCCGGCACACTGAGAGCCTGCGAGGGGTTGCGGGAGGAGGGAGTGGGGGGTGTTGGTTAGTCACCGCAATAAAACATGCCCCTATTCAAACAGCTTACAAACAAGAGGGGCAGAAAAACAGAGAAAGAAGACAAAGGCAGGAAGAGACCAGCAGAAGTAAAGACTCAGAGGTGACCAATTTAACCATTTACCTTGTTTCCTTACAACAAGGTTGGAAATGTGGTTTAACACCCCCAGAGGTAGGGACAGAGTTTGAAGATTAATTTGATTTTTCAAATGAAGTAAATGCAACATTATATAACATACTGCACTGTTTAATTATTAACTCAAACAAGAAGGAAAGCCAGAAACTGTTAGTGAAACAGAGGAAGCTCCTTCCAGCCACTTTTAGAGACACCTTCAGCAGTAGGACCTCTCAGTGTTTGTTTTCACCTCATCTCTCATGGAGAAATGTTGATCAGCTCTTCTTTTATGGCTTTGCTCATTGTGTTTTCAATGTATATTGCACAGATACCTGACAGGATTTTCAGAGACAGAGGTCTGAACTTTGACAGGAGAATTTTCATCAGTTCTGTAGTTGATTGGCTTGTGTTGGGTGTTTTGTCCTGTGACCTAATTCATACTAAACTAGAAAACAAACATAAATATATATATATATATATACAGGTGCTGGTCATAAAATTAGAATATCATGAAAAAGTAGATTGATTTCAGTAATTCCATTTAAAAAGTGAAACTTGTATATTATATTCATACATTACATACAAACTCATATATTTCAGATGTTTATTTTGTTTAATTTTGATGATTACAAATGACAACAAATGAAAATCTCAAATTCATCATATCAGAAAATTAGAATATTGTGAAAAGGTTCAAAATTGATGGCCCCTGGTGCCACACTCTAATCAGCTAATTAACTCAAACCACCTGCAAAAGCCTTTAAATGGTCTTTCAGTCTAGTTCTATAGGCTACACAATCATGGGGAAGACTGCTGACTTGACAGTTGTCCAAAAGACGACCATCGACACCTTGCACAAGGAGGGCAAGACACAAAAGGTCATCGCTAAAGAGGCTGGCTGTTCACAGAGCTCAGTGTCCAAGCACATTAATAGAGAGGCGAAGGGAAGGAAAAGATGTGGTCGAAAAAAGTGTACAAGCAAGAGAGATAACCGCACCCTGGAGAGGATTGTGAAACAAAACCCATTCAAAAATGTGGGGGAGATTCACAAAGAGTGGACTGCAGCTGGAGTGAGTGCTTCAAGAACCACCACACACAGACATATGAAAGACATGGGTTTCTGCTGTCGCATTCCTTGTGTCAAGCCACTCTTGAACCACAGACAGCGTCAGAAGCGTCTTGCCTGGGCTAAAGAGAAACAGGACTGGACTGCTGGTGAGTGGTCCAAAGTCATGTTCTCTGATGAAAGTAAATTTTGCATTTCCTTTGGAAATCAAGGTCCCAGAGTCTGGAGGAAAAGAAGAGAGGCACTTCATCCACGTTGCTTGAAGTCCAGTGTAAAGTTTCCACAGTCAGTGATGGTTTGGGGTGCCATGTCATCTGCTGGTGTTGGTCCATTGTGTTTTCTGAGGTCCAGGGTCAACGCAGCCACATACCAGGAAGTTTTAGAGCACTTCATGCTTCCTGCAGCTGACCAACTTTTTGGAGATGCAGATTTCATTTTCCAACAGGACTTGGCACCTGCACACAGTGCCAAAGCTACCAGTACCTGGTTGAAGGACCATGGTATCCCTGTTCTTAATTGGCCAGCAAACTCTCCTGACCTTAACCCCATAGAAAATCTATGGGGTATTGTGAAGAAGAAGATGCAATACACCAGACCCAACAATTCAGAAGAGCTAAAAGCCACTATTAGAGCAACCTGGGCTATCATAACACCTGAGCAGTGCCACAGACTGATCGACTCCATGCCACGCCGCATTGCTGCAGTAATACAGGCCAAAGGAGGCCCAACTAAATACTGAGTGCTGTACATGCTCATACTTTTCATGTTCATACTTTTCAGTTGGCCAACATTTCTATAAATCCTTTGTTTTTATTGGTCTTCAGTAATATTCTAATTTTCTGATATGATGAATTTGAGATTTTCATTTGTTGTCATTTGTAATCATCAAAATTAAACAAAATAAACATCTGAAATATATGAGTTTGTATGTAATGTATGAATATAATATACAAGTTTCACTTTTTAAATGGAATTACTGAAATCAATCTACTTTTTCATGATATTCTAATTTTATGACCAGCACCTGTATATATATATATATATATATATTTATTTATTTATACACAGTGAGGAAAATAAGTATTTGAACACCCTGCTATTTTGCAAGTTCTTCCAGTTAGAAATCATAGACGGGTCTGAAATTGTCATCATAGGTGCATGTCTACTGTGAGAGACATCATCTAAAAAAAAAAAAGGAAGAAATTACAGTGTATGATTCTTTTAAACTATTTATTTGTATGATACAGCTGCAAATAAGTATTTATAAACCAATTTGGTGCAGTAGCCTTTGTTTGCAGCCACAGAGGTCAAAGGTTTCCTGTAGTTTTTCACCAGGTTTGAACACACTGCAGGAGGGATTTTGGCCCACTGCTCCACACATATCTTCTCTAGATTAGTCTGATTTCTTGGCTGTTGCTGAGAAAAATGGAGTTTGAGCTCCCTTCGAAGATTCTCTATTGGTTTTAGGTCTGGATACTGGCTAGGTCACACCAGAACCTTGATATGCTTCTTCCAGAGTCACTGCTTTGTTATCCTGGCTGTGTGCTTCAGGTCATTATCATGTTGGCAGACCCAGCCTCGACCCATCTTCAATGCTATAAGGGAAGGAGGTTGTTCCCTAAAATCTCCCAATATACGGCTCTAGTCATCATCTCATTAATACAGTGCAGTCGCCCTGTTCCATGTGCAGAAAAACATCCCCAAAGCATGATGCTACCACCCCCATGCTTCACAGTGGGGATGGTGTTCTTGGGATGATACTCGTCATTCTTCTTCCTCAAAACACAGTTACTGGAATTATGACCAAAAAGTTTTATTTAAGTCTCATCTGACCACATGACTTTCTGAGTCCTCTGGATCATCCAAATGGTCATTGGCAAACTTAAGATGGGACTTGACATGTACTTGTTAAGCGCAGGGGAACCTTCCATGCCATGCATGATTTCAAACCATGAGGTCTTAGTGTAATACAAACAGTAACCTTGGAAACGGTGGTCCCAGCTCCTTTCAGATCATTGACCAGCTGCTCCCATGTACTGCTGGGCTGATTTCTTACCTTTCGAGGGATTATTGAGACCCCATGAAATGAGATCTTGCATGGAGTCCCAGTCTGAGGGAGATTAACAGTCATGTTTACCTTCTTCCATTTTCTAATGATTGCTCCAACAGTGAACCTTTTTTCACCAAGTTGCAATTTCCTAGTAGCCTTTTTAAGCCTTTTGGAGGTTTTACAATTTGGTCTGTAGTGTCTTTGGACAGCTCTTTGGTCTTGCCGATATTAGTAGTTGGATTTTTACTGATTGTAAAGGTGTCTTTATGCAGCTAACGACCTCAAACAGGTGCATCTAAATGGAGTGGATATTTTGAAGGCAGAATAACAGGTCCTATAGGGTCAGAATTCTAGCTGATAAACAGGTGTTCAAATACGTGTTTTCCTCTCTGAGGAGATATATATATATATATATATATATATATATATATATATATACGCACACACACACGTTAAAAAAGGACTTATGGTCTTCTTAATGTCTGCAATGCATTAAGAAGAATAGATGTTTTGCAACTACACCACATGATGAAAAGGAACTCTGTACTCAATGATATTCAAAAATCAATCAACGTTCTAAACTGTTCTTGCATTGATAATAAAAATACCAATGCAAAAATTCGCTTAAGAGGTACAAAGTACTAATGGAAATTGAAATCGGTATTTCCATAAAGCTTGTCAGCACAAGGAAGCATATAGTTCCCTAAAAATACTTGGTGCTTGATCAGCAGTGGGCCAGATTGTGCGACACCGATTTCCAAATGAAAAGCAAATTCTGCTCTCCTCTGAATAGGAGACTTTAGATGAATAAGCTACGGTCCAGCTGTTTTTCTCCTTAGCAAAGGTAAGATACTTCTGATATGGTCTATGGTTCAGGAGTGGCTTAACACAAGCATTAAACAGTTGTACCCGTCTCCTGGATTATATGTGTGGTGAAACTTAAAAATCTGACTACAGCAGCAGCCTCCTTATGAATCTTGCCAAAATAATTAAAATTAACAATGACTTCAAACCATAACTTATCCCTGATTTTGTGCTATGGAAAAAATCTTGATGCACTGAAAAAATCTAATTTTCAGTGCATCAAGAGGCAAACATGGACAAATATACCTTGACCAACAAATGTCAAAACATCATTCATGTATATTTCTGACCTGATGTTCAAGGTAAAAACCTGACTCTGGAAAACATTTGAAGTGCAGCACTAGAAAAGATCAAGGTGAACACTTAAGGTCACATTCACTGCCCAGTGCACCCTATCATATATCGAGTTGATTTCCTATCATATTATGAAGTAAATAAATATCGCCAACCCTCATTTGTATGCTTTGACAAAGCGCTCTGAACAACCAGCTTTATTAGAAATGGTTGTTTGCAGCTCGGTGACTGTGAGTCATAACATTTTCTGACAAGCTGAATTTAGAATTTCCTTCCAGCTATGCTATGCCTTCTAGCTATGAATCCACAGAAATTTCATTTTCAGCTGATTGGCTAAAATGTTTCCTTTTGATGATAATCTAAATCACTGAGTTGCAAAAGTTTGAGTTTATTTCTTATAATCTTGCAGTCAAAGTTAAAATGGTTATGTTTAGGAAATGCAATTTAAAACACAGCCAATGCTATATTTAACAAATTCATATCTCCACCAAAGATAGGATGTATCCCAAACAAAAAATGAACCCGTGTCTCCCACTTCATCTGTTATATGTTGTCATGGCAACCAAGTATTTCCCACCTACCTAAGCCGCTCTGTTTCATTTCAGGTGACTGACGTGGGCAAAAGGAGAAGAGACGATAACTGCCAACTTTAGAAGACGATGTTTCTGAGAGGACCTGAAGGAAACACAGCATAGACGCAGAGTTCAGTTGGTGGCCAGAACACACTGTGACCATACCTGGAGTTATGATTTTAAGATGTAGTAGGAAGCTGCAACTGCACATAATAAACAGACATTGATCTTATCTTTATACAATAAAAAAACAAATTAAATTCTAATATTAATCATTTGACATCTTCCTGGAAAAAAACCCTCTATCCTCACCTCCATTGATCCAGTCTTGTGATTGCGAATGAGTGGGGACTTCCTCTGAATGATGATGGGCTCAGAACTGGGCACCGCACGGTCTGTTTCATCTCGTGATAGGTCCTCCAGACTGCCAGGATCTGGCTTTTTCTTCCCGTTCTGAAAAATAAGACCAATACAACTAAATGAGAGCCTTGTTTTTACTCAAACTGAAAACAACTTTGAGTAAACAGTTTTACCGGTTCCAGCACCTCTGCTGAAGCGGGTCTGAAGCCAAATCCGGTCGGAGCATGCTCTTCTTCTTCGACTCCTTTAACACCGGGGCTAAAGTGGAGCTCCACGTGGAACCGCTCCTCAGAGGAAATGTCCTTCAGAAAGACAACGTGTAAGATACCGATGGCTTAATGAGAAAAAGACTAAATGATTATGGAAAGCTCTATTGAAAATCCAAAGGTAAATGTTGGTTCCTTGGCCCGGTACAACAGGCTGTTAGTACCTGAAAGGTCAAAAAGGACTCTGTATTTAAGCTAGAAAATCATATAAGAGCCGTTTCAAATGTTTTAATTATTTATTTTTTGAAGCAGCTAGCTAAGGGCCCTGGCAAACCTTGTTGATTTAGCCAGGGTATGCCCGATGTCCCAGAATTTTCTAAAATGCTGTCACACACCGAAAATTCTATGTATTTTTAAATTTTGGGCATATGCATAACATATTTATAACGAGGCCAAAACTTATGTCCAACGACAGCCTACGTTATGCATAACGCAAGAAAGCGTAATGCCCATGAAATTATGCAAATAATTAAATAAACACTCTCTCCTAAAAGAATCTACACTATAGTATCACTTGTTGATAGAGTGACAAGAACACACCTTGTTGTTGTCCTCATAAAGCATAATGACAATCTGCGTCATGTAGTTGAGTTCAGAAACGGCACTGAGGTAATCCATGGCACGTTTCCACTGCTGGTCCTTCTCCTCCTGTTTCAGACCCAAATGTGTAAAACATCAAACTGATCCTTCCTTCTCATCAAACAAACTCTCTGAAATAAACTGCTGTTTGCTTACATCAAGGAGACCTCCATATCGAAAAATGCTGAGCAGGGAGTGAACATGGCTCTCGCTGGTGAAATATAACCGAGTCCTGACGTGACGACCAGGCGATAGTACTCCACGAGAATAACTGCAAGCATGAAGCCCAATTAAAGATAAAGTGACCTAATTTATACGCTTAAGTTGAAGAATCTGTTTTGTGAAGATAAGACTCACAGAGGATGTAGTTTGTTGACAAACTCGTCTCCATGAGTCCTCTGAAGGTCAAGCTGGATCTTTCTGACCAATGGGAGGCAGTAAGCATAGGCTATGTCCAATTTCTCAGCCTTAGTTATGCCGTATTCCTGCAAAGACAAAAGTGCTTTTTGAGAAAATACCTTCAACACAAATTAATATGCTAGCTGTATATATCAAAAGTTTTAGAGCTTTGTATTCACACGGTGATGGGTAGTTCTACACATTTTTAAAGCTCCCCACTGAGTAAAAAGTTAAATATTTTAAGATGCTTATCAAAAAAGCATAAGCAACATAAGCAGCATCAGCATTTGGCAACATTGGAAAAAAGACGTGAAAAAAGCTTTGAAATAAGTTACTAATTTAAATCCAAAAATTGTGCAGATTGAGCTTTACTGACCAAGTTGGTTCAAACAAACAAGGGGTCTGACCTTTTTTCCCAACTTTGCTGTAAAATTCAAAAATACTTTATTAATCCCAAAGGGATATTTAATGTTAACACGGTAACACGTGTTAATTCTTTAAACCATTTGTTTTAGGTGTTTATGACTGTAGGCAGAAAGGATGTTTATTTAACATACAATTTAACTACAAATTGAAAATTACCTATTTTTTTAAAAGAGAAAGTTGTTTTCACACAGTTATACTATATGTCCACTATATTAAAAAAGTGCAGCATTTAATATAAGTACATTTATTAAAGCAGTGCTGTTTAATCTTTAGCCACTAGGAGCTAGACCTGTAACCATTCAGTGGCCCTGAAAGCAAATGGCAACACTGCGCTGTCATCAAATTGAACAATATCGATCCACGTTTGGAAATCTTGCAGATTGAGATGTCAAGGCCACATTCATCCCTCCAGATTATCAGAAAAACAAAAATATGTCTGAACAGCTACATTTAATATGTGGTTTACTGCACAAAATAACTTTTAGCTCAGTTAGCTCAGGTTTAGAGACTTATTCAGTAACAGATGCGATCTTCCCGTGTAACATACAGTAGGTGAGTAAAAAAAAGGGCTATCCCACATGGAGCATCAATATGTGCAAAGTGTTGTACATTGTCCTGAAAAGTTATTTCATAGATCTCAAATCAACACTGTAACTGTAAAGCATCACTGTAACTTGTGAGAAAGTAAGAAGTAAGAAGATGCATAGATGGATCATATGACAATTACCAAACCATTTACCTTATTTAATTCCATTCACTTATCATTCTCATTTTGAATTCTAGCTTTATAAGTGGTTTTATCACAAGAGATATGTATAGCTTAGAGAACAAAACAACAATGGATTACTCATTAGTCCAATAAGAAATCTTTGACTAACTTTCTAATCTAGAAACTCTTGATACATGTAGCAGAATTTAAGTAGAGCTAGAAATTATGGACAAAACTTATTAATACTTATTTGATCCAATATCTATATAAAATACATAAAAGTCTCAGAAAAACTGTCAAGTGTGCCCACAATAGATGCCTGTACAAAATAGAACTGAAAATAAAAACTTAATGTCAAAATTCATTTCTAAAATATCCCACTTTAAATGAACCCTTGCTGACACCGTAGAGGATGCTGTACATTTTTTTTGTCATTCTGTTAATATTTAGTATGAACTTCAATTGTTCTCTTCTTTCATAAAAGTTTGGTTTATTTTTAACTTCCCTTGCTGAGTAAAACAAACCAGATGGGCGCTCTATTTCTTTTCCCCTCAGGCACAATGAACGTTGACAACAGTGGTCCCAGGCCTAACCAAACCTTTACCACAGCACGGATCAGCTTAGTCAAAACAAAATGAATCAATTCACATTACATCACAGAAAAACTTCCTGTTGGTGGTAAAAAGCTCAAACTCTGCTCTTTTCAGCCCTCTTTTTTTAAATCTGCTCACCACACTCAGCTCTTCTGCACTGTGTGAGGTTGGTAGCATCAGGACCTGCTGTACCAAAAACATGCTTTCTACACAGTTACTGTAATAACTGCCTACATGCAACATTTTCTTTTCAGATTTATCACATGGTAAAACTGGGGATAATTCCATAGTCAGCTTTGGTCACCTTATCATTATTACTGATTTAGTGGCTAAAACTTACCGCGTTGAAGCTTAGCCAAGCCTATCAGAACTAAGCATATCCAGTTGTTGCTGGGCACAAACTCGACTTCTGTGGTTAATGGCTAGAGGCAAACCTCGCATTATTCTCAAAGCACAAAAGTTCCACATGCCAGTGCGAAGGATTTGCTGCAGCATTTTTTGCAGTGTGAGGAAAAGAGAGTGAAACGTTGCAGGCAGAGTCTGCAGGCCGCCAAGTAAGAGATACAGGTTATCAGCTTTTGTGATTGGTAACAAAAGTATATGATCGCTGATCATATACTTTTATCATGAAAATCTGCTTATATATGATCGGTGACCAATCAACCGGCACACCACTGATATATATTGATAGCAAATTATTGCAAAAAAGTTTTTAAAAACAACCACTGGACTTTGTTTCAACCAGGAAGCTTTTTCAATAAAAAAAAAGAAGAAAATTGTCCAGCAATTATTTAAAGAAAAAAATCTGAACCAAAAATTGTTTTAAAACCATTTGTGTGTTTTTTTTGTGTGTTGGTCAGATTTCCTTTTTTCCAGGGGAACTTATTTAAAGATGAATTCATATTAAATCTATTTAAAGCAAAGATTACATCAACTTGACGACAACTTCTCACTGTAAAAAAACTAAAACTATTTGAAGTTTAATCTGCACAAATGTTCAACTCTTAAAAAACAGCACAACTGCTAATAAGTTAGGCCATCATCATTTTAATCAATAAGATAGAGTACTAATTAGTTTTTCTTTATCCTCTCACCTGGGGAATAACAATGTCGGCCAAAGCTCGAGACAGCCTGAACAGCTCCTGTGTGTCCTGAAGGCCCAGTGAAGCGTTGTGTATGACATCATACTTCACGCAGTCGTAAATGTCAGGGATTTTACTGATATCATAGCGCCCGTTCTTCATGCGGAAATCTTTCTCCAGCTTGGACCAGCGCTGCAGCATCAGCTCCAGAGACTCACTGTGGTACAGCTGCAGATCTGGGAGGAGAAAGTATATCCCATTTAATGAATGAATGCAACTGAAGAGAGAGAGAGAAAAAAAAAGGTTTTCTTTTCAGTTTTATACCAGCAGATTTTGGGTCCTCCATTCTTGTCCGAATCTGTGATGTCAAACTCTGAATGAGGGCGTAGACCTGGTCACATATGGCCACCGGGTTCTTCACTATTTTCATGGAATTAACCAATGAAGCACCACAGGTTGGGGCCAGCTGTAATAAAAAAGCCCATACACAGATACAGTTAAAAATAATAATAATAATATCAAAAAGTCCCACTAACTACATAGAGGTTATATGTAAACATTCCTTTTATAGAGTTTAGTCATTTACATCTAAAACATTAAAGGTATAAATGGAAAAAACACAAGTAAGGGAGGAACAAAGCACACAAGAAGGGAAGAAAAGATAGCAGAAATAAAATAAGAAACAATAGACAAAAGAAAAAAAGTAGAGTGTAATTAAGGAAAGACACATGTAAGGGTGGAAGATTTAAATGGACATATGAGGGTAAAGTCCCTGTTTTGTATAAGTTATGAGCAAGTACATTGAGAAAAATTTTGAGCATGCCAGCTTACTCTCATACATGGACCATAAGTTACATGTAAGTTACTTTTAAGTTTTGCATGTGGTTTCTAGCTTATACAAAACCTATGAGTAACTTGTGCACAACTCATACATGACTTATCATGAACTTATCTCAAATGTATATTAATGTATTTGACGTGTTCCAGACGACCGCTGAATGCATTTCCAATTTACAGCTACTGTATGATGGCGTATTGGCAGCGTTTTGGTATGAATGGGGGATCACAAGAGGAAACCCTTAGTTCTCCTCCAGACTTCAGATGTTCAACAAGAGCAAGGCTGAGACAGGAACACATACTAGCTGTCCTCCAACATCAGCATGATCTTATCAATTTGATTCTGTAGGGTAAGCGTGAAGGTGAGTGTGATGGATCCTCCGTGCGTTCATGCCTACGGCCACGAACTTCCTAGCAGACATCATGCTGAAACTGCTGAGACTGCAAAGTTGTTTCTTTTTATTTATTTAGCTATTCTTTTTTTTGGCAGGCGGTAAACAGCAGCTAGGTTAATACCGCAAACAATAAATATTTTTATGTAGACCGGGTGCATCACTGCCCCCCTCAGGACACTGGCTTGTGCATTATTTCATGGGCATTACGCTGCTGTGCGTTATGGATAAAGTTAGGCTGTTGTTAGACATATGCTATGGGCTCGCTATCAATACGCTCTGCATATGTCCAAAATTGAAAAAATACATAGAAAGTTCAGTCTATGCCAGCATTTTAGGAGATTCTGGGATGTCAGGCTTACACTGGCTAAATCATCAGATTTAAAACAGATCAAGAGAGAATCTTTACAAATAAATTACATGAAACAAGAAATTATTTGTGTGATTAAATGTAAAATTCCTCAATCCTAAATACCCGATCGTAGTCTTCCTCGTTGAACTCTCTGTCCCTCTGCATGATTTCGTGGAGCCGGGCTTTGACGCGGTGCTGGCAGCTGCTCAGCGAGTCGCTGTCGCTGTCCAGCAGACCGTTCATATTGGCGCTCTTGACCATCTGAACCAGGATAGGGGTCAGCTCTCCTTCCAGAGCAAGCAAGCCCTGCTCAAACATAAACACAAGACGTCTGTTTTATTACTGTTAACTCCTCTTAGATTATTAACATTTGAGCAGGAAACATTAGCCTTAAAAATGCTTCTTTGGATGTTTGCCCTTTAAAAGGAACAACATCAGCTGATGTCAATTTCTAATTCAGTGGTGTGGTTAAAGGGCTATAAAAACACGAATCTCACATCAGCTCTTTTTCAGAACCTGTGAAACTTAAACTTGTCATTACAGGACTACTACAGGTACTAAAAGCACAATTTGTCATCTCTAAGTATTCTGTTTCTAAAAATATACAAAAAGCATATTTAATGTGTACAATTTAAATTTATGTAAATTTTCAGCAGTTTGAAGCTCTTAAATTGCCTTGTCCCGATTCTTGAATCTGCATAGTTTTGGGAGGTTCTCAATCAACAACTCTAAAACTATAATATAAATAGTTAAAATGTTAAATTAAAGAAAAAATACATTTAAAATGTTAATTACCTATAGAAGATAAGTCTTCAGAATAAATATATATTTTTATGTTTAAGAACAATCCTGAAAATGTTTCCGAATCCTTTCTAGGCCATTCAGATTTATAAGTTTACAGTTTTGTTTGAAATAAAAATACCTTCATAATTAGATCCTTATTAATGGTTTCATTTAACTTGTACATTTGTTAACTTGCAGTTTTGTTTACACCCCTGCCTCAGCAGCCAATACCTTTGCAAAAGCGGCAGCCGTCATCTGCACTCTGCCTTCATCTGATGCGTAGATCTTCAGGTCATGTCTGTAAGTGCTATGTAACCGTAGTAACCCACACCCTGGAAATCCAGCGTAGTCTCCTACGTCAACACATGTGGAACAGCAATAGTGGCATAAACATAGGAGCTGCTGTGTTTCCTTTGCAAACACGTCCCAACATCATATTTTTCACATTTTTTCCCCCAAGAGTATTTTATCAGGATATACTGGGGAGCATAATGGGAAGGAAAGAATTTGCTCTTTTATTCCATTAGAGTATAAATCTTTACAATGTGGTATGCATTACTATAAACCTAAATATCATTGCCTTCAGAAGGTAACTACTTAATAAACCTAGTCCTGTGTGTGTTTTAATATCTCTATAAATTTCATTGATAGGGCAAGCACGACTGTCATTATCAAAACAACAAGGGAAAATGTTCATAGTGTTGACTAAACTTCCTCAAACAGACAGTTTTCTCCCAAATATATGCAACTAAGGAGGTAAAAGGGTTTAAAAACACAATTTCTGCAGCTGTTACATACATACATTTAGTATAATGGCCCGGTTTCAGTGATTTGGTCTTTAACAGAAAGAACTGAAATTTGTTTTTAATGGGAAGGAATGTACAGAATTATAAGTTCCATTTATTGTACAGGAACATGATTTATTCTCTGATTTATTGTGTAAATCAAAGAATGAGGCACCTCTGACTTAAGAAACACAAGCAGCAAAGATTCAAGGAAAGGAGCCTTTTTAGTTTTCCTGCCTCAAATATGCCTCCTCATATTAATAAATTACCTCATCTTAATTGGCCGGTTCAGAAAGGGAGTTAACAGGGTGATTAAGTTAGCCAACTGAAGAGAGTTAGAAAACATGTTTTAGATGCAAGAAAGTTTCAGATGATCTATAAAAAAAACAACCTTTTTTTTACCAGTGTTATATCCTTCTAATTTAGTGGTGTGGGCACAGCCTGCGTCTGCCTTATCCCTCTCTGCCCGCCTCTTGTTTTGATCTGATATGAAACTGTTTCTGCTCACTCTCGGGCTGATTGCTGTGGTTTGACTGTTTATGGTTTTATGACCTCAACTCTAAAATTGGGCTGTGAGTCAACACCTCAAAAACTCCCTTTTTTCCTCTCCATTACCAGTTTCATATCAACACTTTATACTCCAACTAGGATATTCAGAGTAATTACTTTTTCACCAGTACTAGACAGCAATATCCTTCTAACCTTGTCCCCCAGGGTACATGCAGCGAAAGGCTCTCCCAAGCTCCTCAGCTTGCACTCTGCCAGCAGGAGTCAGCTCCCCTCCCCACTTCAGCACCAGCAGCAGAGATGGACCTTCCTTACGCGTATCTTAAACAGATGGAAGGGGGGGAAAAAAAGACATTGAATCTAGAATAAACATGACGTTCTAACAAATGACCTTAAAAAATAATTAGATAAAATATCCCAACCTTCCTCTTCACTTGATGTCTTCGGCTGCCCATGGGGCAGGTAGGTCAACTGAACCTTTCTGTTGATCCCAGAAAAGTGACCATACCTTTTATACCAGAAAAGGAAATAAATATAAGACCACATCCAAAGTTTTATAAATAAACACAGAACTACAATATGTCTTCAATCAAGCAACATTTCTTAATTTATCTAAAATATCTCCATGATTAATTTTTGTAAAGGTGAGTTTTCAGTTAGGTGTTTCTAAATTTGACACAATTATATCGTCCATCAAGCTTTATCCCAAGTGGGGTTGCGAGGGATGCTGGTGTCTATCTCCAGCTGTCTACGGGCGAGAGGGGGGGTCCACCCTGGACAGGTTGCCAGTCCATCGCAGGGCAACACAGAGACAAACAGGACAAGCAACCATTCACACACACACTCACACCTAAGGAGAATTCAGAGAAGCCAATTAACCTAACAGTCATATTTTTGGACTGTGGGAGGAAGACGGAGTACCCTGAGAGAACCCACACATGGACAGGGAGAACACGCAAACTCCATGCAGACAGACCACAGTTCGCCTTTAAAGCAAATAATTTCACAGAATATTACCCACATGGTGATAAATTGGGTTATTTTTGTTCTTTTTCAGGCAAAAAGCTTATAGTAAATAAAAAATAGTGATATTAACGAATTAAAATAAACGATTTGAATTATAATTCTAATGCTGGATTTGGCATGGAGGCAGTCACCCTTTTGCTATACTGAGGTATAAATAAAAAACAACTAACAGGTAGCCAAAATAGCGTTCTTAACCTCCTGTGCATTGATGCTTCTCATGTCTCTTTGTCGGTAATGAATGAAATAAAAGTCCACAGTTTTTGCTTGAAAGAGGACCTCAGATCACTGAGCAAGAGCCATTTCTTTTTGTAATGCACCTGCTTTGTAGCCCTTAAAGATGTTTCCTTATGCTCACCCTTCCAATAATATAATTTGATACAGCAATCTGAGAACAGCCTTATGCGTTCCAGAAAAGCCTTTATCTAACAAACATAGGGCCTATCAGTTTTATATATGTTTACACTCTGTTACTGTACACAATACAGCTTTATCAGAGGAAAAGTGACTCTGGAAAAAAACGGATTCTTTTTTAATCACAACGGACCAAAGCTGTGATCTCATAGGTCTGCCTCAACTCTTTTCTTGGCGTTTCTTTTATAAACAATGTAAAAACGCAGCTACAAGCTTTTATGGAAGCTAAAGGAGCACCAGAACATGAACAGCCACCTCCAACAGTTTGACCTTAAATAGTGAATTTATCATTGGCTGTGGCAGAGCTTGTACTTCTAAAGACTTAATAAAAGTTTCACCCTTCAGTGGGTCTCTAAAGAAAGGAGGTTAATAATCAGACTTGTTTCACCTACATTTCTAAAACCGTCTTCAGCTGCTCTAGTTTGCACTTCTTCTCTTCAATCTCACAGTCATTGTGCTGACCCAGTTCTATCAACAGCATTCGGGTGATGTCCAGCACCTCCTGTTAACAATCACAGTAAAAAGCTGTAAGAAGAGCTACCAGCAGCTTCTTCAGTAGTGATTTACCCATGTCAGAATGGATCATTTTACCTGCAGCTGTTTAGGCTTTTTGAGTTTTAACTTCCCTGTTTTGTATCCTTCGTATTTTTCAAACAGATCAAAGAACCTGTGTGAAAACAGGGAAACAATAGAGAGGTTTTAATGAGGTGTAAAGTGAACAGGCAGAGGGCTACAGAGGAAACTCACATGGGGTTGCGGACTTCCATCTTCATCTTCTGTTTGGGAGTTCTGTCTCCATGACGGATGACAGCGATGACACAGCGTAGCTCCATCCTGACGAGTTTCAAAGTGAATACATTAATACCTTCTACATGATAAGTGCATTAATAAACAGTTGATGACATGGTAACAGCTTACATGGTCCCTGAAGTGGTGGGAACAATCGGAATGTCCTCTGCCTCGGTTGGAATTGACCAAGGAATCTGAAACTGCGGGGCCAGCTCTCGCATCACAATGTTTCTGAAAGGTTTAATCAGCACATGAAGAACAGAAATAATTAAGTGGACCTTAAGAAAAAGCAGATAATTGCAGGTGAAAAAGTAAAGTTGGTACCCAAGGATCTTGGCACAGTCGTCGTAGTATTTCATCGAGTTCTTGACGAAGCTGAAACCGTTTACGTCACAAACGTAGGAGTGTCCGTTAGCTCGGAGAAGGTCGAAGCCACACACAGTTTGCTGTGGTATAATCCAACATGAGAAAACATTTACACCACAGATATGACAGAACCATCTTCAAAAAAAAACAAAAAACATACCTTGAATGCCAAGCAGACTTTTCTGGCCACCAGTTTCTCCATGGCAGAGAGCATGACAGGGTAACGGACCTCCTTTCCCTCGCTGTCTCTCTCCACCTTCCCGTCCAGAGCAGGAGACTTCCGGGCCTCAGCATGAGCATAGTCCGGCCCAACGGTGTAGACCTGAAGTCCAATAGAAACCCAAACCCCAGCAGTTAATTTCAATGCTTCAGGTAAACTTACACTAGTTCATCTGCTACAAAACTCATTCTAATAAAAACATAAACTTTTAAGGGAGAGTTTTTTTTTTTTTTTTAAAGAGGCAGGGTTCTGTATGGAGTTTCAGAGTAGTTCGTATCTTACTGTCAGGTGATAAGTCTCAAAGCATTTAAAGGTAACAAAAGGACCTGAGAGTTTTCAAGAGTTTTATAGTAGCAGAAAACCACATATTCCCCCAAATCCCTTTTGAAAGTAGTTCCTGTGAATTAGTATTAATGTGAACCCTAAGCACATATGTAAAGCTAAATTTACACATCAGAATAATTTTGGACTTTTAGTTAAAAGTTTGATATTGTGCATTTAATCACCAGGGTTAGAAGAAACATACTGCAAAGTTTTCTTGAGAAAAATAAATGGAGACAAGTAGGGCTTCCACCATATTCTATCTTTCTATCTACCCATCTATCTTCTACTGCTTGTCCATTAGGGTCACAGGGGGCTGGTGCCTATCTCCAGCTGTCAGTGGGTAAAAGACAGGGTGCACCCTGGACAGGTCATTACACAGAGACACAATCATCAGCACAAACAATTACACATAATGGAAAATATGAGATACTCATCAACCCAACAGAAGTTGGAGTACCCAGAGAGATTCAGCCCTTATATGGTCTAATGGGGAGGCAATTCCAAAGGCTAATGTAGCCGACTACATCCACTTTGGCTTAGTCTGGAATGTTTCTCTTGTTGGAAAACCCAAACTTGTTCAAGTTATAAACATCTAGTCATTAATTGAAGATGAAGTTGAAGAATCAAATGTTTCTGCAGTGCAGTCCACAGCATTATACTGCCGCTACCACCATGCTAAACAGATGCTACAGTGTTCCATCTCTCACCTTGAATCCTCCAGCCTTCTTCTATTGTTCTAAATTCGTACCTGACCATAAAACCTTTTTTCCAGAGGAAATTTACCTTCTCCACATAAACTGCTGTTATTTCAGTCCAGCTTGAAGGTGTTAATTTTAGAACAGAAGCTTTTCTCTTGGTTGACAACTGAGTCCATGGTGATTTAAAGTCGGCGTCCCCTTTAACTAACTAATACATTAGCTGAAATCCTTGAGAATCGGATCACACTGTGCAGACAAGTGTTGTTGAGAAATAAACCAAATAAGGGTGTGATGGTGGTGTAAGAATATGTAAGACATATTTACAGAGGCCTTTTTCTTCAAAGAGTTTGAGTTGGTCTAGTAAGATTTGCCAATATTTGTCCTCCTCAATCTGTCTCAACCCCTTTTCTGTTGACTGACTTTCAGATAAAAAAATACAAATTTCAATGTCGTATAATTATCTTCTGCTAAAAAAAAAAAAACATCTTTAAAAGCAACATATCAATATAACTTGCATGGGAACAATAAGTGCAGAGTTCTGACGTCAGCATTAGAAGCCTGGTTACTAACACAGAGCAGATGGCAGGTTGTGGCCCATTATCAATGACCTTAAATGTGAGCAATCCACTGCAGAGCCAGTCTCTGCTCTGTCGTCTGCAATACGTCTGCTATCCTGCAGCTCAACTACTGACAGCTTCTTTGGACTGGCTGCATTTTTTTCGCTCATTTTAAAACTACTTCTGTTTGTTCATAAATGATTAAATGGATTAGCAGTCGGTGTGTAACAAAATCTCATGGTACGAGTGTGAGTAATCTGTGTTTACATAAAACACAGACATAAAAGAGGAGACTTAAACACTGAGCTTAGGACTTTAGAAAAACAATAACTGACAAAAACATTAACTAGTTCTCTAAGGTATCTCGATGTGTTTTACTGTTCCATTACTTCACTCTTTACCTTGACATCAGTGCCATCAGTTGGCATGAACTCTTCATAGATGTAGGAGCCCGTCTTCCTCACACTGCTCTCTGGAGAGTATACACTGCTCCGGCTCCCGATCTGCACAAAATGAAGGTTAAAATCAGCCACTCTTCAGTAAACCTCATTCCACACTGTGGAAATATTTTATGACCCTAGAAGTGGATTAAACTGCTGCATTTACATAAAAAAACCTGCATTCAATTTCAAAAGCTAAGAATATCCTAGACAAAGGCAAAAGGTCAGAGAAAACAAAAAAACTAGGCTCTTATTTTGAATTTTGCAAAAGAATTGATTCGATAATGGCCACAATGCCAATAGACTATGCAGAAATAAGATCTAACAGAAAAACTAGGAAGCCATGTAGGAAACCCAAAGATGGAACATTACAGCTAATTATTCCTAGTTCTTTGAATATAGAGAAGAATATTGTGCATAGAGCTCAACAAGCAACACACCGAAATAAAAGCATTGACGTATATATAGTTTGTATCTATATTTAGCATATCTATAATGTTTTGACAACAGCAAAGCCAAAAACCCAGAATACAGAGTACTGGTTATCTATTTTCTGAACTTCCCTCCAATCTCCTCGTTTTTACTTGGAGTCTTGCACAACTCCTATGTAAAATGTAAAAAAAAATGTACCGTTACAAAAATTAATCTTAACTTAGAAAGCCATTCTGTGCCTCCTATAATCTTAAACCCATTTGGATGCTAAAGGTGCATAGAGTTGTACTAAGCTTAGATGGAGCCCATTTGGCAGGTTTTTGCGTGATAAATCTCTCTACGCTATTTTATTTAAATTACAAATAAGGAACAAAACTGATGATGCTTTAATCATAAGATGCAGTTTAATTGAAAGGGATATTTGTTGCCATACTCAAGAATTGTTCAGTAAAGAAAAGTAATCCATAAACCTTTTTTTTTTATTTCAAAAAAAGTTTTCTTTAATCTTTCGAGCTTAATCTGAGGAAAACATATGACTGCTTCCATGACCTTAAAGGTTAAAGCATTGGGAGGGTTTTCATCAGAGGGTTTGGGATATTTATTTATTTTCTGGTAACAATGGGTGTCACCTTTCCTCTTTGATGTAGAATCATCTAAAGATTGATTTAATTCTCTAAAGTATTTGATTCGCCAAGTTTAGAAATAAAGCGACAATACACAACACAATGTCTAACTGACGGAGCCTATAGATGATTCGGGTTGATTGACTTGGGGAAGACAACACAACATTTACATAATTGGACAGCTTATAAAACAAGGTTTATTTTTTTACTCCATGCAAAAACTTTTGTAACCTATGTTTTACAGTAATCCCACCGTTAACACAGCAAAATACTTTATGCTCACTAAATACAGGCACTGAACGTTAGCAAGAGCTGTGACTTCTTAACTTTTTAAGGAGCTTGGAGATTTTCTGCCTTTACATCAGCAGCAATAATCTGAATTAAAAAACAAGGAATAAAGGCAACGGTCTGGACCTTTCTGAAGAGTCTCTGGCTGCCACCACCTGCAGATGTTGGGTAATAGATGTACACATTGTGGTCTTCAGCACAAACAGGCTTCTCCACAAAAGGTTTCTGGAAGATCTCCCCATTCACCTCCACATGGTCCTCTCCTTCAACCAGGTTACACTCTGAGACAAACACACAGCAAATGTTGCAGTTTAGGCAGCTGGCTCCCTGTCATTACCCACCAATAGCATAGAAAAATGAATCTTGACCCTGCAGTGTTTACTCTTGAGGTCGATTCTAAATCATGTGACTTTTGTTGATCCTTTTAGAAACAGTCATGGAGGACATGTAAAACATCCGATTGCTCTTTCCTCAGGGGAACATCTTTGTGCCTCTGAGTAAAAACAGGATCAGAGTGCCAGAACTTATATGTCGCAAAACTTAATGAGGGAAACTCTCCCTAGCAGAACATTCAATGCTATATTTATCTCACAGCTGACATAAAACCAGTTGAATAAGTGATACTCAGTGGAGCCTAATAAAATTATACATTAAGTTTAGTGCAGTGCAGTTCAAGCATGAATAAGGGACAGACCATCTGGTTTATCTGGGTCACGGTTCAACACAGCATAGCGAGGCAGTTCAATCCCCTCCTCCTGCAGGATACGGTACACTTCTCTTCTGCAAAAGAACAAAATAAAAAAGTACCATTAGCAAATAGACCATGACTTGCAGAAGCTGGATTGGGTTTAACCTGAAAACAAATATTCTTAGTAAAAAAAAATGCACCTGTCCTGAATGTAGTACTGCATGTTCAGGTCATTGATGTGTAGAGGGTTTCTCAGTTTGGCATAGCTCACTGCCTTATCCAGAGGGAATCCTGGACAACACATGCGTCCAAAAAAGTGAATTAAAAATCACATTTCAAACTCTTATTGCATAATGTAAAACTATTATTCTGGACTTCTATGGACAGCAGATAATTATTTACTGTAATCAATAACCTCGGAACTTGTGGAGACTAATTTAGCCCCTGAGTATGTAACTTTGGATTGTTCCATAAAAAGCACACTGTGCATGTTGTCCCTCTGGGACAGGGGGTGCTGTACCTTTGGAGTGGAAGGAGATGAGGCAGTCACAGAGAGGCCATTTGTCCACTGGCTCGTTGAGGATGACATCCTCAGGAAAGATGACTACAGTGATGTACTCAAACCTACACAGCCTCTCCAGAATCTGGGTCATTGGCTTGGACTTGGACTTCTTCATCATGCAACAGATCCCCACCACGATCTGTCGCTCTGGGGGCTGAACAAAAGCAACGAGATTAAACAGACCAGTTCAACAGACGACATAAAAAACCCAACCAAATCTATTAGGCTTCCTAAATAGCAGTATAAATTGATTCCAATTCTCTGGTCAGTCTCAAATCTTTAAATGCCTGACCTGCTGTTTTCAATATTCATTTATAAATGACACTAGTTTTATAAGATCACAGTACAGCTGAAATGTTTAAATCTTAGTTTGTAAAGAAAAGGGTTTAGAACACCCGTGGAAACCTAAAAACGTGTTTTACATGCAAAAATACTAGTGCTCTCAAATATAAGCAAAGTTTAGAGCGTCGGCAGTTGTTGTTTTGACGACCTTTGGAAGGTCAATAAGATTGGATGTAAATAAGACACCTTAGACAACAGGTCTGGAGACTAATGCATGTTATCTTTTTTCCAGATAATAGAGCACAAAAAACAGAACACTGATATTTGACCATGTAGCACAAAGAATCTTCTGCATGGTTGTTTTACAGCATAAATCCTAAAGTCAAACAATTAAATAAAAATATTTATTTAGATACTTAAAAACTTTTTTCTTGCGGCTTTTCATTTTCTCAGCCATGATCGCCAAAATTCAGGTTTAACAGTTTCTGAAATATTTTTTCTTGTTGAACATTTAGCTAACATTTGGATACAAAGCAAAAAACAAAGCACCAAAACATGTTTGTATTGTCATTGGAAGGTCATGAGCTGATCATTATTAATAATGAATGTTAGGTTCTTCTGCTTCCAGCCAAAATGCGTCGGCAGTGGTTTTTTTGACGACTTTTGGAAGGTCAATAAAATTTGATGTAAATAAGACACCTTAGACCACAGGTCTGGGGACTAATGCATGTTAACTTTTTTTCCCAGATAATAGACAGAGCCCAAAAAAAACAGAACACTGATATTTTAACATGTTGCACAAAGAATCTGTCCGGTTGTCAGTGAGGATTTAGGAAGTTAAACCAATGTGGGTAAAACTTAACGTTTAATGTTAAATTTGCTTCATGTAAAGTATGAAATGAAAGTAGATGTGTTGTAGAAGTCTTCTGCATGGTTGTTGTTTGTTGTTTTGTTGTTGTTTTACAGCATAAATCCTAAAGTCAGACGATTAAATAAAAAAATTTATTTAGATACTTAAAAACTTTTTTCTCGCAGCTTTTCATTTTCTCAGCCATGAGCCGCCAAATTCAGGTTTAACAGTTTCTGAAATATTTTTTCTTGTTGAACATTTAGCTAACATTTGGATACAAAGCAAAAAACAAAGCACCAAAACATGTTTGAATTGCCATTGGAAGGTCATGAGCTGATCATTATTAATAATGAATGTTAGGTTCTTCTGCTTCCAGCTAAAAAGAGAAAAGCAGAACTAACAAGTAATGGGGCTTTACCATACGAGCAGAAACAGTCCCTCACCGAATCTGTGTCTTCGTCGTCCTCATATGGCTCCATGTCTGTCCTCATGCTATCCTCCTGCACCTCGCTCTCATCGTCCTCGCAGCCCACGAAGAATCTGGGAGCGCCACGCTGGCTCTCACCCGGGCTGTTGGGCTCTGACATCACAGTCTCCCACAGCAGCCCTTAGCACCCCACCGCGCCATCAGATGCCAACAAATGGCCAGAGTGGGCCACCGATGGGAGGGCCCCAGGCCTGCGGAGAGGGATGAGTCCCCGCTGTTTTTACCGCACAGCAGAGGAGGTCAAGGTTGGGAGGTAGTGAGGACAGGGCTGTAAGAAGGGAAATTAAATCAAACCAAATGAATGAAACCGCAGCGTTTGCCTGTCTTTAGGTAACAACTTTCTTTATTTTTTCATATTCATTCAGCAGATTGTGATCCTATATTGGGAGCCTGAAGTTCACAGTAGTCCCCACTATCAAGCTCCAGTTATACGATCATAGTACTTCGCCCCATTTGCATCAAAGCTGGACAGGCCTGCAGAAACACAAAAACACAATGATTTTATATGCAATAAAAGGGTCACCTCTTTCAACTCTGCATTCAGCTGTTTACATAAAAAGAGTCCTTTCATTGCTAAAAATGTTGCCATACATTTCCTGGATCCATCTAATGTTTGATCTCGTGTCTGTTACAGATTAAATCCTTACAGCTCAGTCATGCAACAGTAAAGGTCTGTTTATATGTACAGAATCCTATATGTGGTTATGGGCTCCAAGCCTTCTTCTCACTAAATGCATTTAGACACAGACCAAAACAAATTGTAACCGTCTAAATATCAGCCCATCTGCAGCTATAGTTTTAATAAAGTCACTGTTCTGTAGATTTGTTGCTGTAATAAAAAGCGGAGCTGTTTGGAAAACATAAAGGCTCATTGCTCTTCCTGTGGTGACAGACGGGCGAAGAATCTGGTTAGCAAAGCAGCAGGAACTTCAGCTCAAACCTGTGTTTTTACTCTACCTAAACATTAAAAGCTTAAAAACAGGAAAGTCTACAGACAGATCCAATTATTACCCTCTAAGACATTGCAACACACACACATACGTGAGCAAAAAGAGCCCCATCAGGAATGTAAGGTTAAAAACTGTCTGTAAGCAGCAAACATTACTATTAGAGCAGCTCAAAGAGGGCGTTCAGCTGAGATAATAAACAAACCATCAGGGACCTCAGAGTTAAGGAAAACAAGCATGGCTGCCAAAAAATGGCTGAGATCACGCTAAAAGATTTTGCATATCTAAAATCACAATGACCTGAGATCAAACTACACTTGCAAAGTCTAGTTTCTAGTCTAATCAAAAAGGCTCAATACCAAAAACAGGACTTAAAACAGCTGATATTTAATTCCATTTAAAAATTTATGAGACAATAATTTAACCATCTTTTTCCATTTTGTTGGTAATTAATTTGTTGATTAACAGCAAGAGCCCTACTGCTTGCTGTATTTACAGTAGTCAGATGTAATGAAGACTCACTCATACCCAGCTCTGTGAATAAATAAAAAATGAGCTGGAAGTACAATGTGGCTAAAAGAAAAATAAATTTTTGATGCAACCTAAATTTTCCATTTCAGAAAATGTTTCTCATTTTAAATCTTATCCTGAAAATGATAAAAAAAAAAAAATCTGATATCAGCCAAAAAATGTATGATTAATGATATTGGAAAGCTCAAAAAACACTTGGCTTCTATCTGCTTTTTTAAAGTTTATTTAACCCTTTGGTGAATAATAGATTGGTCAGTTGCTCTCATACGAGATGTTGAGTAGTGTTCTATGTTTGAGAAATAATCACCTGATCAAGCCATTTCTAGAATTCCACACTACAAAATAATTAAGAGAAGTATATATGATTGATGCTAATATTGTATCCCATCATTAGCAGTAAATGATTAAACTTGCAATACCGGTATTGTACTGGATACTAAAAAGTTGTATCAGGACATCAGTAGTTTACTTCCAGCTTGCATACGGGGATCAGAGCACTAGCTCTAATGTTCCTCCTTACTCATTCTTTGTAGCAATTGATCTACTTTAAGTGTATTACTGCGAGATGGAAAGAGAAAGAAGGTATGCAATGCTCTTTAAATGTGATTTGTTTAATGTAATGATTTGGAAAAGTGCAATTTCTAAAATTGTGATTATGAATTTTCCAGCCCTATTCGGGGGCCACACTAAATTATTTCAGGTCAGCACACACCCTGGGCCTCCCTCTGAACTCACTTCAAGATAAACTGGGGAAAATATTTATCCATTCACCCCAAGAAAGGCCAGAAAACCTGATTTTACTTTGTTTTTCCTAATACATTTCATGGCTTATTGTTTTATGAATTATCACTCTCCTTTGTGCAATATTGCAATTCCCCTACTAAAGAAAAAAAAAGCCGCCAATTTAAATTTTAAAAAGTTAATATGGTGGACATATCTGTAGTCAACCAACCAACCTCACACACAAACACCCACCCAGCCTTTGTTTGCATGACTTTCGGGGACATTTCATTGACATACATTCGAATCATATAGCCTAAGCCAAACCCTTACCCTAACTATTACCAACATATTACTAACCCTAACCTAACCCCAATTCAAAGAAGAAAACTTTACCATTTGGGGACCTGTTGAATGTCCCTGTTTGGACCACTTTGGACCTGTAGGTCCCCACAATGGGGGATATTTGACAACACACACTCTGCTGTACACCAGGTAACTAAATCTCATGCATAGGTTAATCGCTGTTGCTAAGCTTTTATACATGAGATGTTCTGCCTAATATTTTGCAGGAACCTGTCTGATCACTAGGACTATATTGTCTGTCATCTTATGAAAGTCTGATTTTCTTAAACCAGATAACGCAGAAGGATTTATTACTGATCCTATCTCTGACATAAGAAGCAAACATCAGCTAATGAACCAGACATAGCAGCTGATGCAACCGAAACTATTTAAATTCTTACCCACCACAGGCAATTGAGCTGGCAAAAGCTGAAGATCATTAATTTTCAATGTAGTCTGTTGCAGGGTATGAAACATTCAATTAGATTAATCACAATTATTCCACTATTAAAATAATCCTAAACTAATTTGGTGATCAAATAATCATTAACAGGAGCACAGAACTGAGAGCAGTGTTTTGTGAAAATGATTCCCTTATTTTTCCAGTGTATGAAACTGATGCCAATTCGTAAACGCTGTCAGGCTGTGTTTTAAGCAACATTTACACTTTGAAAGCATACCGATAACAGAGATAACTGTTGAGTGTAAATGGAATGCAACTGTAATGTACCTTGCCAGACGAAACCAAATTGTGCTAAATCTAATACTAGTTCGACAGTAAGGCTAGGCATGGTTTAATTGTGGTACAGTTCTATGATAACAAAGAGGGCATGAGTAGACCACGTCAACGCCTATTAACAACTCATTTTGTGGGTTTTCTGGCATGTCCAGCTTTGAATTCACAGATCTCTTCACTTGTTCACAACAGGAACTTCTTCTCGGCCTTTTAACAATAAATTGCATCAAAACAGTGTGGTGCCACCTGGGATGATGCCGAGGCCGAGGCTCTCTTGAAACTTGGGCGGAGAACGCTATCCAGGCTCATAAGTTCCTGAATGTTATGGGCACCGTCCTTTTTTGTTTGCATAATTCCAGAGAGATGCATAATTCTGAGAGGCGAGGAACCATGCTAGCATGATGTGTAAATGGTCATAAGAACCAAGTTCAGCACGGATAACCGATCCAAACTCGGTCCGAACTTGGCATGGATCAGGTTCAGAGGGTTAGTTTAAATGGGGAAATAAATGGGACTGGATGGACATGATCTGGAGTAGATATATATGGATTTATGCAATAGTTTTTGTTGGTTTTATTGCTGATGTAATCTAGAATTTGGGGTTCTTTTGACAAGTAAGAGTGATGTAAACAAATAATGGTCTCATGATTGTCAATGAATGGCTTAACTGGAAAAAAAAAAGTAAAAAAAAAAGCTTGTTGTCCCCTACGCTCCTTCACCCTGTGCCACAGCAACATCCAGCCCCTTAGCTGGTTGTGGCAAAGCAAATCGAGAGGAAGGTTACGATTTTTCAACTTCAGCTACAGATGCATGTGCATCCATGGCAGGTGTAGCTTTGCTGTAATTACCTCAAAAGTACTTCTCGCATCGCTAAAAGTATCTTTTAATAGCACTCTCTCTGGCCAAAGTCATAATCATTGCCCATTTCATCAGTAAAAACCATAACTGAAGTTGCATGAAATGAATGATTCAGTGAATGAACCTTTTATAAGAATAATTTTGATGTATTGATTCTAGCGATTAAGTTCAATCAAAGAGCTGCTGTTTCACTAGTTTCCAACCCTTGTCCTCTAGAAACAGTGTCCTGCATGTTTAGGTGGTTCCTGGTTGCCTAACTTAAATGAATGGATGCTCAACAGCCTTCTACAGCTGCCTGATGAAAGCAAGAGGTCAATCAATGCAGTGAATCAGGTGTGCTCCCAGGGCTGGGAGACCTCTACAGTAACGGATTGTTGAATATATATTACATGTAGATAATATATTAATAAACCAAATACTTCTCACGAGTAACAACCAAACGTAACCTGAACGTTCTTTTGTTCAGTTTCGTCAAAGTAAAATATTACAAAGTTAAAGGGTAAATACACTGTTTATCTGGCCGCTCATGATGCTTTGACACGAAGGAACAGGGCCGACACGTTCACCTGTCTAAAAACAATAACGCCACGGTGACTGTGAAATCTTAAAATATGGTTATTCACACAGCAATCGTCCATGAAATGCAGTCAGAAATACTTTAATTTACGTTGCGAACCCAATCTGACTTCTCATGCGAATGTTTGGGTGCATAAATAAAAATAATGAAAACATACGTTTAATCCCATGATAACCAGTAAAGATGTCACTTTTTTTTGGGAAGAAGTTGTCTCGAGCTAACATCCACGACGACATATGTTAGCTGCTATTAGCTTGCGTTAGCATTCCTGTAGCCGTTAATTCGCCAACCTAAACAGCCATTGGGTGCCATCGTTACGTAAACACCGACACAAAATTGCATATTTAATATCAACACTTAGCAATAAACACTCAATGCCATTATAAATATTAGGAGTAAAAATATCAAACCTACGGTGGAATAAGAAGATCTTCTTCTGCAGGGGATTCAACTCGCTGTTGACAGTTTGCATGAATCCAATTTGACAGATGGGTGATGGATGTTTACAGCAGCCAATTGGGAAGAATTATTACTAAAGAAGGTGTGGCCAAAAACTAGGATGAGCCAATAAGCGGCGGCAGGGGGTTGTAGGAGAGCGTTAGCGCCCTCTAACGACAAAACTGAAGACTACACCTTCATTTCAATGTAATGATGAACCCCCAAAGTAAAAACGCTTTGGTCCAAAAATAGGATAGATCTCAGCACAATCTCAGCTAAATCTTACATTAGGAACGGGGGAAAAAAAAACTGATGGAATAACTAACAAGACTACTTTATCAGCATAAATTCAGTTTGGGCAGAGGTCATTTAGGACGGAACTATTACATTACAGGTTACTTTAATACATGAAGCTCATAACTCCTACTAATGATACGGGATCATCCACAGATTCACTCCGATGCACCTCACATTTGTGTCACATACTAGAAACAATTTTTAATATTTGAATTAACTTGCTTTTCTAATTATCTATTTTATTTCTGGCAGATGTTTTTTTTTTTTTTTTTTAGAAAAAGTATGCAAAGGAATTTAATACAAGATATTAAATCAATACAGAAGATCTGTGTAAAAACAAATACCTTCAATGTGCACAATAGTAGGACTTTGAAATTTAAATGAAATTATTCAAGAAAGTTGGAAGACGACTTGGAGTTTAAATTTGGAGATTTAGTTTACCGGATTAATATAACTAATATTTGATATTTTGATGTATTTTATGATTTTTACTCTTTTAAAGCTTAGCTGTTACGATGTTTATAGTAATTTACCAAAGAATATTCAGTTTACTGTGTAATAACTTAAAACACTAGATAAAGAAGTCTTCTTTTGTCAAACAGTGTGCCACTGCTGTAAAATGTAAAATCATCTGTCAAATTACCCCGCAAAACTGAAAATAATGTAAACAATTTCATTTTATGCCAAATAAAATACAGTAACAATCAAACAATCTAAAAATACTAAAAGTAAAATAGTAACTATCTAAATGTGAAGCTTATCTAAACAGCTGATCAGCTTTTTCACGTGTTACAGGAGACAGCTTTTAGCATTATAGCAGTTCTGGTTTTAACTGTGTGTACAGTTTGCCTGAATGCACAATGCTACACTTGAAATCTTTAGCAACATGCAGAGCCTCACCACTGCCCTGGCCTGAAGCTTATCCAAAAAAAGAAGGGGAGATTTAAATAATCCAGTTTCCTCTCTGTGTCCTTTGCACTGCCTATATCTGATATGTCATATCTACTACATAAAGTGCTGTTGACCAGTTTATGGCGAGCAGAATCTATGTTTATTTTCAAAAGAAGTGAAAGCCTTTTCACAATGTTTGTTGTCTGTTTCTGTCTGCCTGTCTAATGATAAGATTGTTGCTGTTGGATACCCTGGATGTGGGCTTCAGATAATGTAGTTGTATGTCAGAGTACCATAAAAGAAGAATTTGTCCCCTCACTGATTGTTTCACTCAGACTCAAATTTTGTAGTTATTTTTGGTCATTGAAAACTAGACTTGGTAAAGTCTTTTTGATGATTGTCCTGTTGAGGATTCCAGGTGGCCCTAAAGGTCTGTTATTTACGGCTAATACTGATTCGTCAGATTTTAAGCAAGAGACCAGAAGTGGTTAAATCACTGACAGTAAATCATCTAGGTTTTGAAGCAATGAAGAAACTTTGAGCTTTCTGAGTAGCTTTGGTGCGCTGATCTCTCCTGGAAAGTCTCAATGCCTCTCGCTATGTTTTACCTGAGTCCAAAAATGCTTTTAAGGTCTTAAGCCTGTCTTCATGCAGTCAGACAGGTTCTTTTAAAATGGTTTCTTAATTCTGCTAGTTAAGCAAGGTTAACCTAAAGTGGCTATCATGGATAACACATGATTTTACAAGGAAAGCAGTTACTTTACAGTTACACACATTGACAGGCTGGTCTAGACATCTTTCTCCTTTTAACATTAAGTCATCACAAAAATTATCATGTTGGTCTTCATTTAGATTATCTGTGTATGAAAATAAAATGTGTCTCATGATAAAAAAAAAGAGTATTAGATAAATAAAAAAATAGAAGATAGAAAAACAATGCTAAAGGGGGCACAAAGGTAGAGGTTATTCTGTTAAAAGACTTGTAGTTAGTGTTGCCGGTCAAACATTAACACATGTTCTGGTATTGTGCTCCAGGTTCTGCTACCTTTACTTATAATCAGAATAAAACAAAAACAAGTGTTTCCAAATAAACAGCAGTTTGTTACCAACTCCAATCGAATTCTTAACCTTGAAGTCTGTTCGTGCTTGCTCTCTCTGACTCTGGTTTTTCTACAAGGTGACCCTGTCCTCCTAAAGCAGGACAAACTACTGCTGCTAGCATGTGAGGGGCCAACGCTCACGTCTTCACTGCAAGGACAACTCAGTTGCATACCTGCCTGCAGGCCCAGTGGGACGCCTTCTAAAAGCTGTTGTAGCGGCTATGAAAGGAGCATTTTGCAAGCAGTGGGTTTACAATGCTTCTCTGTAAGTAAGCTGAACATGAGGGTGGAAATGGGTTTGGGCGTCCCCTCACACATCAGCCATAACTTAAAAAAAAAACAGCAGAACTTGCAGTTTGCTCTTAATTCTGCTGCGCCTCAAACAAGCTGTTCTCTTCCACATATGCCGGGTACAGAGAGGAAGAAGTTTTTCTTTTTCTGTTTGAAAAAACACTGATCTTCCAGGTCAGAGGCAGTGACCTTCTATGAAGGTCTTCTATGAGGTTCTATCAGCTCTCCATCCATCTGCTTAATCATCTTGGTCATTAGGTAACCTTAAAAAAAACTATTGAGACATATACACAAAGATCTAATCAATCTGTGCATCATTTTTTACTCTATCCCTATTTTTGTTGAATGTTGAAATATACATTACCAGAGTATTTAGAACGTCTGAACCTTTGTCACACCTCTACATTAAATTTGGGGAAGTTCAATTTGCTGGCCTACATACAAAACTCTATATCTGCCAATAAAAAATCATATCAGCCTGAACACGCATCCACATGCCGAAGCACAATGGTGGCAGCATAGTGTTATGGGTCTGCTTTTCTTTAGCTGAGACAGGGCATCTGTTTAGAGTTGTTGGAAAGATAGACTGAGCTAAATAGATGAAACCCCTGGGGGAAACCTGCTTGAACTTGAAAAACTCAAAATAAGGTCATTTGCAGGACTATGTAGAACTTGAGTTCAAAATGTGATTCATTCATTATAAGTGTTGGAATTGGGGAACATCAAAGAATCGTTGGACAACAGCTCTCAAGGAATGCAGCTTGACACCTTTACAAATTGAAAAAAACCTTTAACATACAGCCAGAGGCACAATAACTGGTGGGAATATTTGAGATTTAATGTTGGCAGATGCCCTCCATTGAACTGTAGAAGAACTAAATTTTAAATCTCTGTTTCCAAAGCTGATAAAATAGGACCCATAGAAAGTTACAGGAACTGCATTGAAAAGTAGTGACTCAGGAAATGAGACACTTTTTATTTTTTGGAAGGAAGATATGTTACAAAGCTCCTTTGACTAAATGATAATGCCACGTATGAATTGAATTCCATGAAACACACTCCAGTGGACAGTCACTAAACACAGAAAGTATCACAAAACTCAAAAAGTATTATTAGTTTTCCAAAAAACATACGGGTAATGGAGCCGGCGGTGACAGTTATTTTGAGAGCCAGTAACACAAACAATCAAGCTATCTTTAACCTTCCTGTTTCTCTGAACTCAATGCAACTCGGTCCTGCAAACAGTTTGGCTTTGTTGACAGGTTGCTGGGTGAAAGTTCCTTCAGTTTGACAAACAGCTCAGTCATTTCACCCAACCTCGGCTCCAGTGTAAATAACCTGGCTGGGAGACACACCTCATTTCAAAATATCTCCTAAAAGTGGTAGAAAAAAAATCCTAACCACGGCAGGGAAACTTTGAACAATTGGTGACCAAATCTATCCGTAGACAGATGGCATAAATCCCTGCTGTTTCAGGCCTGGTTCAGGTTCAGTTGAAATTCTGTGAGACACCAGTCCATTGTTTTTCTGACCCCTGAAAACAAGCATCTTCACTTGTTACTGAGGAAGGATCGAAACAAGAATTTATAGTAGAAACACAAGGTCAGTTTGAGCTCCTGCTGATAAAAATGATTCAAATTAAACTGAATATCCTCTTTTTTTAGGTAATTATAGTTAATTTGTGGCCAAAGTAACAGTGTATTTGGGCATGGGAACGTGCTGTAATCACTGTTTCCTGTCCTGTGAGCGCTTAGTGCAAATGAACTGAAAGAGGAGCTTTGTTCTCACTTTGGGAGCCCTTTTTCTCTACTCGAAGGCAAAAAAATTTACTAAACAGTGAGACTAAACATTTTAAGGTGACTGGTAAAAATAATTGCAGGAGATTATTGCCACTTTGAGCTAAATCATCACCTATAATCCCTGTGGAGACTTAGAATCTTGATTCTGCCACTGTCTTTAGATTATTTGAGGGAAACCTGAAATAAAAAAAGGAGCTAATAATTATTAAAGGCCTATGATAAAGACAATGACTAACTATTTAGCACAGTCTGATTCCCCATCATTACCTCATCACTGCTATAACCTCCCATGCTTTTCTACTTTCCTACTTACCAAACTGTAAAAAATAGTTGATGATTTCAATATCCTGTGAAACTTTCAAAATAAAAGGAAACCCTATACTTAGTTTCTGAACACCTGCAAACAATTAAGAATAATCTGTTTATTCTTGGTTAAACTGCAGATGTTGTGGTAAGCAGTCAGAAAAGAACCAAATGCAGCTTCCAAAAAAGGTAGCAGAGTCAAGCAAGATGCTGAAAAACCTTCCAGATTGAAAATGAAATTATTCCCCTACAATGAATAAACAACATTAATCAAACTAGGGCTGCAACTAACAATTATTTTGCAAATCATTTATCTGTTGATTATTTTTTAAATTAATTGATTAATAATCGGATAGCACAATTTGCTTGCAGGAGTGTTTAAACATAATTTCAACGAGGGGAAACTGAAACTTTACCACTTGAGGAGTTCTAGGTAGAGCATTTTTTTTAATCTAAAACACAAAATGTTTAGATTTTTTTTTTTTTTGTACAGTTTTGGTACAATTTCTGCTCTAAGTGGGTTGCTCTGTCAGCTAAAGGCATGTTTTAATTCAATAATTGAAAAATCCCAATTAATCTGATTGTTTCAATTCTAATAGAAATGAAGAACTTTACTAGAGACAGCAGTAAGAAACTGGAGCATTTAACTATTCAGTTCATTTAATCATTTTTGCACTTCAACTGTTATTATAAAACACATTTTCTATATCCATTTATGGAGCTTGTTCAGATGACTTCAGTGACACAGCAGTAATGCAAAGATCACAAATATTTTGTTGACTCTCTCACTGGTTCACACTAAACAGTCTTTTGTCAGGCTTAAGCTTTTTCACAGCAGCATTATGAAAAAATTTCCCTCCATATATGAAGCATGAAACACACAGTTGATCATAAACCTAAGAACCTGTGAGCTTTTATTTTGAAGGTCGATTTCCCAAACCATTTTGTGGCTACTCTTTTCTGAGGTTTGACAGACGGACCTGGTCCAAGACTTTTCCTCTGTTCTCAGCCTGAGCATCCTGTGCTGCTACTGCTGTTTCTCTGTGGGACGTTCAAACTCAGACCCCATCAACCAACAGTTTAACTGAGCCAAAAAACATCAGAGAAGAAATATTTGATCTGAGGAGGCATTTACAACAGGTAAGCCAGAACTTTTTTTTCAGTGGATTTGTCTATAATGTTTCTGTTTTCTAAAAATAATTTTATTTTAGTACTCTTAGTTTTCTTTAAGAAACAGCAAAGTTTTGCAGCATATGACACAAGTAGGGATGGTTACATTAATTTTGCAATAAAAAAAGGTAAAACCGTGATTAGATCAAAGCATACTAAGACATGAAATCCAATATGAAACATGATAAAAAATAAAGCAAACAATTCTAAATATAAAACATAAATGCAAAGTATTACATGAAAATACAAAGATACCCCCATGGTGAACTAATTAATATGATTGCAAGACAGAGTAACAGGTTTATAACTAGTTTTACAGCAGCTCGCAATGTTTCTCATCCATATTCTGTGTTCTTGATCAGTGGTTTTCTAGACGGTCTTAAGATTTATTTAAAGTTTTTCTTTGGATTCTTGTTGCTTGAATACGTCAGGGAAAATAATTGCATAATATATTTAAGGATTTTAAAGTTGAATTTGGAAAATCCTTAGCAGGGAAAATTTGATTGACAGAGAATGGAATCTCTCCAGCAAGGGGATCTCAAATTAGATACTGTATAAGTCGAAATCATGTCAGTGATAGAATAATAATATTTCTCTTAGACAAAACTCCTTGATGAATTTGTATCTGGTTCTCTTTTCTTTTCTAATTGGATAGAAAATATAAAAAAAAGATCAGTCGAGTATCTCTGATGCTAATCACTTTTGAAATACCAGGTTTTTGTGGTATAATACATCTTTTTAAACTCTTTCCAGCCCTTTATCGGGCACTGGGGGAAATACTTTCAAATTTAAAAACTCAAGCCAAGAATGTTATTGGAAGACAGAACAAAACCCCTTTCAATTTTTGATATAAAAAAAAAAAACTTTATATTTAAATGGTAAAAATTAAGATCACTGTAATAACCACAAAGAGTCACTTGTACTTAAATGTAAAAAAAAAAAAAAAGAAAAAACAAAAGTTCTTCTATAAGAAATTAATGAAATAAACTCTCAGAGTGATTTTTTTTTTTTTTTAACAGTGTCCTGTCTGGCAATGTGGCAATAAGAATAATTGTCTTGATGCCAAAAAGAGCCCTACAGATTTTACTTTCACAAGTGTAGCAGTATAGCAATTGCCATATTGCTCCACTTGTTTCATGCATATAAATCATTTTATTATAATTATGCAGGGAGTTTTACAGTTTATATGGACACTGCAATGTAAATAGAGCAGAAAAACAGAAGAAGAAAAGGAAAAAAGAAAAAAAAGAGAAAAGATGAAAGAAAGAAGAGATAGAAAGGAGACGACAAAACATTTTCAGTCTGCTTCATCACCTGTAACGAGATGAAAAAAGAACAGCACAACTGAAAGACATTGTACGAGATATACAATAAAGCAACACCTTGAAACTATCGCTAAAGTAATGTTATTAAGTCTGACATGTACTGTACTCTGTGTTACCTGAAGATACGGATTGACAGAGTGATTTGTTTGTTACAACATAACCTTAGGACCAGAGGTGTCAAAAGGATTAATGTTTCTTACTCAAGTAGAAGTAGAATTCTTACTGTTTAAAACACTTTTGTAGTATTTTTACTCAAGTAAAAGTGTAAAAGTACAATTTTTAAAACTAGTTAAAGTATAAAAGTAAAAGTAATGCAAAAAAATATATATATAAGGACAGATGCTTTAATGGAATATTCTAATAAAGGAACATTTTTTCTGCAATTCTCGAAGATAACATCCTTATACTTAATTTTCAATGAAACCGTGTGAAATTTAACTTTGCATCATCTTGAAAAACGATTTATTTTGGAATGTAGTGAAAAAGTTGGTGCAGCACCAAATCCAACCACAAAGAAATTAATTGTCTGGATGAAACAAATTATTTTGCTGGTTTTTAAATACCAAAAGGCCATAACGAAAATGGGCTTAACTTAACTTACAAGTCTATATTGTAAAATGTAAGCAAAGGAAAGTAGAGATAATTGCAAAAAAATTTAAGGAATAGAGTAAAATAAAACAAAGTGTTGGCCTAGTGGTTAGATCACTGTGCTTGTGCTCTAAGAAAGTTGTAAGTATCTGGTTCAATCCCCACAGCCTCCACTCTGGGTTCCTGAGCAAAACCCTGAATCCCTGATTGCTCCCTGGGTGCTACACAATGGCAGCCCTCTGCTCCCCAAGGCGATGGGTCAAAGTGCAGAGAACGAATTTCCCCACTGTGGGACAATAAAGGGATTAAAACTTATTTTTTTTTTTTTACATGAAAAGTTGTTATAATTACTAATTAATTTTAATAATTACTCCAGTAAAGTATAGATAGCCGAAATTTCTACTTAGGTAAAGTAACAAAGTATTTGTACTTGTTACCTATGCTTAGGACTTTAATTCTGACACAGGCACTTATATTTACTACCTTTTTTACTTAGCTTATGAACTTTTTATCTTAAGTATTTTAACTTTTTTACTTAGCATTTTACATTTTTAACATAGCTTTTTAGCTTTTTCTTTTAACTTGACTCAACTGTTTTCAATTCAATTTACAGTAAGAAGCATATCCTCAGAGGTCTCATCCAATTGGTCATATGCCAAAAGGACATGTATTGCCCCACAGTTATATCTTTGTAGAATGGCTGGATATAAATCTTGTATTTCTAAATCTTGCTGAATGATGGAGAGTGTGCAAGTGATAAAAAATTCAAACTTGGCCTATAAAGGGTTAATATGGAAAATACAATCCAAAGGAACAAGTTAAAGTTACTTGGGTGTTTGCACACATTTCAGCTAATACTTTGTCAAAACACCCCAAATCTCTCAGACTATGTCTTCTCCAAAGCTTTCTTCAGGTTTCTATAAATGTAGCTTTGAGCTGGCCCTGTTACTCCAGACTTTACATTCCTTTTTGTGAGGCCATTGTCTGGTTGACCTGGAGTGAGATAGTGAGATAGTGAGAACCCAATATCCATATTCGTATATTGCTTTCTAACATGCATTTTAAGGTTCTGAGTAGAAACTAATATTTTGAACCATGCATGTTTTCATCCATAAAAAAATCTCCAAATACTTCTGGAAAAAATAACCTCAGTGCATATCATTGCACTATCATGCTTTACAGGGAATATTGTGTGATTTTGTTGGTGTAGGTTTGTGTTAAAAATATCACTTTAGTTTAGGCAGAAATTACTTATTGACCCAAATGGGGTCAAATCTAAGAGATTATTTTAGGACACCTTGTATTTCAGGTGAACCAGAACTGCCACAGTTAATGGTAGCCATGAACAGCAGGCGAGAGAATCTTTATGTGCTTTAGCTAAATCTTACTTTCAGGATTTAAAGCTTTTCAAGTGGTTCACAATAATCTTCTTGCATGAGTTTCGATTTTCAAAAGAACTAGACAGTATGTATTGTGAAAAGTAAGAAGTGAGGTTTTCTTTTCTTTTTTTTTTTCCGCATATCAAATCACTAATGACAACAACGGAGTGCAGCCTTTTGGCAGGTTTTAACCAAATAGCTCATTTCACCTTTTTTAAACACGACATGACCAGCTGCCTCAAAATAGGTGAAAATCTAAATAACAAAATTACCTTCTTAAGCCCAACTGCCCATGTCCACTTTTCACCTCCTATTCATTTTGTCAAACTTTTAAAAAACCTTCAATGTAGGAGCATTTAATGCTTCTAAAACAATTTACTACTACGTTTTTTTTTTTCGTCTCAGTTTTCTTTGGTTTTTACAGTACAAGATGCCATTTAATGATCTATCAAGCATTGCAGAAACTTCAGCCAAAAAAGCTTCAGGACACAGACAGCTCTAATCATCTTGGTATTTATACTCATATTAAAAGGTGCTTAAAGGTTTTATATAAAAATCCTTGATAACTTAAAATATTTTAATTTAGTACACTCATAAAAATAAAGGTAAATTCATTAGAGACTTCGATGAAAGGTATCTGTCTGTAAAACAACTAAAGGCCCTCTACCAACCCGCAGTTAAAAATATTACTATTTCACATCATTTTATTTTTTTTCAACTGTTTACAGTGCAGCTTTCTGAAGGGCGTTTAAAGCTGCTCAGGATATGATTGGTTTACCAACATGGTGCACCAGTTTCTATGGTGCAATATGTCCTAGAACTGCAAAGAAAAACATTTGTTTCATTTATTTCAGTGCCAGACAAATAAAGTCTATTTCACTCAGTCTTACTTACAGGCTTGATTTATCATTTTAATTGTTCAAAAAAGTTTTCTATCTTAATCAAGCTGGTTTCATTGAGTTGTTGACTTGTCATGATTAATCCTCCTGGATGAGCATTTCAGGACAATGGAGAGGAAAACTCCAATTACTCTTTATATTTGTTCTTTTCTTTGGTTTCTTTACTACGGAAGGTGGGATTTGGATATGTGAGCGTGTGCAGTGAGAACAGGAAATAAATCATGGGAAGCAATTTTAATTGTTAATGTCTGGTGTGTTTTTAAGGAGTTATTGAACTTTGATTATTTTCTATCTGTCACAGAACTGCAAGAAAAAAATACACAAAACCTGTAAAGAAAACGCTTGACTAAAACAGGCTTTAATATTGGCAAAAGAAAAGTATGATTTGTTAAAATATTAGAATGACAGAAGAATGTGCAACAACCCCCATATTTTTTCTTTTTTGGTTGTTATATTGAAAGGCACTGGGCCACTACAACTAAAATGACCAATTATAGTAAATAAATACTTCATCCCAAATCCGGCTCCCTAACAGGAAAGACGGTTCACTTAAAAGAAGGATCAAAGTCTGGCCGGTTTCTTTCCATCACGTCTTACAGTCTTTTTGGGCTCCTGCTTGAATGTGAGTAGTGTTGGGACATGATTGAAAAGGGCGGGTTGTGGAATACACACCCTGCTGTTTACACATACTCGGGTGTCGTCACAGCAGCCGTAACGCTTTCCTCGGGTTTGGGGACAGATCAGCGGGCCCCACAGCCCTCTGGGAGTGAAACATCCCTGCAAAGGTTTTAAAAGAGCACAGTGTGGAGTGGGCTAAACACAACCCGGCTGCTAATGAACTGTCACAGAGTTCACCAGATGCCTCAACCTTCTCCTGACGAGGTGTTTAAAAAAAATAACCACAGCTCCGCAATTGTTTTCACTCATGAAAAGGGTATTGTTAGCACCACAAATTAAAGCCTGATCCCCTCCATGTTTACACCTCATTTTGGGGGCAACTAAAGGCAGTTGGGTTGCTTATTTTAAGGGACTAATAGGAATTATAGGGCTAGAGTAAATAAAAAAAAAAAAGTTAAAGGGGACCATTAAGCTAATATCAGGATTTTAAGATTAAATTTGAGTTGAAAAGAAGCAAACAGTTGGAGATTATTATTATTATTATTATTATTATTATTATCAATAATACTATTTCATGCTTTCCCCTCTAATTTTAGGTAAAATATGTTAAAGTGGACTGTGCTCCTGTCTTTATGTATATGCATCACTTCTGCAGCATTTGAAAATCTTTTTGAACAATACTCCATTATGGGTAAGAGATGTAGAGTTTTTGAATTCTGAACATTTTTACTTTTTATATCAGCTTTATACAGAAACATTTTCAAGTTAAAACTGTGACCTTTTGTGAATCTTGCATAGATCCAGAGGAAGTCCTGAGTGTGACCATTCCTCTGCAGGGGAAACAGCGCCCTCTACTGGGAGACAATCTGTTGCTGCCGTGTTACTTTGAGGTAAGCTTTTCTAACATTAGGAATTTTTTTAGCTCTAAATTGTATTAATTTTTTCATTTATATCTTTTGTAGAGCCAACTAGAATAGTATAGGGTAAGTATGTTGTGACATAATGCATATTCTTCATTTAAATTAGTATGACTTTGTTCTAGTATCAGACCATTAGGTCAGACCTTTACGCATGTAGGGTTACTAAGGCTATTGATTGGTGTTTGATTTCCAAATGAGAGTTGCTTTTAGTATGGGAAGAGATTCTTTCAAGGATAATTTATTTCTTGTTTGACCAAAGGAAAAACCGGAACTGTCCTTTCGCCACAAAGTTAAGCTTTCTCTTACTGCTGGATTTAGTCCACCAGGGAGTCTCCACTTATGTTTCTGTTGGACTTGGATATCATCTCAAAGCTCAGTCATAGAATGAAAGCTGTCGGGTTTGGGAACCTCAGCATCTTATCTCTGCTTTTGTAAATAAAGTGGTGTCGGTGTTTGACGGGAGTCAGTTAAGTTGGTTTGAGTGTCTCACCAGGATTCCTCTTTGGCTTCTCAGTTTGAGGGTTACTGAACACTACCCCTCTTGGACGACACCCAGGGCAAAACAATAACTCTCTCGAGAAACTTTACATCCCTTGTGATCATTCTTGAGATTTTGCACAAGTTTTACAACAACAAAATGATTCATTGGTTTACTTTGAGAATGTGCTGCTTGTGCATCCTGATCATAAATAAATATTTGGACTGTTAATTATCTTTGATTTTCTTTTGTCATATCAAGTAAACTAAAATGTATTAATTGATAGGATCACACTATAGAAGACCCTGGTGCTCCGCCCTTTGATCCCCTATCCTATCGCATTGTTTGGAGCCATGTCACTAAAGAAAAGGTTTCGACCATCCTGGTGGCTTTGGAGGGACGAGTCCGCATCGGTGAAGATTATGTGGACAGAGTTCAACTACAGAGCTATCCCCAATACCCAACAGATGCCAGTATCGAGATTTCTGAGCTGCATTCCAGTGACACTGGGGTGTATCGCTGTGAAGTTCAGAAGCACATTGAGGATAACTACGACACTGTCGATGTCCATGTTCAAGGTACTTATTTTAAAATTCAAAGTTTCATTTTACTTTGCTTTACACTTATGCTTTTCTCTAATCAATCATAACACCTCTTATAGAAATTAGACGAGTTATGGCTGGATTTCCTTCCTTACCCTCAGTATTTTCCAACCCTTGTCTTTGTGGTAGATTTCCCTCCCACTGTTACCTGCTTCTTTACTTTAACATTCTGATTTAAATGGCACAAAACCAAAGTTACTTTTCTTATTTTTAACATCGTCATATGACATTGTTTCACCACGGTTGGATTTATTAACTTGTAGCTATTCATCTTTCACACAGAAACAGGAAACAGAAATGTAGTTCAATCCAAGGGTGTGTAACATTGGATGGGCTGAAAATGGTATATCTACTGTTCTATGAGCCCTCATGCAAGCCTGGTTAAAAGCCCTAGAATGAAAACACAGGTTTTCTTCCTTTAATGGTATGCTCATGAATATTTAGATGAGCTGTGCACTGATTGGTTGGTTTACAACTAGCGAAGCTGCTGAGCAAAGACGCATCATAGCAACAAGCACTCACTCACTGAAACATCAAATTGTTGATATGGTAGGGTGTCCAGATGTCCTCTTTTTCCCAGGCATGTCCTATTTTTCATAACTAAAAAAATTTCCAGGGGGAATTTCAAAATTGTCCAGGATTTTGGTCGACTACAGTGTTGCAAGTAGTCGAACCACACTGCAACCCAGCCGGACGGGGACAGGGAGCCATCGGGGGATGGAGTGACTGAACCCGACCCGGTGACGGTAGTCTGGACACCGGCAGCCCCATGCTTACCCCAGCCTGCATTACCGGCCCCCAGCCCCCCTCCTCCGGCCGAGGACGGGCGGCTTATGGCACTCTGCTGAGGTCCAGTGCAGTCAGCGGCCCTTCATAACCCGCCTCCCCAGAACCATATAAAGCACCACCTCCGAGTTTACATCAATTCGGTGCTTTGTTTGGATTCGCCTGTTTTATGGTGGAAGTTTAGAATTGGGAGATTTGCGTAGAAAGGAGGTGTCGATGGGGTTTGAACTTCTCTGTATGTCTATTTCACCCACTGAACTATCGTTATTCATCTATGACAATGTAAACTCGGCTTTGCATTAAATGACCCCTTTAACACAGCGCGCTGTTCCTCATGGGAAATGCTGTTTTCCTTAAGACAAAACAATACAGCTTTTTTCCTGTGGGGGAAGCTAAAATCGACCAAAACTGAAAGTTTTTTTTAGAACTAGAAAAGATTGTCATGAATCGGTGTTTGTATGGAGGACCCAAACGCAGAGACCAGTAGGCAGAGGTGAATTAAAGTGGTTTTATTAAAGTTCACAGATCCAGGAGCAGGAATCAGAGTCCAAAAGTAAACAGCAAACGAACCTGAACCAAGGAGACATCAGTGGTAAATCCAAACTAGGAGCCAGGGAGAGATGAGGTACACAGACAGAAGTTAGACAGGATGTTTGACGAGGATCCAGCAAACAGGAGCTGAACAGGGAGGGCTTTTAAAGAGGACAGAGACAGAGAGAGAGCTGACGAGGAAATTGGCAGCAGGTGCTTGGCAGGACAGAGAAACAGAGGAAGGGAGGACACAAGAGGGCAGCAGAGGACAACAAATGGATAACAGGAACAATCAGACCAGGACCATGACAAAGATACTAGAACTGGGAGCCATTGATCCAAACTGTGAAAGACTGTGCAGCAATCCTTCATGATCACTGACTTACAAGTTAAACTCCTCTTACAATAAACTCAAGCAGTCTGAGTTGGAAGAAATTCCAACAATCCTTCCAAAAGTACAATTTTGTCATCAATATGGTAACAACACATTAGCACAGAATGATCTTTAAGACTAGATCTGAATGGCCATGCTTATAAAGGCCCTTCTTTATCGCACTCTGTAGATATGATACCATTGTCTGAGCAGGGATTGTTTGTCCTCTATCATTTATAAGTCTAACAAAACACGTCCCAAAATGTCATAGGACCTTCCTTAAGATTCTATTCTTGGATCATCTTTATTCAGTATGTATGTATGTATATTTCTTGTTCAAATGAAAGAACATTCAACATTGTATACCATAAACATGACACTATCGTTTCAGAGTGTCTATAATATCTGTTGTTTTGTATCCGTTGTTTTTACTGAATGTGTAAAATTTAATGTAATTACTTTTAATTTGCTTAACGTTTCATTGCATATAAAAATTGCATGCATGCAATTGCATTGCTTGTACGCAATTGCATTGCTTGTACAAATAAAATTTGCCTTGCCTTAATCTGTTTAGGTATTGTGTTCCACTACCGGGCTGTAATGGGCCGCTACGCTTTGACCTTTGAGCAAGCAAAGGTAGCATGTGCCATGAACAGTGCAGTCATTGCTTCTCCTGAGCAACTTCAAGCAGCATTTGATGATGGCTTCCACCAGTGTGATGCTGGCTGGTTGTCTGATCAAACAGTGAGGTGAGTTAGTTAAATAATGAGCATCAATAGTTGGTGTTTCATTTTAATTTGAGAATTTCTGATACATTCTTACATCTGCTCTACCAGATTTAACAGTATAATAAATTTGGATCTAGTTTGGATCTGATAGATTATATTTTTTAAATATAAAATACTTCATTATGTTTAATAGTTATAACTTCTGTGAGCAGAGAAATTATATCCTAAGATATATTTTTTAAGATTCTAACTTTGATGCTAAAAATACTTTTTGTTTAACCAAAGGTATCCTATTCATGAACCCCGTATGAACTGCTATGGGGACAAAGAAGAGCTTCCTGGTGTCAGGACCTATGGAGTAAGAGACCTCAATGAGACATATGATGCTTACTGCTTCGCAGATAGGATGACAGGTACCTTATTAAGGTTTACTGCAGTATCTTTGGGTTTTTCAACTTATTCTCAAACTAAACTTTCTTGTTTGGAACAGGCAGAGTTTTCCACACAACTTCTGCTGAGAAGTTTACATTTTCTGAGGCTGAGTTTGCGTGCTCACACCAGGGAGCTCAGCTAGCCACCACAGGTCAGCTGTACCTTGCATGGCAGGGGGGTATGGATGTCTGCAACGCTGGCTGGCTGGCAGATGGGAGCGTCCGCTACCCCATCAACATTCGGCGACCGCAGTGTGGAGGGGGTTTACTGGGGGTCCGAACTGTTTATCTACACACAAACCAGACAGGATATCCACATCCTAACTCCCGCTATGATGCCTTCTGTTACACTGGTACAGTACGCCAAGACTCTTCCAACATGAAGCTATTGAAATTATCCTAGAGGGAAATGCAAGAACTGGCCTTTCAGTTGTCAACTTATAGGCAAGAAATGTTCTCAATAAGAGGCTGTTTGTGTGGAAATATACATAAAACATTTATAATAGCTTTCTAATTGTTTAAGGTTATTTTTAAACTAGTTCTCTGGTTTAACACTTAGACTCAACAGTTTCTGTCGGAGATGCGATTGTACCTGTTGGTAAAAGTTTTGACTAGAACAAGTCCAATATATGGACTAATATAACGACTGGATGCTGTTAAACACTAATGCTGTACTTCCTAATACATTGCTCTACCCGGAGCCTTTGAACAGTTGCACCTCTGTGCTGGAATCAAGCAACTGTGAATAATAATAATAAAAAAAAAAAAACTAATGTAGAACCACATCTGCCAAAGAGGGGTTCTGCCAAATAAAGTTGAGCTCAAAGCTAAACATTTCACACAAAAAAAGGAACCTCTATCAAATAATATAAGTAAAACAAAAACGCTGTAAATTCAATACAGTAAATTAAAACTTGGCAATGTTCATCTTTGTTATTGTAAACATTTCTGTATAAGTTGAACTGCCTTTATCATAAATAAAAAGATTGCTAACTCATTTTATTTTCTTTATGTTATTTGTAATTATTAAATGAATATTTTTTATTCCATGGCAATGTATTAAAGACGTCTTGAAATAATTTTGTGTTAAACTAACAAATCATACAAAATCATGCTGCAAAAAAGTCAGTCATAGTGATTCTTATTTGTAATGTGGTATGCAGCTGTGGCTGGCTATCATGAGCAATATAAAAATTGCTTGTCAACTTTGCGAAAATACAAGTGCTGGGCGCAGCTCATGGCACGGTTGCCCCTCCCTCTCAAGGTTTATCTCATTAATTCAGAAAAACAGAAATTTTTTTATTTTTTTAATAAAAAGTTATCTTGTTAATTCCGACAACCAGAATGTTTTTGTTTACAGAAAAACAGACCAATTTTCTTTTTTTCTAGGGTGAACACAATACACTTTCATAGCAGACAGATGCAAATTTAATATATAAACAGATGGTTGGTGTAGACCTAATCATGTAGTTGTTTAAAATAGAAGAAAGTGTTACACCCGTTCCCAGTCTCCCCTAATTACACTTACTTTACAGTTAGACTATTTAAAGACATTTGGTTTCCCTGCTTGGTTTGAGGTTTATAAATGTTTGTGTCTGAGAGCAACTGTTTCTCACAGAGATAAATTCAGGAAGTGAAGGTTCCAGCAACATTTATGCACAGGCATCACTGGCTGAGATGGAAACCAATGTGCTGATTTACCAAACATGGGTAAAACAAGCACTTTCAGAGCTGTTGTTTCAGTGCTGAAGGTTGTCTCTGAGACTTTGACAAAATTTTTAAACTATTTGAGCTGAGCTGTTCTAATTACAAAACAAACAGTCTCTGGCAGTGATCAAGACCAAGACAGGTTCCTGGCATCCATCTGGTATAATCTAATAACAACTATGCCTCTGGTTTTAGTGCTATTAACTCTTGACCTCTAATGAATATAAAGATATATAATAATAGATAAACATAAAACACTTTCTTTGTACCACTTGCTGTTTGTTTACTATTTGGTGCTTAATTACTTTCTGTCAATATATATTTCATGTGATTCTGTTATTGAATTCAGGGATTATTTTAAAGTTCTAAGATAATCTCTGTTTTTTTTCCTCCTCTTTGGTTACTGTTTCTTTTACCCTGTTTTTTTTTTTTCAGAATCCCCAGATGATGAGGGTTCAGGCATAGAAGGGGGAAACGATGTTCTGATTGTAACCACAGAGACAAAAAATCCAGAGGTGCTTTTGGGTAAGACGACCACAGAGACCGAAGCGGTTGGGGAGGTCGTAACTCTGGAACCGTTTGATCTGAACTCCACCTACAGTGAAAGCCCCACCAAGCTGCCAACTCCTCAGCTAACAAATGTCACAGAGATCTCCTTTGACCTGATTAAGGCTGTCACCAACCAGCCAGCTGTCGCCAGAGAGCCCAGCAATCCCTCTGTCAACTCTTCATCAGGTCAGGATGATAAATCCAGAAATAAAACCATAATCTCTTAAGGTCCAAGAAACTACAAGAACTTTAGAAACTTTTCTAAACTATTTCAAGAGCTCCTTAAATGTCAAAGATAATATAGAGATGTTGTAAAAAAGTGGAGTAAACTTAAACTGGAAATGAAACACTTTTTCAAACTAACTTAATTCATTATATTGTGTCTTACTCTTAATTAGTGAAACTGTGAAATTTATAAGTATAAAAGATAATTTTTTGGCAAGGTTACTGCCATGTTGCAGTACTCCAAGCGGTGATGTCACAGGGTTGGTTGATGCCTTCGCCAGCAGTTGAATATACTGATAATACCTCAATACCTCACAACCAAAAAACACCTAAGAAATTGGGTATGAAGGAAGATGAGGCCGAAAGGAGACTGAAGTATTTGAATAACATTGTTTATGCTTTTGAGCCCATTCACAGTGTGACTAGAGTCATAGTACGGAGAGAAGGAGCAGCTGTGGAGCAATGGCTCTGACCATCCCTGCTACTAGACAGAACACCGGTTGTAGAGATTATGTAAAGCAGAAGACTTTTGAGCATGGCGAGTTGGCGGCCCATTGGACGGCTGGCTAAAGTCGGAAGTGTTTTTAATTTCACGTCTAGAAGCTGGGCTCTACTGATCGGCCAACACACTGAAAGCGGGTCATCACCAACAATCAGCCGTAATGACAGTATGAAAACATGCTAAGCATGCAGAACAGAGACATGTGAAGCTGTGTTGGCAGATATTAAATTATCAACTATACCCAAACTTCCTAAAAATGATAAAACATTGCTTTGTTTTATCTTTTGTTTATGTTCTTCGCATTTATAAAATATTTACTGATAATAGTAAGACACAATCTTATTAATAAAGTTAGTTTCGTAAACTGCTTCATTTCTATTTTAAGTGTCGTGCTTCAGATTCTGAAATAAAGTCAACTATATGCTATCTCCCTAATAACTGTCCTCTTATAAACCTTAGGTGTGGTCTTTCATCATCGCTCACCTACTGGGAGTTATGCCTTCACATTCGTCGAGGCCCAGTTAGCTTGCCAAGGTGTTGGAGGCTTAATAGCAACACCACAGCAGCTACAGGAAGCTTATGAGGCTGGATATCATCAATGTGAAGCAGGTTGGCTTTTGGACCAGACTGTGAGGTAAACATAAAGTTTTGATATACTAAATTTAATTATTTTCAGCCACTTAACGAGAACTATGTTCCTTCGTAGATATCCCATTGCGTTTACTCAAGAAAAGTGTGCTGGAGACCTTCAAGATTCTCCTGGAGTTCGGACATATGGCCGTAGACCAGCAGATGAGAGATATGATGTTTACTGCTACACTGAGGGGAAAAAAGGTGATTCTTGATGAAAGCCCTACCGACTACTTTTCAATCCCAACAGACTACAGTATATAACCAACAGTTTTTTTTTTTTGCCCTGCTGCAAAGGAGAGGTTTTCCATGTGGGTTCTGCTGAGGGTTTCACCTACGATGAGGCTATTTCTGCTTGCGAAAACCAAAGCGCAGTGCTGGCCTCAACTGCTGAGCTTTATGCAGCATGGAAAAAGGGTTTGGACAAGTGTCGTGCAGGCTGGCTACTAGATCACAGTGTTCGCTATCCTATCAACAGCCCCCGCCCTGGATGTGGAGGGGGAAGAGTAGGGGTCCACACTTACTACTCAAAGCCAAACCAGACATATTATCCCGAACCACATGCCAGATTTGATGCATATTGTTTGAGAGGTAAATCACTGTTCACTCTCATTCTGAATATCTTCAATATTTTTAAAGTGGGAGATTCATTTTTTCTTCTTACTGGTTTATTATTTGCAGCTGACTTTCTGCCTGGAGCAAATCAAACTGCAGTAGAGATCCAGAAAACTCTACCTAATGTGACATCAGTTAGAGACTCATTAAGGCCCGGTAAATCCAAATAATAGGTTGCTTTTTCTTTTCTTTTTTTTTTACCCATGACCCTTAAAGTGTTTATTTCAGTTTTTTTCTCTTTTTTTTTTTTAGATTTTTCCTCTATTGTTCCTCCCATCCCTGTGGAAATTTCTGGTTCTGGCTCTGGTTCAGGAGACTTTGATTCAGGCCATGAAGGAGGACAGTCTGAAGAAAAGCATATCTCTAAAGACCAGGTTACCTCTGGAGATCTGCCCGGTTCTGGAGATCAGATTTCCTCTGGAGATCTGCCTGGTTCTGGAGACCGAGTTACCTCTGGAGATCTGCCTGGTTCTGGAGACCAGATTTCCTCTGGAGATCTGTCTGGTTCTGGAGACCGAGTTACCTCTGGGGATCTGTCTGGTTCTGGAAACCAGGTTACCTCTGGGTATCTGTCTGGTTCTGGAAACCAGGTTACCTCTGGAGATCTGCCCGGTTCTGGAGATCAGATTTCCTCTGGAGATCTGCCTGGTTCTGGAGACCGAGTTACCTCTGGAGATCTGCCTGGTTCTGGAGACCAGATTTCCTCTGGAGATCTGTCTGGTTCTGGAGACCGAGTTACCTCTGGGGATCTGTCTGGTTCTGGAAACCAGGTTACCTCTGGGGATCTGTCTGGTTCTGGAAACCAGGTTACCTCTGGAGATCTGCCTGGTTCTGGAGATCAGATTTCCTTTGGAGATCTCTCTGGTTCTGGAGACCGAGTTACCTCTGGAGATCTGCCTGGTTCAGGAGACCAGGTTACCTCTGGAGATCTGCCTTGTTCTGGAGAGCAGGTTACCTCTGGAGATCAGACTGGTTCTGGAGACCAGGTTACCTCTGGAGATCAGACTGGTTCTGGAGACCAGGTTACCTCTGGAGATCTGTCTGGTTCTGGACACCAGGTTACCTCTGGAGATATTTCTGGTTCTGGAGACCAGGTTAGTGCTGTGCTGCCCAGTGGAAGATCAGGTTTGGGCAGTGCAATTGATCCAGAGTCAGGACATATTGAAGAAGGATCTGGCATCACAGTGGTTTTCTCTGGAGCTGACAGCTTTGCATCAACAGAACGCTCTTCTTCAGGAGAACCTCAAGAGGCCGAAGAGGGAAGCACAGAACTTTTTATCTACCCTTGGTCTAGAGCTGTTTCTGGAGAGCTTAGTGGAAGTGGAGATATGTCCGGGTTTGGATCTGGATCAGGATTGGATTCGGTGAGTAGTTTTCTATCAGGATCTGCCTCTGGAAGTGAAATTGAACAATCAGGACACATTTCTGGAAGTGGAGATGCTCACATTTTTTTGATAGATGAAAAACTTGTGGATCCAACTACTGCCATGGAGGAGTTCATGCTTAGTGGAGGTCCACTGACTTTCAGCGGTTCTGGAGACTTTCCAGGATCTGGGATTCATAGTGCTGATAACAGTGGGTCAAGCTCTGGTATTGAAACTGACCCTTTTAATAGTGTGACCTTTATGGGTTCAGGCTTTACTGAACTTTTTGTGTCACCATCTGGAGAGCATGAAGAAGCTTCTGGCAGTTTATTCTACAGCTTTGGAGAGGGAGGCGATGGAACATTTTCTGGATTTGGAATCTCAAGTTTAAGTTTTGATTCTGGATCAAGTTTCTCTGGATCTGGAGCATATACAGACAGAGAAGATGGTGTTACATTTCTCACTCAGGGTCAAAGGACAGAAATAACTGGAGATGATAAAGTTCCTTCAGAACAAAGAGAATACTTAATAGAATACAGTGGAGAAGCAAGTGGTTTCTACTCTGGTGATGGAGAAAAGGACCTTTCCTTCACCTCAGAGATTTCTTCTTCAGAAGAATTTTCCAATCTATCGATGGTGGCTTTACTTGCTCCATCAGTCGACCAAGTACTTACAGAGCCCATCACAGAAACAGAGGACAGCACACATGAAGCCAAACTGATAGAGAACTCCAGAGTTCATGTAACTCCAGGTCCAGAAACAGTGCCTGCAGGACTAGCTGCTCCTTCTGCAGAAGCCAAGCCAGCTTTTGTGCAAACACCAGAGGTGATAAAAGGTATGCCAACCTAATTTTTTCTTTCTCTGTTTGCATGCTTTTGCCTGAAGATATTGATCATTGTCATATTTTGCCAATCTTGGTATTGCTTGTTATTTTGTACTCAAATAGTTGGGATGGAAAATGTTGCTGTTACTACAGGACTTTTACTAGGTATCCATTTGCACCTATTAGGAAAACAATCGGTTTTTGTTTTGGTTGTTTGTTTAGATTAAGTAGGCGTGCCTGTATCACACTGATAAAGAACATTTACCAGTTAGAAACCATCCATATATCTTCTCCTTTCCTGCATAATCCATTAGGATCACAGTGGGGCAGGTGCCTATCTCTAGCATTCTAAAGCAAACTGCAGAGGGCAGATGTGCCACCCTGTTAACATAAAACAATGGTGTTAAAATAATTAAATATACTTATGTAGATGCAAAATGCTGGTGAAGATTTTCAGTCATCAAAGTCATAGTCATTCCAAAAAAGGTAAAAAAAACAATCCACTTGACTTTGCTTTAAAGTTTCAAGACGTGCACTGGATTGTAAGCGAAACATCTTCAAACTTGGAAACAAAGTCCAGTGGATTGTTTTTTTTTTTTACTTTTTTGGAATGTGGATGCCAAGTATACGTTAATAATTCTTTTTCAGTGTAGAAAAATAGAAAGAAATATTTTGTAAATCTGGAAAAGTAAACATTAATCTTTCCATCTGTTGTCTGTGCCTGAAATTTTAGTTTCAAGCCTTGCAGGGTTCATGCCAAACCAGAAGAAGCTGGAGTACCACAAAAGATCCGGAGACATTCAAAATAAACAAACTAGACTTATTGTAAATTAGCAATGCTTGTCGGCCAGCCTATTACAGGGTAAAACAGCTTGAAAAACTTGGTAAATGCTCATGGACTACCTAAGGGCAGCTTAAGAGTCACAAGTTAACCGAGTATGATTGGTGTGGCCTGTAGGAGTAAGCTGGAATACCTGGAAAGACCTTCAAGGCTTTCAAGGGAAGAGCAAGCAAAGAACGCTGGCCAAGCTTCAGGGTCAGGACCTTCTTCCTGTAATGCAACCATCCTGACAAGGAGGCTGTTGTGCATAGTAAACATTTTTCTCTAATTACTTCTAGTGGAAGAACATACAAGTCACTTAATATAGAGCTCCTAATCCGTTCTACTGGATCAGTTTCTCTGCCTGTCTTAGATGCTTTCCCTGTCTAGTATACCATATATCTAATTTAAGTTAATGGATTAGTAATTCTTGAGTAGGTGTTTAGGTAATGCCTGATGTTAAGGTGGAGATCCAGCCCTTGGAAATTAAGTGAAGAGGAATTAATCTGTTAAATGATTTTCAAAATTTGATATTTAATAAAGAAAAAATAAAAACAGTAACTTACTTAGGATTTCTTTCTGTCTCGAAAGCCTCAAATCCATGTGAACCAAACCCTTGCGGTAATGCTTCATGCATATTAGAGGAAGGAGATGCTCACTGCTATGGTAAGCTTAGAATTCATTCTCCTCTTCCCACTTTGTTTTATAATTTGTGGCTTTATTGATAAATTCTGTTTGTTATTTGCATGTGCATTGTTGTTCTGCATGTTGTTCATTAGACTTAGCTGTATGGACTGGGTTAATCAATCAGTCTCACTTCACATTTCCCATCAAACCTCGCATTGTTGATTTGTCCTACTGTGGTTTGCATCCCACCAACGTTTCTGTTTTGTTTCTATTGTTCGTAAATGTGAGTTGGGTTTATCATTCAGAATTTTAGTCTAAACAAGCATCAGTTCTGCTCGTTTCATGTAAAACATGTTTATCATGTTTGGCATACTGTATATGTGTATGTTGTTTTTTTGGTCTGCTCTGCCAGCACATTGCCTTTGCTTTGCTATGCTCTGCTACTTTAAACTTGTGCTTTCATTCTGGCTTTCTTGGAGTTTCATCTACCCCAATCTAAAACCCCCAAACAAACTAATCTGTTTCTGCAACTATGGATTCATTCAAAGCAACCTCCAAAAGTTCTAACTGTAAGTTTGAATCCAAAGTCGTAGAACGTACCATTACTGTTTCAAACCACTTTTTCTGGAGATGTGAAAGTCCTTTGATCACATCTTAAATTACCTCAGCTTGGTAGTGCACCCCCCCATCCCCCACCCCAACCCCACTTTCAACCCTCGCTCAAACGGTAGTGTCAACTGCCCACCATTTTTTCCAGAGGCAGAAGTGTGCCATCCAAACCCTTGTGCCAATGGAGCCACCTGTGTGGAGAGTTCAGACTCTTTCAAATGCTTATGCCTGCCCAGCTACAGAGGGGAACGCTGTGATATCGGTACGAGATCAGCTTCAGCTAATAAATACTAACAACTGCCAGTCAAAAACAACTATAGAGATGGTGAAGTTAAGAATGTACGACTTCTGAGTGTGTTTACCAACAAATACCTTAACCCTATACCTGCAGGAGTGAAAACAATGGGACACTTCTTTATCTTTGTTATATTACTTATTTTTTAAAGTTGTATAATAAAAACACTACCCTTCAATACACCTGTTTTTATTTGAGAAGGTGAATTTTTTGCAGTCATGTTACCTGCAATAGGCCGCAGTAACATATTGTGTTCCTTTACCGTGGTTTCCTGGAAGGTACAGTTTAATTTCCTGAAACCAGTACCTGGCTCTTACCCAAGACCTGCAGGTTACTTTCCTAGTATTTACTTGGTTATTTGCCAGGACTTATGGTCCTGGCAAATAAATAACTATTTCACAAGTTCTTACCTGTAGGGAAACAAAAATTCTTATTTATTTTCACTTGTGATCTGATCCAAGGCCTGAATTTGAATATCTAGATATGGATCCTGTTCTAATGCTAGAGTTCTGTTTGCCTTAATATTAAAACATAAATATTGTTGTGTTTTAAGAGGCATGTATGACATAAACTAATGTAAGTATGTACGTATATATTCAAAAAGGTGACTTTAGATTAGAATAAGGTCAGCAGATGACGTAAAAGAAAAAAAAAACAGTAGTGGCGTTAACAGGAAAGATCCCACCCTGAAAAAAATATATTTACACTGAATGTCTTTAATAAATTCAACACAGATAGCCATAAGCAGCGAACCTCTTTACTATTCAAGAAATCTTTATCCTAACTTTACTTAACTTTACTTTAATCTCGCCTGATTTAATAATTTTTTGTTGTTTTTATATTCTTTTAAATGTAGCAAATGCATTACAAATAAATTCAATATCATTATTATTTTTTACTCTACCCTTTTTCAAATAAAGTACTAAGCTTGTTTAAAAATGAATGGTCCAAATGAAACAAATTGGCTTAACGACAAAAAATGTGAAAAATGTAAGCGTCCATATTAGTTCCAGTAGCTGGAAGTTTGCCTTGTTATAAAAACAACTAGAAGGGATTTATTTTGCCGCGGCTGTTCTCCCTCTGCTCTTCAAACAGATGTTCTTTCAAATGTTTGAATAAGTTTGTTATATTTTGGGTCGGAAAGGAGCCTCTGCTGTACAGTAACTCTCAGTATAACAATTTTGCAAATGTTGCAAATTGTAGTTTTACCTTGTAGTGTCAAATATTTTTATGCAGAAGTATATTGTGATTAGAAGTTGGTTAGCTATAGTGCTATGCTCTATGTGCCTCTTCTAGCTGGCTGCTAACCACAACATTGATGTACTCTTTCCACTCCACTTGTCATGGGACCCACGTCCATTAAGGAAATGTGTTTTGGTTAGCAGCCAGCTTGCAGAGCAGCTGTCAGCAAAAAGTGTTGAGACAAATGTCATAAAGTCCAGACATAGCTTTTGGATTGGAAATGTCCTTTGGTTGGACTGAAATAAGAAGTGATAGCAATACTGGATTGGATAAGCATCATCCATTCTCTTGGGTTTCCTTCCAGGGATTTCGCAGAACTTGTGGATTAAATAGTGCTTGACACTTTACCAGAACTTCTACAGTTTCTTAAACTTACCAGATACTTTTTCCCAAATGTGTAAAAAGTTTCTTTGTTATGTTTTAAAGGTTTTTCAGGAACTTTTAAGATACTCCCCTTATGAACAAGAGGAGCTTTTAAAGAACTTATTGTTATTTCTGGGAAATTATTGCTCATTTACTAGGAAGATACACATTATTTTAATACAATGTCTAGCTTGCTTCCTATAATCTTGATATTTTTATGGAATGTACATAATATAAGCATGTTACTTTCAAGCCCTCATTTGTTTTGGTTTGCTTGAATTTAAGAAATGTAACACAGAGAAGAAACTATTTCTCAGCTCTGTCATGGAGCAACCAAGATCTGGTATCTGACCTTCCTCTTCAACCTTCTACAAATATTCCTATTGGTGCAGGATCAGGGGCGTTGCTAGGCACAAAGCTTTACTGGGGCACTGGCCCCCTACCGCATGTGCCCCTCCTGCCATACACAAATACAGACAAGCACACTGCCCCACCCTGATACATTCCTACCAAAATTACCAGTTGAGATATTAATGAGTGTAAGAGCATATTTGTTTTAACAAACATGAACATTTTCAACATTGCAGCTATAAAAAATAAGACAGTACAAACTTAAAAAAAAAAAAAAGTTTCCTTATACACATTCTGAAGTAATCATTAATTCATAGGTTTCAGAGTTTTAGTTCAGGGGAAAGTTTAACTAAACCTGAACTAAGTTTTTCTTCTATTTTTTGAGCATTAAAGTGTACCTTCTATTTTTCATTTTTGCAAAGTGGTCAATCACTTGTGACTCAGCTTAGAAAGTTCTTCCTTTTCAACTGATAAAATAGCAAGATGATGGAGCCTGTCTTGTCCCATTGTGCACCTCGGCCAAGTGTGGAGACTTCTCAACACACTGAATGACCTTTCACAACTCCAGCTGTTGACTGGGATGGTGAGGGAGATCTGGATGACCTGCGTTAGTGTGGGGAACATGGTGTTATCAAGCAAGTTGAAAACACACTGCATATCCTTGATGACAAGGCTTTCTTTTTCAACCATAAAAAGCTTTCAAACCATTTTGAATTAAATGAAAGTTTTTTTTTTCACTCCAAATTTGTCCTGGGGATAGTGGGACAACTTCACTTGTTTAGGACCATCATGCTTTCCCCCTAAGTCACTAATGTCCCCTTCTTGTTTGTGGACGCTGGTTTTTGCTTCCTCATCACCTTCATGGTCCTGTCTCTCCTGTCTCTCCTGTCTCTCACCTGTCTCTTGCCTGTCAGTCTCTCCTCCTCCTCCCTTTCCTACTCCAGCACCTTCATTCTCATTCTCTACAGCAAACATTAAAAAACGTTAATTTATAATTATGTAAATATCTATCATATGGCTAATAACGTCCCTAATGTAACTGCTTAGCTTAAATCACTAATTCATCACGGGACCTTACCTCCCTCTCTCTCATCTTGTTTTACTGCTTCCCTGTCTCTGCTTCGTGTGAGGAATTTCCTGATATCCATCTACAAACCAATGCAGTCATTTTCAGTTAGTAGCCTATAAAGCATGTGGTTTCACTGGGAAAATAATAAAATTGACAGGTAAGAAACGTTATCAGAACGTTTCTTACCTGTCAATTAAAAAAAAAATACGTTGCAGCCGCACAGTGTCCCATCCAACTCAGTTGAGAGCAGCGCGTTGATTTACTTGCAGTTCATGCAGTGACATGCGCTGACGTGGGGGCGCTAATACATCCTCAATTTGGAGTTAACAACACACTTGCTGCGCACTTGAGTAGAAATATACGTCTCCTCCCGTTGGAATTATCTAAATTGATGCATTAAAAAAATTTTATCACTGTTGCAAATATTCATTAGATTTATACTGGGGCACAGTTCATTTATACTGGGGCACGTGCCCCAGTAAATGGGGTCTGGCGACGCCGATGTGCAGGATTCTTTCATCCCAACATTGACGTTGTAACCAGAGGGAAAAACTTATACATTTTTGACCTATCATAATTTATAAAACTATTTTTTATATAGTATTATTTCAGTAAAATCTAAACTTTCATTCTTTAACACTCTAGGTGTAATTTTTTGAAAATATTATTTTGAAAGAAAAGTTGTAGCTGTGACTTTTAAAGGATACTTTCTGAAAACTTAAAGGCAGCTTTTCTTTGAGCTCTTTTTTCCTATCCTAGCATTCCCAAAGTGCTTTCCTTTAAATGTAGAGTGGAGGATGTTCTTCCAGGTGGATCATCAAAATAAGTTGTCCTCCTAATTGTCAATCATTCTGGTGATATGTTTATGTAAGGCCGTCCTATGTGCTCTTAGCCATTTTCACTTACCGATGGAGAGTCCGAAATAGTGGAAAATTTGAAACCTTTCTTTTGGAAAGTAATTTTGTGTGAGCGATGCAAACAGCAACTTTTAAACATGGCGTGCACGAGTAGAAATGGGCTTGTGCATGCTCTTGCACGCGTTTAATAAGTGATCCCTCTGGGGAGGGGGTACAGGGTTGTGCATGTGTATTTTTTTTAAAGTAGAGAGGACGGGTCTTTTCAAAAATTCCCAAAAATCCTCCAATATACCTTTAACATCCGAGATACTTTAGCATTTTTATAATTTAAAAGTTGTTTTGCTTGAGGGTTAGCTTTTTGGATTTTAAATGTTTCTTTATCTGAGACACCAAATTATGTCTTGAATTATACTTTCTGGGAAAGTTGAGTACAAAGTTTTTAGAGTTGAGTGTAAGAATATGAACTGAAAAATTTTGTTTTGCATTTGTTAAGATGATTTATTATTTTCAGGATAAAATTGTACAAATAAATCTGTTTAAGTAATCATTTTGAAGAAATAACACAGCAAAGTAATTTTAGCAAGAGGACAAATTAAGTCTTTATCAACTTAAGAAGTAGCATAAATGGGAATTTTTTTTATTTCAAAACTAAAAGACTATTCGTTATGTATGACTTTAAAATGGATGGATATAATTAGAATCATCACAATGTTATTATACCTAAATACATATGGATGAAACTTTAAACCCTGAAAGACAAAGTCTAGCTTTAGTTCTGCAAGGTTCTTTCTGATATAATTTGTTTCACTGCTGCAGAGGAGCAGTGGTGTGAAGATGGCTGGACGAAGTTTCAGGGAAACTGCTACCTGCACTTCTCTGAAAGGGAGGAGTGGCTAGATGCAGAGAAACGCTGCCGTGACTTGAATGCACACCTTGTCAGCATCATCACACCAGAGGAGCAACAGTTTGTTAGCGGTGAGTGGTTCATGTTGAGTATGATTGGATAAAAAAGAGGAACAATGAAGGGTAATGAAATTATAAATGCAAAAAATAACAATTGTGTGTGTTTCTCCTCCACAGCAAATATGCAGGATTACCAGTGGATTGGCCTGAATGACAAAACAGTGGAGAATGATTTCCAGTGGACTGATGGCACTCCGCTGGTGAATATAAGCATTACAGTGGAGTTTTAGGAGTTTAATTAACATTTTAAAAAAAATTGATGATAAAGAGGAGCCATTACAAAGTGACTGGAAACCTTTTAGAATAACATCAAAATACAGAAAAAAAAAACTCTACAAAAGGAGTTTTTAACAAAATAATTTTGAAACACTCATTGATTGAAAGCAACCAGATAACCAATAAAACAGCAGCCATAAATAAAAGCACAAAAACAATGTAGAAAAGCAAAACAAAAACAATAACAATAAAAACCGACCAACATTAAGAAGAACAAGAAAGAGCAAAGATATTCAAGCCTCATGAAACACAATTCATTCACATATAATAACTTGTCATCATAAGTAGGTTTTACTACATAGTCAAAGAAAATGCAACAGCCACAATACAGTTCTACATCAGAAATAAAATTCTCGTGACTTTTGATAGTTTATACAGTTAAAATCTATGAAAATTAAACATGCAAACAATTACATTGTGACAACAAAGGACTGAAAGAAGTATAAAAACAAATTGACTTACTTAATAACATTGCAAGATTTATATAAAACGTTATTAAAATATTAATATATGCTTTCTTGCTCATTAAAGATCATTATAAATTACTAAGATACAATAAAATAACCCACATGTATAAAAAGGCAACAACAGGCCTTTTCTTGCAGCTGCTCAATTCAGGGTTTAACACGGCAAGGATGAGTGGTGGGAAAAGACTTGAGAACAATACTTTACTCCTTTCGGAAAACAAAAATAAAATAAGAAAAAAACAAATATGCAGCAAGAAAAAATATGTTTTCTGTAAACAGGAGCACCTACACAGGATAAAGTAAGGTCAGACAAACAGATTATTAGCAGTGGTGTCAAACGTACACACATTTATTGCTTAAATAGAATTTTAGATACTTAAAAAAATAAAAAAAAACTCTGGTAAAAGTTGAAGTATCACCTTGATCTCTTTACCCAAGTAAAAGTGAAAAAGTATGTGCTCTAAAAACTACTTAAAGTATAAACGTATAAAGTGACCTTTAAAAAACAGCCAGATGCCGCTATACAAATTGAAAGCTTGATTTTTTGACTATTTCTAAAAATTATTTGAGACAGAGCCAAGGATAAGGGAAGGCCTTGTTGGTTTCCGTCTCCATCTGCCGATGCGCTCTCACCTGTGTCCGACCTTTCAGACATGTGGATGGTGCCAATGATCTGCATTGGATGGCGCACAATGTGCGCCGCACATGACCTGAAATAAATATTTATCAACATTAAGCTGAAGAGAAGAGTAACGAGTAACATTTGTTTTAAAAATGTAAGGAATAGAAAATACAGATACTTGTGTAAAAATGTAATGAGTAGAAGTAAAAAGTAAGAAGAAAAATAAGTAATGGAGTAAAGTATAGATACCTAAAAAGTGTACCTAAGTAAAACTTGACACCTCTGGCTATTAGTACTTTTTTATATATGAAAGCCTATTTGTAAGGTTTGGAATGATGATGTTTATTTTTCAAAGAATTGTGGTTCTCCATATATGGCTTACTTATTATGGTTAAAAATGCCCATTAGAAAAAAAAATAATGTCTCTAAGATGAATTATGTTGCCATGTTTTCCTCTCACATCTTCTTTAGCAATACGAGAACTGGAAGCTGAATCAGCCTGATAACTACTTTAATTCAAAAGAGGACTGTGTGGTGATGATCTGGCATGAGAACGGCAAATGGAACGATGTTCCCTGCAACTATCACCTGCCCTTCACCTGCAAGAAAGGACCAGGTATGATGGCTGTAAAAAGCATTTTATCTCCTGCTTTGATTTCTGTCAGCTGTCCTGCAGACGATTTAACAGTCATTGCAACTAAAACCATCGATTTTGTCCCATTATCATTGTAGGGACTTTCCATTGACTTCCATTCATACTGCATTTATTTCTACAGCCTAACCATGACCTTACCCTAACTATTACAATCGCATACCAAACCCTACACCTAACCTAAACTCTCTAAGTCCCCATATTGTCCCTGCATAGTGAAAAAAGCATATTTTCTGCAGTCATTCTGGGAAAAACTTCTTGTTCCTTGTCACAAGAATTGTGACCCAGTTGGCTTTTTATGCCTGCAGTGTCCTGTGGAGCCCCACCAGTGGTGAAACACGCTCATACTTTTGGAAAGAGGAGGCTGGTGTATCCTGTCAATTCCATCATCCGTTATCAGTGCAACCCAGGATTTAGACAGCGCCATCTACCAGTGGTCCGGTGCCAGACTGACGGGCAGTGGGAGAAACCAAGAGTGGAGTGTACTGATGGTGAGAGCAGAAACCCTACAGAGTATTTTACAAACGTACTTATATATTTCATAATGATAGTCGCAATGTGTTGTGATTTTCTTTTCTTTGTGTTTGCAGTTAAAGCCAGGAACAGAATAAAGGAAAGAAGCAACAGGAATAACAACTTAATTTAGTTTTTCAAAGAAAAAAAAAGGGAATCATTAAATATCTTTTTCTAATATGAACCAAAATGCTTGACTGGCCATTATAAGGCTGCTACGATATAGTAGCAATTGTTTAAAACCCTCATTCCTTATATATACTGTGTATGAATATATTTAATTTCTTTCAGTGTTTTAAATATAAATTATAATTGTTTCTATTCCTGCTGTTAAGTTTGAACAAAGATCATATAGTATGTTTCAGAACAATTTATTATGTTTTATTTTATGTTGAATAATCTTCACGAAGGTGGAAGTGAATGACATGACGAGACTGTCTGCTTGAAATGTTAACAGTGGGATACACTGGCAGGTTGTTTAATCCTGATAAAGCATCATTTCACAACGGTGCTAATTTGGTGCTTTTTATCTCAGCCAGAAGATGCCCCAGCTCCTATATAGGGTTGCATTGCTTTAGCCTGTCATCTGTATCAGTTAACCAGATCTGCTGCATTGTGTGCTGTAGCTCTGTCTTAATGCTCGGTAAAAACACCTTAGAAAAGACATCTGGAAACCACATGGACCCCGTTGTCAACCAAAACTATATCAATATATTATATCAAACCTGTAAATTACATAGGGGGGTATTGTTTACCTCAGGCAGAAACACAATATGTTTTTTTTCATTGTCTATCTGAACGTATTAACTCTCTTCCTGCACAACTATGCTAATAAGGGTTTTGACTTTAAATAAAAACAAGTACGAGACTGTAAATGCAGCTGGAAGAGAAAATATTTAAACACAAAAACACCCAGTATTTCTTTAAGATCCCACTAATATGAATTGCACACTGTATTCCCCTGAATGTACAATACAGATTTCTGATTGTTTCAGCTTTAGCTTTAATATAAAATAAAAACACGTCTGGCCATTTAGGACAAAAGTCTGTATATCTTAATGACTTGCAACAATAATTTATGAAAGTATTTTATGGAAAATACCAAAATATAAAGTGAGTAGGTCTATTGTTTTTTTTTATTGTTTTTTTTATAATCTTTCACAGTTGAGAAGCAGGTACTTAATGAACCAACATTTGGGGCCTAGAGGCCAGCAGGAATACTGTTACAAATATGCATCTTGTCCATTGGCTGAAGGTTTAGCTCATTGTGACTTTTGCTCCAAAAACATATAAAAAAAATGAGTTTGTTTGTGCAAAAAATAAATGGCTGGATAAGAATGTGACCTTTAAAGCATTTTAATTTGGAAAAAAAATTTACCATACAAAACATTTACCAAACAGTTCTGTTTGGTTATATGAGACCACAGCAGCAGCACAGAGCTCCATGTTTTTGGTTTTGGGGAATAATATAAAATGCTTAAGACGATTAGTTTGTCATGTTGGGTTTATTTACAGCATTTTATCTGTGCTTTCATTGATCACATTTCCTAGTTCTGTGCAGTGCACAAGTGCTCTCTCATGTTTTCAACTCAACAGGATATAACCTTTATGTAAACTTCCAGCTCTTTGGGCTTTATGTCATTTGTGCCTTTGTGTTTCATCACTGTTGCTGCTTGCCGGGGCTGTGCCTCATGTTATCACCTTCTGCACAATAAAGCAAAAATGCAATAGGCGTGTCTGTTGTGGATCTGTTTCAGCCACTTCGATAGATAACAGCAGTTGGGTCTCGGTTTTTGTGTTAATTGGTGGCCTTTTCTCTACAGCCGCGAAGACAGGAAATGAAGAAGAAATGAAAGAGACAGAACATTTTACCTACAGCAAGCAACTTATCCAGATCTGGGGTCTCATCTATAAAAATAGATTATGCACATAGCAGGGACCAAAACTTGCAGATGTCATTAATCCATGCCAAGACCTATATAAATCAAGCTTTGCATAGGAATCTGTGGCCCCAGTGACCCATCAGTTTAAAGAATGCAGATTGTGAAGACATTGGAAACTTAGATGGTCAGGTAGGGAACCGAATCCAGAATGCATCATATCTCCTCTCAGGCATTTATTTTCACTTCAAATTAAACTTAAATTGTAGATCAACTTTTGCTTTGTTATATATGCTTGCAGTGCTGAGCTGCCACTATACACAAGGATTTATCACAAAAAAAAAAATAAATAAAAAATTCATAACCCTTTTTAAATCCCAAATCTAAGTCCTCACAATATTCAAACATTTTCTCCCCATGATATTTCTCTCTAAGATGGTTAACAAGGTGAGTTGTACCGTAGATCACCAACATGTTACAAAGTGAGAAAAATCTACACTGTTTGCTGTAAACATTTTAAGTGCTGTTGTGACACACGTGCAAAACGGTGCACAACAGATGCTTGTTGGTTCTGCTTGAGGATATTAAAAACAGTAGACTAAGGAAGGAATGCGTTTCAGGGTTAACCATAATTTCTTGGCTCATGATGATCACTGGCTTATGAGCAAATTTAGACTCCCTAGAGCAGGGTTCTTCAATTTCAGTCCTCAAGCTCTGATGTCCTGCACCTTTTAGATGTGTCGCCGCTTTAACACACCTGAGTCAAATCTTCAAGATATTAGCAGGACTCTAAAGAACTTGGCCCAATCCCAGACCGGCCCCTAAACACTACACCTACGTACTAACCCTCCGTTGATTTCATGTCAGCCCAGTGAAAAGCTTTTCCTTTGTTTAGAAAATAATGGAGCTGACAGATTTCTGTAATTACTAATTTGATGTAGGAGAGAGCGGGAAGAGTTGCAACATTTCTATCAATCTCTCACAAGTTATTTGAATTAGAACCAGGATATTCATAGAAATTAAATGTATACCTGTCCCTTAAAACGTAGGGCCTTAACACCCATACAGGTGCAAGACGTAGAACCTTGATATAAAGCGACTAACATAAAGCTGAAAGGAATTTGTCAAGTGTTGCAACTGTCCCCAAGTATGGAGAGAGTTGCTTAATAAATCAATAGGAATACAATTATCATTAAAATTAAATTCAACATTATTGATCTCACATTGGAGAAATTTATCTCTGCATTTAACCCATCCCCTTGGGGAGCAGTGGGCTGCCATTGTGCGGCAGCGGGAGCAGTGTGGGGTTAAGGGTTTTGCTCAGGGACCCAGAGTGGCAGTCTGGGGGAGTGGGGGATCGAACTCCCAATCTCAGGATTCAAAGCCCTATGCCCTAACCACTAGGCCTAGGCCTTTTCTAACATGCTTAGTCCCAAGTGGGGTCGCAACGGGTGCTGGTGCCTATCTCCAGCTGTCAATGGGCGAGAGGCGGGGTTTACCTTGGACAGGTTGCCAGTCCATCGCAGGGCAACACAGAGATAAACAACCATTCTCGCACACACTCCCACCTACAAGCGGACTTTAGTGAAGCCAGCCTGTGGGAGGAAGCTGGAGTACCCGGAGAGAACCCACGCATGCTCAGGGAGAACATGCAAACTCAGAACCCAGAAGCTTCCCACTGCGCCACTGAGCATTAAATGCATACAAATCAAATAATTCATATTGCAAGTATTAATAAAATTATACATTGAGACATTTCACCTTAATAATAATTGCCTTATTTAATATCATGTAGACCCTGCAATTTACAGATACCTAGACAGAAATAGAAGCCACTGCTTTGTGAGTGAGACTTTGGTAGGAGGAGCTTAACCAGTTTCCAGATGTTTCAGTCAAGAAAATATGGAATCAAGGATCTTTACTTTTTTGTTAAATGAAACATGATTATTTCAACATACTGAGAATGTCTGCCTGTGCGAATAATTATGTCTATTTAAACTCTCTCTATAATTTCCTTCAAATTGTCAGAATTGATTCGCTATATTGATTTGTTTCAGTTTATAACAAATATGATAATAAATTAGAGACATTTTCCTTTAATGTTTTATCAATTCTGATGAATATTTCATGAGCACATTGCTTTGAAATTTTAAACTTGCCCTTTATTTGTTATTTAGATCACATTCAAATTCCCAACTTTTGGCTTTTTTAATATTACTGATTTTTATTCTCCTATTTTATGGAAACACACTGAAACTGTGATGGATTCCATGGGATTTATTGATGATGGGAAAATGTGGAGAAAAACTAGCAACATGCTGGAAAAGTGTCATGCAAAATTTAAAAATATGTGTATGAGGCATATACAGACAAAGTAAATGACACAAAATTATTTTTGTTTGTCTGTTTCATCCTTGTGTGACACTAAGTGTGTAAGTAATTTATGTTTGGAAAAAATCAAAACTTGTGTGGAAAAACCTGATAAACCCCCCAAAGAAAAGAGGAATGAGTTTTTACAGTCTGTTTCTCAGTATTGTGGACCTCCTCCCGAATGCTCTTGGTAAGGATGACTTAATCGCCTTTCACCTGTTTACCCAAGTCTCAGAGGGCTTAGTGTTCCTGCAGCGGTACGTGGAATAAATAGATAGCTCTTTGACTCACAGAAATAATAACAACATAGTGAATTTCTGTTTGCCTAACAGGCAGGGTTGTCGTATGACTTAACTTCTGAATGCAGTTCTTTTACAAGCTCTCCTCTTCTCACCCTAACCGCACCTGTTCATTCCTGGGGTGTCAATATTTAATGCCTCTTTATTTAAGGATATTGTACAACTGAAATCAAAGTTTGCAGATGCTGCTTCCATGTTTTTAATGTTTCAGGACAATAAGAAAAGACTGAGCAAGTTTGGCTTATTTCTAAAGCCTAAAATGAGGAAACCTCGTCTCCTTACAACTTAGGAAACCTTTTTCAACCAAACAGCTGACTCTTATCCTTAGTAAGGATGTAAGGTTTGGGGAGTTTACTGCTCAGGAGAATATGGGGATGTGTGAACAACATACAATGGCTGAAAGGAGCAATGACCTTAGAGAAGCAACCATTTTTGGATTTTAACCTTTAATACAGTCGGCAATCTTCCAAGGAGAATGTCCTATATAATTCTCAGAAGAGGAAGTTACAACAACAACAAAATAATCCTAACAATTGAGTTTAGCTAGCAGGTTAATGCCGAGTGTATCTGCTGTACTGTCAGCCACAGCGGTGGAGGGCTGATGATGTGGGCTGTGTTGCAGCCACAGGACCTTAATTGCTCGCAGTCAGTAAGTGGACCATGAGTTCTCTCACAGTCAAATTGAGTCAAATGTAAACAATTTTTTCCAACATTCAAAACTTGGACCAAAGTGGTTCTTCTAGGCAACAAAGCAAATATGATGATAAAATGTTTGAGAGACTTATTAAGTCGAAGAAAATGACTGTAAGGCTAAGCAGATACTGGAAATAATAAAACTTAAAACAATTTGATTGAATTTAACTTTTTTTATTGATCTCACATTGGAGAAATTTACCTGTGCATTTAACCCATCCCATTGGGGAGCAGTGGGCTGCCATCGTGGGGCGCCCGGGGAGCAATCAGGGGTTAAGGGTCTTGCTTAGAGACCCAGAGTGACAGTCTGTGGGGGTGGGGCTTAGAACCTTGGGATTTCAAGCTCAATTCCTTAACCACTAGGTCGCCACAAAGCAATACAAATAAATAAAAAAAATAATAATAATTACATAAATAATTTAGAAAAGCACTCTGAGAGCCAAGCAGCAAAACTTGCCCCTTATTCTGACTTAGACCTATAGCTAAAACTCACACATGATCTGGGGCCTTACCAAATTTTTGTGGATTATTTCTTGGGCTGAGGTGAACTTTTGGTAAAATATTTCTTAAAAATACCTTCATAACTTTTCAAGGTCATCTGTTCACAGACAGACAAACACACCCATACAAACATGCACACACCAATAACTAAAAGCCTAACCTTGTGGGCGAAGGTTGTAAATAAATAACCAAATTAATTAAACTTAAGATCCTAAAACTTAGGACCTAAAATTCAATAAATATTAAAATGAAAAATAACATACTTTTACTTTTATATAAACAGTTTTTAACCTTTCAATTTGAAAGCAAAAGCAATATTTAAACAAAAATAAGATAAGATTGTGGATCAATAGGACAAATAGTGGTTTTGCAAACTTGTGGGTTTGTTAGTAGTTACCTGTTGATGTGCCAATGGGCAAAGCACTTAAGCCCAAATAAGCTAATGAAGTATGAAAGTATTCGGATTTTATAAAGCAGCTTTGATGTAAAGCAATATGCAGGATTTATTGATTGATTGATCATATATTTTATATTTTACAAAGTGCGTCCATTTTTTTGTTGTTGACGTGATTAAGGAAAGAGAAAGATCCGTTTATAATCCACAGTTGGAAAACCATATTAAAGATACAATATAAATTTGGTTAATTCTCATAAACGTGCAGTCTGCTGGCAATATTAAACCATTTGTAAAGACTGACTCTAGATGGCGACTTTGCTTCATCTGTTGCTGTTCTTATTGGCTTCTCTGTCAAAAAAGTTTAACTCTATTTTAATACTTTAGCAATAATAAGATGCAGCTCATCAGCCCAACTTCAGGATGAAATTAACACATAAACTGTTGTGTTGGAATCTGATCTATAAACATAACTCTTCACCTCACAACTGTATTCTATGGAACAACATGCATTTAGTACATAAAGCAAAACATTTTTATATAGAGCTGTTTTATAAATAATTGTAACACTTTAAATGCTCTGATGAATGC